ACCTTCCATCCGATTGTTCTTGTTTATGGTCCTCAAACACATATTTTTAGGACAAAATGTGTTGTTGTTCCGGCAGATAAAGCCTTTTACATGCAAAATCATAAATTGAAATGTCTAAGCAAAGGACTCTGAATTCACAGTAAAACTGAGAATCATTCACGAAAAAGGAGGTTTTAGAAAATCACAAATCCTTCCTTCTCACCTTTGGTATTAATATAAAAAAGTCGATGAAAAACACCTGTCTTTATTCTGGATGTATGACAAGAATCCTTATAAAGAACGATATATGTCTGGGTCGTCAAGCTGTTTGACTAAACATCTTTCTAAAGGTCTCATCATTCTTCTCTATACAGTGAAAGAAGACCCACAATAAAAATTGAAAAAATTTACAATTTTGTAGTGATAGGAAAACTTTTAACTTTTCTACGGTTTACACTACTTTAACCCATGCTTAAGAGAAAACTCGAATACACCGTATCATTAAACGGAGCTGTGTTTACAACTAGAGGCTCTAAAGACAATGTGTTGTTCCCGTAGGTGTTTGTGCATCTTCAATGGGCTCTCTCCAAAATTGTAGACTAAAACATATTTCATGACCTCAATCTCTTTTGTGTTGATGTTGTATAGCTGGTAATTTTCGTAACAGTTTCACCCTATCTTTCTAGTGTCCGCCCAAACACAAAACTCCATTAAGAAGACAACTAAGATTGATATAAGCACTTGTTGAATTCTGTTTGCCACAATGTGAATTTATATTGTCTAAGTTGTAATTAATTTCCTTATAAATATTGTTTACACTAAGAAGACAACTGACAATTTCATCTATAGTGCCCTATTTAGAGATATTGTCTTTCTAATAATTTTTGCTTCTTTAAAATTCTCTGTATTGATTAAAGATTCAAAATAATAGTCTATAACACTAAATATTGGTACAAAAAAAAATCGACATTTAAGAGCTATAACTCCTATAAGGCTTTAATTGACGATTTCATATATTCAATATATTTGTACATCGTGTCTTACTGATCAGTTTTACTGCTCAAAAATGTTGTCTCTCTCCATTAAAATTTTCTTTTCAAGATGAGTGACAAAATTAAAAAAAAACATGGTAAAATTCGTCATGTAACTCCTTTAATTAGTCGTCGGACAGTTTTAATGTAAATAACAGTTGATACATCTCAACATTCTAAACCATTTTGCCTCATCAGGTTTTCTGTGTACAAAGCGGTTTTCAAGATTATTGACAAAACTCGCATTTTACTCCTTTGTTCTATGTTTAGCCCAGTCGGCCATGTTGGTTGGCAAGCGGGGTCATCGGACACATCTTTTAAACTATATATCCCAATGATGATTATGGCCACATCTAACGTTAACGGATAATGTTGTACTCATATGGAGCAGAATGCATACAAAACATCTTCCAAAATACACGAATTTACATTTTTTTTATTTTGAATATGTCCTGTCACTCAATAACCAACATTTCGGTACGTGTTTGAATCAAATAAATCTAATACATCATAAGGATACTACCAAAAATGAAGGTCTGCTTCATATTTAGCTCTTTTTCTTGATATTGACAAGGATTGTAGGGTTTAATCTATAATTTCTGTTTGTAACTTAGTTTGTCTGCTTAATCGGTGTACGAGATATGAACTTAGAAAACAAAGTACTGTTGCCTATATTCATAAAAGTCCGGATTAAAAATTTATTTGTTTTATTGTGTCAATGACTTAACTAAGATTGACATTTACGGATAGATTGGGATCCAGTTTTGAAATTCTAAAGTTTTTCCAGACAACGTTTTGTTCATTGTACATTTAAATCTCTTCTTCGGCAATTTTGTGTTAACATAATATATCAATGATATGTCATTTTCTATAAATTCACTGTTTACAAATGTTGAATCATTCAAAATAATAAGGTGATTCTACCCCTAGGCATAAAAAGCCTTATCCGTATTTTGCAAAAATTTAAGTTTTCAATGCTCTATAAAAAGAAAGACTGGTAATGCCCTCTCAAAATTATGGCATTTCAACTTTTTTATTAGAGCACCACCGAGGAGTCTTGTGCAGACGAAACGGGCGTATGACATTCCAAATTATTAGCCTGGTATCTCTGATGAGTGTTTACCACTTGTTCGATGCCAGGACTGTTAAATGTTACGTCCCTGTTCGTAGCACTAGCTCATAAGTCAGCACGTCTGTGTTGACATGAAATATCATTAATACGTCATATTATGTACATTTACTGTTTATCAGTATTTCATTATTCAAAATATTTAGGTTTCTCAATGCCTAGACATAAACAGCTTTGAGCCAATGCTCCGTGTTGAAGGCCGTACCTTAACCTATAATGATTCACTTTTATAAATTGTTACTTGGATGGAGAGTTGTCTCATTGGCACTCATACCACATCTTCTTATATCTAATTAGTCGTATTTGGCATAGTTTTTTCGAAATTTTAGTGATCAATAGTCTTTACCTAACTTTTAATTTTGGCCGTCTAACTGTTTTAATTTGAGCATCACTACTGAATTTGCGTTGACGAAACGCGCCTGGTATCACTGATGAGTTCGAACTTTTTATATGCTAAAGATTCTGTATTATGACAATCTGGTCTAATTTTTACTTTCTACAGAAGAATATTCAATTAGCTTGAGTCATGTTTGAAATGAATGAAACTATGTTTTATAAAATGATACACATGAATTGCTTTGAATAGATTTGTACTTTTCATTTTGTTTCATGGTTTATCTTTGTTTTGGACTTTCCAAAGTGAATTTTATTCGTAATATTTTTATTGCTCAACTATTTCATTTTATTACGCGAACTGTACTATCTTGTAGTCTTGTTTTTTTCTATGCATTTGTGTTTTTCGTTTTTCCGTGGTTTTAATTTTTTATAGTTGGTGCATTGAGTGATGTTTTTTAAAATAACTGGAAGATCTTATGCATGGGAAGTAATGTTTAGTCATTTTATTTTTTATCTGTATCATTTTGGTTGTACTGTCGCTGTGACCTTTAATAGCAGTTATAGTTTACCCGATTATAGTTATCGTCTAATGTCATAAACATAGTGTTGGTTTTCAAAAATTCTCTTACACAGTCGTATGTTAAGAAACGGTATCGCTCACACTTGCAGCCGATATACCCTCAATACAAAAGATTATCAAAGCAGTCTTTAATAATCTTAACATACATTTAACCATATTTTTAGAATGAATACTCTTGAGTTTGTAGGTATTTACACACTTTTGTCAGCAAATGTTGATGACCACACATCCTGTATTTATGTCAAAAATTTTGCAATAATATAATACGCTTTCTAAGTAATACATTTGAAATAAACTCTTTTCATTTTCGGCGTCATTTGACAATAAATAAATGAGCGACATATAAACTGTAAACTGATGGGCACATTGATATGTCTCAAATTATTTTTCTGAAAATCAAACCTTCCATAGTTAATATCTCAATCGCAGCGACAAAAAAGATACTTAGTATAAAGTGCAATAAACATTTATTAAAAGTTGACCTCTTATGAAGTCTGTATAACAGATGATAAAATCTCGCTCAAGCAGACGAATACTTAAGATAGTGTAAAATGCTGGCGGTTAGTGAATGCAAGATCAAAGAACATCATCGGTTGATATCGATATCATGCCTCTCAAACTCTAATTAAACCTCTACACTTCCACGTAGAATCAAAAAGTGATGCTGAAAACGAAAAAGAAAATTTGGGAAAACACATCGGTATAATCGGCAATAATCAGTCGGAGCACTTGTAACTGGTTTACACATGCATGAAAACTACCATAATATAAATATAAACATAAAATACAATTAATTATAAGAGTTTTGGTCTATTACCAACTGAGTAATTTTATATTGTATATATGTTAGCCCAAATACCAGTTTTTTAAAGGCTTATTTATAATGACGTTACATTGTTGCTAGCAGTGCCAATCGTTGTTCTATCCGATCAAGGTATTTTACAAGCGACGTAGATACAAAATTACATGTTCTGAGAGAAAAAACAACTCTGTTTTCAAATACTTTCACCCGATGGTAAATTTATGTTTTTACTTGATCGCTAATGATTACACGTTGAATATTGAATTTACTATTTTCATTTTGGAGATATCAAAAGGCAGTGCCGAAAGGAAGGATAATATATAAACCTATATCTAAAAAACATCACCTCTGAAGATCAAGGAATTTTTTTACGCATCATTATCCCTTTAAGAAATACTCGATGCACTGACCAGAAATACTTAAACAAATATGATTCAAAATTAATTAAAAAATTCATTTAAAATGAAACATTGTTCTTAGTCCCGATCGCGGTTTAATTTGTAGACTTCAAAGCCTGACGCAGCTAGAATGTCTACCAAACACATTTATCATATGCAGGTATGAAGTTGAATTAATGTATATTTATTAAATAAGGTGAAAATCGTTTAACAGGAATGGAATTGCATTATATTTGATTATTGGCTGAGTCGTTTTGAATTTATTTATTGGGGATAAATTTCCTTTGGTTCAGGAAAAGAAGTTGTTTCGTTGATACCTGATTTCGTTGCCTTAACAGGTTCTACATACAAGCCTATAGGAAATTAAGATTAAAACTTTTTGAGTTACGGGACTTTATAACTAAAAAAGGGGATGGGATTTTTTTACATGTCGCGCCGTATCTCAAAAACGATTTATGATTATTGCTTAAAACTTTACACACTTCTTAATTATATTAATCTAAAGATCTGTATATTTTTTTATGATGATTCAAAATTTTATTTTAGAGTTATTGTTTTTTTTTATTAAAAAGGGGGGTTTTCACATGTCGCGCCGTATCTCAGAAACGATTTATGATTATTGCATAAAACCTCACACACAAGACGACGGGCGTATCATGCGCTCGTGGCGCAGCTGTTTATTATATTTTTAGCATTAGTCACAATTTCCATTCACCCTATTTTATAGATAAAACGTTTTTTACAGCAAGTTCTTCTCATAAAAGTGCAAAGTTATGCGATGGAAACCAGAAACAAAAAGCATCAGATGATATAGAACATGGAATTTACACTGAAGATTACACTTATCCAGAAGAAGAAACTCGTACGTTATTTTTTTATACTGCAATTGTTTTTATTGCTTGAAACTCTTTGATACGTAATTTCATTAGCAATTATCGTATAGTTTTATATCAATAGTGATTTTTTCAGAAATCGTATATTTTATAATCCTTATGTTTGCATCAAATTATTTGATATTAATTTTTCCCTCAGCTATCAATTATTAAAATCCTCCAAGGATATTGATGTCGGATTTTAAGAAGCTTCTGAAAAAGACTAAAGAAATTTATATCTTTCAAAGTTAGTGTGAAAAGATTTCTTAGGTATGTTTCTTGATACATAAAGATAATTGGAGAAAAACATATTATTATATTCAGAAGTAATTAGTCGGAGCACCTGTAACTGTAGCTGTTTACATACGTGTCGCAAGAGACACGTACCCTATTGACGCACCCGGGCTCGCTCCACTTGAAATTCATAAGATTTTCTCAGAGTTTTTTTTTTTTTTTTTCGTGACTTTCATTTTTCGTCTTAAACCGAAATATTAGATATGAACATCGGTTGCCTTAATTTACGTAGATACTGTGTATCAATCTGTTTTAGGCTTCTTATCCAGTTACAGAAATCGTCATTTGTGCCGGTTAAACCGGCCTTGCATTTTCTACAAACAAACAAGTGCACATAATAAAGTTTTGTTTTTTTCTATTTACTTTTACTTTTTTATAGTATGGATTACATTGTTGTTTTCAATTTTATAAAAGAATGTAATACGCCCATTTAAAACCATCTAAAAAGAGTAAATGATACGCCCAATTCTAGGATTAAAAACAAAATTCAAGTGCTCGCAAAGCGTTTTTGTGTTCAAAGCGGCCGACAAAGCAGCCAACAATATTGCGGTGGTATGACGTAAATACTACACGGAAGTCCTTAAGAATAAAATTCTACATTCAACTACAGTCAAGGCCGTGTACGCTCCACAGAGAGTCAAATAGAAATAATAAATAATCGTGTCACTACCTTGGCTCAGTTGAAGGCCTCCTCTGAATATTTGGAGGTCCCCACTATGTGTTGGTTATCTAACTACACAAAACAGCCGCAAAATATCGTTTCATTTAGGCCTCTAGTAAGTGTTCTACTACTAATCGTTCAGTGCTTTTAACTAGCTCCGTAACAACTATCAAAGGATTTATCATTAACTTTTGTAGTAAAACAAATGACAAATAGTGGAATTAATCTTTTTTGGGAGTGTAAGAAATTTTTTAAATGTTTTAGATAAATTACGTGCTTTTGATGGTCCTTTTGATTTGGTTGACAGTTTTTATACTACACTTCCATACATTCTGATCACAAATTACCACAAATTACTTAAAACCTTTACTAAATGTTTCCATAGATACAAAGATTTTGTTTGGAAGTTACGCTGTACCTGTAGAAAACGTATTTCAAACGGAATAGCACTTTCTAATTTTCACGGTGACGTTATTTACCGAGCCCAGAAATTTAGATACGAACCGGGTGAACTTATCTATTCTTGAAATAAACTTACTCTTAAAGGTTACGAATTCAAAACTGTAATTAGATCTTTGAATATTGTATTTATTTATGCAATTAGTAATGCTGTTATGAGTGAATAAATACCTTACTAAATATTATTGTAGACACATATTCACATTCACGGTACTACAATCTGTCGATACCTATATTTTGGCAGTGCACAAGGTCGTGTATTTCTCTGATTGTTAATGACGTTTTTATCCTAAATCCATTGGATTACAGATGTATACTGATTGATATTTTAGTCTTAAATACCTAGTTTTTTATTAGTTGTTGTTTGCCTGAGCTAGCTGTCAGTACCTGCCACATCCGGTCTGTGTGTTTATGAGATGTTTTTCTGCTCTGTATCGACCGGAGTTGAGCCCTTTCAACTGATTTTCATATTTTGTTCTTATTTTATACTGTTACACTACTGTCCCAGGTTAGGGGAGGGTTTGTGCCTTCAAACTTGTTTAACCAGCCATATTATATTGTTTTGTTATAAATTAGGCCGTTAGTTTTCTCTGAATTGTTTCGCATATTTCATGTCGGAGCCTTTTATAGCCGTTTCTACGGTATGGGTTTTTCTCATTGTTGAAGGCCATACGGTAGCATATAATTGGTTACATCCACTTCAATTGATCTTTCAAATTGGTTGATAGTTGTCTCATTGGCAATCATACCACATCTCGTTTTTTTATATATATTATATTCAAAACGGACTGATTTGTATTCCTTGTAGCGTTTTACCAATTTCGAAATATTTCTTGCTCTTTTTTTTAAACTGGTACTTGTCTCCATTCAAGACTTGTTTTTGGCATAAGTGTTCTTTATTTTGTCAACAAATTCTTTGTTACTAATTAGTTTTGAATTTCAAATATTTTTTTTTAGTTTAACTTTTAATACTTAGGTTGCAACTCCCACGAGGATAGTTGTACGTCAACGGGTGTCGCTGTTCTGTTCAGACATATTTGGATTTTAAGCTCTCAAATGATTTGTATTTTTGACCTTTCAACTTCTGCGTAGATATTACACATTAAAATGGTATTTTACTTAGAAGTACATGTCTTTTAGCAAAGAATAAGTATCCCGATCAAGTTTTCGTTTGCTACATTTTGCCATGTGGTTGGTAAAAAGTAGAATAACAAAAATACCGAACCCCGAGGAAAAATTCAAAACGGAAAGTCCCTAATCAAATGGCAAAATCAAAAGCTTAAATACATCGAATGGATAACAACTGTCATATTCCTGACTTGGTACAGGCATTTTCTTATGTAGAAAATGGTGAATTAAACCTGGTTTTATAGCTTGCTAAACCTCTCACTTGTATGACAGTCGCATAAAATTCCATTACTAGTATATTGATAACAATGTGTGAACAAAACAAACAGACATATTAGGTTAAAATGTCAAAAATAGGGGTACAGCAGTCAACATTGTGTTATAATCTTAATCACTATAAAAACAAACAAATATGTCAACAAAGAAAAACAAAAAGGCATATAGACAAATCAATAATCTATAGTCAACCAGAATCGGTACTGAGTGTGATGGGTCAGTACCGATGCTGGCTGATTATAGATTATTGATCTTATCATTACCGCAAATACTTTGGTCCTGATATGGTTCTGCTCTGTAAGTTTTCAAAGCCACGAATACTGTTATTGCATTAACTCAAATCATTACAAAAACATAAACAAATAAGATATATAGATATTTCTTCGAACAGATTGGAGCGGTTGCATTTGTGTTTAAGGGCATACGATACAGTTTTGATCCCGTAATGAAATTTTGATGAAAATTTGCATATAGGCTATTTTTTACCTGATTAAATCAAATATGCAATAAAAAATATACCATCATGTGCTACTTTTTGAGTAAATTGAGGTTGAAATTTCAGATATTTCCTCAAAATTCGGATTTTTCCTTTCGACAGAAATACATAACTTTTTTGTTCTAAAAGATAAACATAAGCTGTTTTTTGTTAAATTATTTGTAATTTCTGTTTTATATAAATGTTCTATAAATTTGTACATTTTATTTTTACAAATAACTCATATTTATCAAATGTTCATGAATGCAGAAAAAAAAAACGTAATTTTTTGCTGTATATTTATCAAATTTAAAATAATTGCACTATTGACTTTTTCATGAAAATTGGTACACATAATCTTCATACGTAATCAAACCAAATGTCATTTTAAAAAAGAAGGGTCCATGAACTCGTTTTCAAGTTAAATCAGTTTGAATGATAAAAATCAGTCGAAAACTGCATCTTTTCCCGATAAGTCACAGTTTGACGTCGCGAAAATAACAATTTACGTTAGCAACGTCATTACTTCCCCTGTAACTGTATCGTATGCCCTTAATATGTCTAATTTTTGAAGGGTCCACTTTTAAATAAGATATTGGAATAAGGCTGAAATTTTGAATAAAAACTTACAGAGAACAGTATCAAACCAATACTGATTATAGGGTGAATATGAGAATATAGCCTGTACTGGAAACCGTATACTTAATTTGCAAGGAAATTTAAAGGCAATATATGTAACTAAACGTTCAGCATAGTTTGTTCAAATGAAAAGTGTTTTCTAATGTGTATACATGAAAACATCGAAAAGAAGTTATTATTCATTAAAAGTGTCCATCTTCAAATATAGTAAGCTTTTCCTTTTTAACATCACGAACTTTAAGCCGACATCTACTTCAGGAAAGTTGACCTCAAAGTGTTTTTCTCCTTATTTCCTTTTTGTTTATAACCGCCGGACAAAGAGATAAACGCCTATTCTACCAAAGTCTGAGCGAGGCAAAATCATCCTAGAAATATTTAGTAATTTAAATGCTGATCAACATGACAGTTCAAAGCGTGTAAAAATGTGGTTACTTTCTCCAGATAGCTGGTTAGTCATCATTGAGGAATTTGAATCGTGTGCGTGCAACTGAGGTAAACTATGGTTTTCGACTGATCTCAAAATATTAAACAGATACTCGTTATCTAGAACACCAAGACAGATACTTCATATATATGTAAAATCAGGAAAAAATAGATAGATGAGGATAAGGATATATTCCTTGACAATTGGCAAATAGATGGGATTTATTGTGATAAAGTCCGACAATGGTGTGAGTGCCAAACAGAAATTATAGTGCTTTAGGTATTTTAGAGCAATTTGAACATATTTATTCGTCATCATTACAAATATATCATCATACAAAAATACACTGAAATAATAGGATTCGGAAACAAGCTGTACATAGCTTATATCAATCCGTTTCCTTGAAATACCAACTCCAATTAACGATTTCATAACAAAGAAAGAAGGAGGAAAACAATTATAATTTGAAAATAATGAAAATACAACAAAAGAAGAAAAGAAATAAAAAAAAATAGGAAAAATTAAAATACACTTAAATCACCACGCTTGTTCAGATGAAATGCAACTTTGACAAAATAGTGAATAACAGTTTAACTTGTAAATCTCTTGCACTTTAGTAACAATTTTTGTACTTTTTCAAAAATTTCCTTGTTCTGGTCTAAAGTTTGTGAACCAAATAAAAGTAGGTTTGTGTTCATCATCAGTATGACTGGATAATTAATTGAGAAAATAATGTCATTACGCAATGCGTCATATTTTTTAGAATGCAATGGAAAATGAGCTGTAGACTCGATTAGACCACACGAGCAGTTTGGAGAATCTACTAGATTTTTGTCTGAACAAATGTTCATTTAAAGAACTACTATTCATCCTTAACCTTGCACGTAATATTTGACCCATTCTTGTACCAGTATATTAAAAATTTGACATTTATTATTTGGGTTTTTATACGACTTTTAAAAATACTTAAAGACGTAGAACTTCTCTTTTTATTTGGTAACTTATTCCACAATTTAATAGACGAAGGAAGGAAATAAACGGAGTAGAGGTTAGTTCTTCTATGTATTTCCTAAAGTGAACATATTGAGTATAAACGCATCTTCCTAAGGATATTTATTCTATTGTATGCTCGTTTAACTATATATTCAATATGATTATTCCGTAACCAATTATTTGAAAAATTATACCTAAGTGTTTATGAGTAGCAACCACTTGAAGATCATTGTCCTATTTTTTTAAGATCGGATGACTAGGTTTTATTGATTTTCATGAAATAATTATAGTTTCTGTTTTTTTGTGAATTAAAGTTTACAAGCCACTTAGAGAACCACATATAAATTATTTTCAGATCTGTATTCAGAATGTCAGCACGATTTTCAGGGGTGTCTACTGTTAAATAAATAATTGTGTCGTCTGCAAATAATTTGATAGTTGCTTTAATATCAGTTACCATGTTGTTGATAAAGATTAGAAAAAGTAGCAGACCTAAAATTGAGCCCTGCGGGACACCTGCATCTATCTGTCTCCATGTTGAATCGTTCCTTTTTGGGACCACCCGTTGACTCCTTCCAGATAGATAATTACAAAACCAATTGAGTAAATTTCCAGAAATTCAATATTGTTTAAGTTTGGATAATAGTCCTTTATGCCATACCTGATCAAAAGCTTTGCTGATGTCACAGAAAAACACCTTAATTTCCTTTCCGTTATCTAAAGCCCTACCAAAGTTGTTAGAAATGTCAATTAGTTGATTTATGGCAAATCCTCTTTGGTAAATCCTGAATGATTACGGGTGATGATCCTATTTTCAATTAGAAAGTTTTGTACATGTTTATAGACCCATCGCTCCATACACTTTGATAAGATACTTAGCAAAGAGATTGGTCTGTAATTTATTTACCTCATTACAGTTGTTACTCTTAAAAACTGGAGTTACATTTGCCTTTTTTCAATCTGCGGGAAATATAGCTTTAGATAAAGATAGATTTAATAGTTTACAAAGTGGGAATTTTAGCTGTGTTGAAGCCTATTTTAATAATATTGGGTTTATCAAGTCTGGGCCTGAGGCCTTATTAGGATTTAAAATCTTTAGAACATCTTCGACTTCACTATCTCTAAGTGTTATGTCACTTAGTGTACAGTCTGGAACGGTTAAGTCAGGAAGAACGGCTTCGGTATCATCTAAGTCTGTCTGCATCGCAAAAAAGTTTTTAAACTCGTTTGCTTTATCAATATCATTTAATATCAAATTATCTACCTTAAACATGTTAAACAGGGGAGGTATACCCAAGTGTGCAGGTTTAATACCAGAAATTTGGTTACAGGTTTTCCACCAAGTTCTTGTTGATAGGTTACTATTTGACAATTTTTGAACAAAATTATTTTGATACTGTTCGCGAGCTTGTCTTATTGTAATGGTCACTTTATTTCTATTTTGTCTAAATTTGTTCCAATCCGCGGGTCGATTAAACCGTTTTGCTTTCGAGTGTATACGGTTTTTTTTCTTATTTTTCTTTCTTATGAGTTTTCTTACATCGTTATTTAACCAAACAGGGTCAGTTTTCTTAATAGTTACGATCCTATTGGGAATGGAAATTTCAGCTGCATCTAGGATACGATTTGAAATTTCTGAATTAGTTTTATCAACATCGTTTAGAGCAAATATATTATCCCATTTGGTCCACATTACATTAAAGTTCGATATCACACATCCTCCAGAGTAGGGAAACTGTTTAGATGATCATAGTTTTAAGATTCTAGGCGAGCTAAAAAAAAAAATGTCCACCATTGTACAGAACATGCGCACTTTTACGTTCATTAATACAAAGTTCTCATTTTTTTACAGAAACACCTGACCGAACACCCCTGCAGTCATCAATTCCATCACCTGATAAACCAACAATTAACGTTCGTCAAAAACTTGGTGACACTGATGTAAAAAGACAACGTCAGCCTTCACCAGTCCTTGAAAGTGAAAGTGATGATAGTGATGATGAAGAAGGTAAACATCATGCAGGATAATGTATTTTCCTTATGTCTTAGAACTTAAGAAAACTAATTATAAAGTCAACTATTGGCAATCTGTGTACTTTTAAACATAGAATCTTAGCTGATGTTAGTGCAAATATGTAATTCCATGTAAATAACAGAAAAACAGAACTATTTCAATCACATTCTGTCCATGCAGAGTAATATCAGGCGCATCCACATTGCAAATCAATATAAAAAAGGAGATGTGGTTAGATTGCCATGGCGACAACTATTCACCAGAGTTCAAATGAGGAAGATATAGGCAATTATAAGTCTCTGCACGGTCTTCAACATTGAGAATATCTCATATAGTCAGCTATAAAGCTATGAAATTAAGCTTGTTTTTGCATGTGAGATATTAACATAGTTGTTTAAGATTCGTTTGTTCTTGCAAATAGTTATATTTAACCTTTATCAATTTCAGTTTGTGATTTTACACCTCCAATTCCGGCTCGTTCAACAGGTTATAACGCTGATGGACTCTCAAAACGTAATACCAAAGATATAAGTTATGATAGTAATGATTTGGGTAAGTATACTGAAAAATATTATTAATGTATAATTGTAATCCTATGTCATTAACAATAATTATTATTTCAAGCGGGAACTTTTGATAAAATACAGACTACATTATAGACATATATGCACTTTTAACCCCAAAACTGCATCGACTGTATGTCATATTAGTGCGTTCTATCCCAAAACTTTTTTTTATTTCATTGTTGATGTTCCAATGACTTATAAATTTATAAAACAATTGTGATCATTACTGGCTTAAGTGCATACGATACAGTTTTGATCCCACGGTGAATTTTTTACGAAAGTTTGCATACAAGCTATTTTTACCTAGTAAATTCAAATACGTAATAAAAAATTTACTTCCATGTTCTACTTTTAGAGATAAATGGGGTAGAAATTTTGGACATTTACTGGAAATTTCGGTTCCTTGAATATTTCTATCCTTTGGAAAGACATACCAAACTTTTTTGTTTTAAAAGATAAAATCAAGCGGATGTTTGTAAAAACATTTCTAATATCTTCTCTACATAATTTGGCTTTGAATTTGTGTAACAACTTTTTAGAAATAATTCATTTTTTTACACTTTCCTGATTTTAGTCTAAAAACGGCATTTCTTTCTGTATATCTATCTAATTTAAAAAAAATTACATGGGTGAAATTTTTATAAAAATTGGCACAAATAATCCTCACACATAATCAAGCCAATGTCATTTTTAAAAAGAGGGGTCCATGAACTCGTTTTCGAGTTAAATCAGTCTGAATGATAAAGATCAATCGAAAACGTCGCGAAAAATAACATTTTACGTTAGCGACGTTATTAACTCCCCTGTAACTATATCGTATTCCCTTTAAAGACATACATATACCAAACTAATTCCATTTACAGCAAAAGTTCATTAACATTAACTGTTGGTGTAATTCGGCTTCACTGTTATTACTTATTTTTTCTGTAATATTTTATAGATTGAGCTGTCTGTACATTTATTTATGATGGTGGCATGATATTTGTTAGCAAATATCTTGAATGTTTTATTCCTATTTATTACGAACGGTGTTGTGTCTAATGCAGTGTTTTGCTTTAAATTATTATGTTAGTATTTCTTAACATTTCACTTATGTTTCGTTAGCACTGTTCCATATCTCGAAATTCAAATTTAGTTTCATATGAATAATATAATAAGTTAAATGTAACAGTTGTTCACCATTTTTATTGTATAGCTGTTCATGTTCATGAAGTGAAAGTTGAAATAAGTGAAACGAGTTCATTCGCAGCAGAAAACGAAGGCTACGTTCCAGAAGAAGAAAGTTGTAAGTTAATCATACAATTTCGGGAGAAAATACTAATAATAACTCTCAAGTAATAACTACACATTATTGCAAACATAAGGTCAATGAATTGTACTTTTTTTAATATAATGTAGGTAAGAGAAAAAAAATTAGCATACAATATACAAAAATAAAAAACGAAACTATAATATTAATATGTAATAATTGATTAACAACTTAAGAAGTTTATTTCCAGTCATATATTTGTCTAGAACTATCGAATATAGGGTAAAAAGTGTCAAGTTATTTTATTTTACATCAATAATCTGACCGTCTGAAAACTTGGTAATATAAAATTGTATATTTCATGCATAATGATTATATTTCTGTTGTCGACCTAGTTGCATAGTAGGCATAGTAGACGAAAATGATTGTGCTTACTTATCATTTTATTAGATATATATTTTACATCCAAAGTCATAAGCTTTATAAATACAAAGTGATTGTTTGATTTCAAATGAGATAACTATCAACAAGAGAACAAATGATGTTAATCTAAGCAACTAAAAGCCACCGTAAGGTCTTCAACGACGAGCAAACACATACCAAATAGTAAGCTTTTAAAGTCCCTGACATGATATAATATAAAACAATTTAAACGAAAAAATCAACGGCTGGATTTATGCTGAAACAGTAAAGAAAACCTAATACTATCAGTATGTAACAGAGGTAAACCAAAAACAACCACTGTAAGACAGGCTTCTTACTTTGGTCATACACACACGGAATGTGGCGAGGTTAAAAGTCATTAATCGATTGAGAGGAAACAAATCCGGGTTACAAAATAAAACCGAGGGAAACACATCAACTATAGGAGGAAAACAACGGAACAACAGAAATATGTTCTGACAGTGGGAAACAGCACAGGATAAGAACAAACTGCTAAAATCAGTTGGCAGGGGCTTTACTCATCAGGTGGGCACAAGGCACAAAACAAACAACCAACAAAAAGTCAAAAGAAAACAAAAGACACGAAATATCAATCAGCACACATCCAAAGAACTTAGTGTAAATACATTATAAACGGTCTGGGTAAAGTTTGTCCTTGTGCAATGAAAAATAGAAGTGTCAACAGGATGTGGGATTCTTAAGGTTAAGCAATATATATTTAGTAATGTTTTAACACGATATAAGTACAAATAAAGACAATATTCTAAGATCGTTTTACAATGTTAAATTGATAACCTTTAAGAATAAGTTTATTCAAATGTTCAAATTTACATGGATCGTATCTTACTTTACAGGCTATATAAAAAAACATCATCGTAAAAATTATGATGTAATATCCCGTTTGTAATATGTTTTATACAGGTACAAATGTACAGCCAAACTTCAAAATCAAATCTTTTTATCTATGAAATAATTTAATAAAGATTAAAGTAATTTGTGAAAACGTAATCCGTGACTTAATAATTTACCAGTACTACATCACCGTAAAAACTAGGATGTAATATCCCGTTTGTAAAAAGGTTTCTACAGTAACAGATGCGTGCGGTCCTAACCTGTACAAAAGTTAACTTGGAGCAGACTTGTTGGCTGCTTTCTAAGTTAACTTGAGAAATTTTAAGCAGACAAGCAAGTTAACTTCGTCGTTGGTAGACCAGACCTACGGTCTGCTTTTTTAGGACTGCTGTGCACAGACCATTCAAACTGTCCAAAAAAATCTGTGCAACTATGAAATAATTAGCATGCTTAAATGAATATCTGTAAATTTTTCTTTGTTATATTGTTCATATATGTAAGAGGAATCTTACATCCAAATCGTTATTTGGTATATCTTGTTTATGCGTTCTTGACCATTAACAGCTGTTACAAGGTGATTTTTTTCTTTTTAGTACTGACTAGACGCTTACCTCCTCCAATACCCACTGAACATGACGATTGTAATAACACTGGTAAGGAGTTTCATAACATCAACAGATAGATGTTTAAAAATGAAAAAAAATATATAGTGGTACATTATATGATTGTGGTAACATATTTCTTTACGATATGTACACTTTACCATACGTTCAAAATTAAGCATATGGTTAGTCAATGTTTGTTTAATCTAAAATTGTTTAATGTATATATGTACAAGTATTTTCTAATCACAAAAGGTTCATTCGGTATTTAATATAGATCTATAGCTTGTTAATTTGTTTTATTCCTAATAACCTGATTTAAAAAATATTTTAGTAAGAACTAGACGTTTACCTCCTCCTGTACCGGAAGCACAAAATGATTGCATCGAAAATGGTAAGAATTAAAACCTCTAGCTAGAATGATGCAATACAAAAATGCGATTGGAACAATATATAAATATCTCTTCCAAATCTGATTAACAAATTCCATATCCAAAAATACCTTGGATGGAAGCAACTGTGAGTCACAATACGGACGGAATGGAGTCCAGCACTCATCGTTTTTGGTATATAATTAAAAACAAAATATGTCCTTTGAACCTGCATACAATCCAACATGACCACCAAGGCTAAAATAGAACTTAAAACAATCATTTTATAAATAGGCAAAGAAAGTGACAATCTGACAGGGGACAGAAATGATAAATTGTCAGACCTATCTACTGACCATTTTAACCAAAACTGTCAGACGACTGTTTATTGGAGTTATTGTCCTTACATGACGATTTTTTTTCAATTTTTTGCAATTTTTACTATCAATTTTTTTAAATTATAAAAGACAGAGTGAAGCTATGAATAGCACAACTAATGAGCGGGACAAGGTTTATAATAATAAGTCAAATGAACAAAATCATAACTCGACTCCTCAATATAAGAATCAACGCCTAAAATGACGGTTATACCAAATGTTGTGCAAATTTGGCTATAACCTTGCAAATCATAATATATATAAAAAGAAACTGTAGCAAAATTGTCTTCCATAAAGATCTGAGAATAAGTCAACGTGGTCAAAATCGTCAGATGACTCCTTATATGAGGTATTGCGCTTGAACGAGGATTTTCTGTGGGGATTTTTTTTTTTTGCAGACACTATAGTAGATAAGACTAGACCTATGGATTAGTTAAGATGTCCTCAATCGTCAGTTTACAACTTATAGGAGCTAATGGCCTTGAATAAGATTATATACAATTTTTTTGTGTCTTATCGTTATCTCCACTTGATAGTAAGAAACCACATTGGAAAAATGATCAACATGACAAAATCTACAAATCAGAAAAATGTCAGAAATCTTTAGTTATTGCTTGTGAATGATATTGTGTGTGTTTATTGTGGAAACTTTAGTAGATAGAGAGAAACTTTAAAATGCAAAAAATATCATCAAGACAATGGCAACATATGATTCATCATGGCTGAAATCGTAAGTTGAAATGAATAAAGATTTCACACCTGTTTGTGCATTTGCAGAAACTATAAGTTATGAAGCGTTTGTTTAAAACAAAAATGTGCAGCAAAATTAGCTCTACAATTAAGTCAACATTGTCTAAAATGTTAGTTGACTCCTTTTTAAGAGTTTATGCCTGTGAACATGATGAATGTAAATTTTTATTCATTTTTTGTTTGTTTTTAAGACGGAGAGATATTGTAAAACGCAAAAATAATCAGCAACATAAGATAACAAATAAATGAAAATAAATCTAATTGCCAGTCGACTCATTAAAGGACTTAAATGATGATTTTTAACAATTTTAATGTTTTACTTAACATCGGAAAAAACTATATTAAATCAACTCGAACTTTGAAACGCAAAATTATCAGAAGCACCAATTCTACAGATAAGTCAACTGATTGAAATCGGCAGTCGACCAATTTGTTGTATTTTCTTAAAAATATAATGGATAGACATAAACACGGTCCAACAAAAATTATCAGCAATACATGATTTTGGTCCATACAGATTCCATTCAGCACACTATTTCATTGTATCAGTTTTATGAGCGAAACAGACTCCACAAAGCCTCTAGGTTACTTTGTCGCACTTAAAAACTGATTCTAAATCTGTTGCAGTAACTCAAGTAGCATGTTATGATAAAATTAACGTAATTCAATGAAATTTCTTCTTAAAGTATACTGACTTAATTGAAGTTTGTCAATTCTCTTCAAAAGGCATTCATACATATGCTATCAGAACTGCGATGTGTTTTCAGAAATAAAAAAAATAGCATTTGATGTTTTTATTAAGCCTTTTCATAATTCATCCCAACAAAATAAGAAAAAGAAAAATCATTATTTTTTTTTCGGTTGTATTAAAACATCCGGTTTTATCACTGTATACATGTATATAAGGGAAATGTTGTATTATTGGCAATGCCACCGTATGGCGTAGATGTACATGTAGGCAGCTATAGGCATTCAACAATGAGTTAAACCCATACTGTATAGTTAACTATGAAAGGTCCCAGCATGACAAAATGTGGAACAATTCAACCGATTTCATTCTTAATAAAATGACGAAAAACAAATGTGAAAGACACCAAGAAATGATAACCACTGATTTTCAGGCACCTATAGAATGTGGCGGGGTTTTACATGTTTACACGTGCACAACCCTCCTTCTAACTTTGGACATTGGCGTAACAGCACAACATAATAGCAAACTATGAACACCAGTTGTAAATTATTAACCGAATTATCAACCATTGAATTCGCTAGTTGGTATTTGGTATAACCAATGTATGTTTATTTGATTTCTTGTTAATCTCCTGATGTTGTAAAATGCATTTTACTTTTGATACCCCTGATGTTGTAAAATGCATTTTACTTTTGATACCCCTGATGTTGTAAAATGCAATTACTTTTAATACCCCTGATGTTGTAAAATGCAATTACTTTTAATACCCCTGATGTTGTAAAATGCAATTACTTTTAATACCCCTGATGTTGTAAAATGCAATTACTTTTAATACCCCTGATGTTGTAAAATGCATTTACTTTTAATACCCCTGATGTTGTAAAATGCAATTACTTTTAATACCCCTGATGTTGTAAAATGCATTTACTTTTAGTACCACGTAGACGTTCACCTCATCCAATACCCGAAGAATATGATGATTACAACGGAATAAGTAATGGTGATGGTGAGATTTATTTAAATATCAAGATATAGCTAGATTGTTGCAGTCAGTTTTTTCTGTGGTAAAATGCGAACAAATGTTATCAGCAAATGAGAGCATTAAAAAAAAAATTTTTAACTGTTATTCATCTATTTTCATTTATCTTCTTAGGTTTACCATTAATGACCGTTAATATCAGAAAATATTATCATATGGTTTATATTTTTCTGTTCTAATAAAACCTCAGTCGTCATTTATGTCTAGGCAACATGTTTTTGATCAGGAAATTTAGTAATTTAAGCACCAAGTTATTGAAGTTACTACTCCATAGGATGCTTATAAATTCAATTTGTAAATTAAGAAAACAATTTGCGTGCAATTATCATTTAGATTGTTGAACGATGGACAAGAATGCGAGATTAATTATTGCAATTTGGGAAAAATTTGCATACAAATAGTTCTATAACAATTCAAAAAGTGAATGTTTATTTTTGCTAGCTATCCCTTCACAAAATTCGCATTAAAAAACACATCTAAAAAAAATGTGAATTTATGTCCTGGATATATCATTTGCTTTATTCAACTACCAAAAGTAAAGTGCAATGAGTTAAATATTGCTGAATCTGCATGATGTCAACCCGGATGTTGCATGGACTGGTACAAATTAAAATGTCTGTGTAACCTATCCAATAAACAAGTTGATGCGAGAAATATAGCTCGTCATTGGAAATGTTTAAGAATCTGTGTTCAGTACGTACGAAATGTTCACTATCTTACAAGTATCTCCAGTAAGTAAATATTCTTTGTGAATAAACAAACATATTTGATGTCATCCTACAATCATTATGTCACTTTAAAAAATTGCTAGCTATTTGTAGAAAGTGAGTTTTCTTTTAAAAGAATATATGTACAATGTATATAGCATTTTATTATATATCACACATTCTGAACTTGAAAACAAATGCAAGTCGTGTTTTTGTATTAACACGTTATATTTTTCTCGTCTCGACACTGTTATCGTTAAGAGCTCTCAATATATTAAATAGAAGGATTGTGTTGTAGTGTTAAGCACCATCAACAACATATGACTCAAATTTGGTTTTTACTCAACCCTTTTATTTTAAATGTCTATGTAGGAAGCCAGTCTTCATCCGATGAACACGGACCAATGAGCTCAGCTTCTTACACAAGCTACAGTGGTAACCCAAATGAAGGTGCATATACATATCTTATGTGTTTTTGTTTCTTTGAGTCTTGTTTGTTATGAAGATGTCTATTTTGCTTTATTTTTGCTTTTTTTAGGAATTTCAAAGGCGTCGTCCTTAAAGTTATGACTTAAATGGGCATTTTGACCTTGACATACCATTAACTATTTCATTCACTTTTTTGTTTCACTTGTGACGAAGTTGAAGAAGCGGAACTTTTATTTGTTTTTTCCAGAGGCATCAGCGGCTAGATAAATTGTGAAACATGTTAAAGTTTAGGTTTCGGTCAGTTTGTAGTTTGAATGAACCTTGATTAGAAAACAATTAAATTTCATACGAAGTCGTTTAAGCAGACTAGGCAAAACTTATTCTTATGAAAATTATTTTGTCACGATATGTCAGTCATGGTCCATTGAATCTGAATCTTTTGAATAGCTTGCATGTTACAGTTTGTGATTTGACCAGTTTAAAGGGAACCACGTGCACTAGCAGTAAGTCAATGATTATTGGAATATAGTTGTTTAAGTATTGGATATACAGATGTTTTTCGCCTGAATGCAATTTCGAAAAAAACTATTAAAATCTAAATGACAATACTTTAACATTTGAAGTATTCAAATCGAGTTGTGCTTAACGGGTGTAATCTATTATTGATTTTAAAAATGAGGTGGCTTTATAATCTGATTTCTAAAAAGTTTCTACCACCCCAATATCCAAACATATTAAGAGCGCTTTCTTTTACACAAAATTGAACAAATGTTTTGATCTCGAACGAACCTGGTGAAGGCTATTCCAGAATCACATGATGTGCCCATAAAAATTCTATGATAAATTTCTCACATAGATTTTATATATTATTTATTTTTTAATATGTTCTATACAACTGGATTTTAGCTAGCCCTATATTAAATATAATGATCTTATGGTTAAACAGTTGTAATTTACTTGACGCAATATTCCTTTTACTGATTATAAAAAGAAACATATCTTTTGTATTAAAAAACGAGCAAGATGATAGGAGGGAAGTTGAGCTTTATATTACTTCAAACTTGTGTTCATATTCCTGTTCAAAATCAAAGCGTTATTTATTCTATGTTGTGTTTTGTGTTTGGTGTTGATGTCCGATAAATAGTATCTTTTGCTGAAATCATTGAATTCTTTATTAGAGGGGATCATAAAGCTACATGTAACATAAAGAAGAAAAGTTCAAATAAGAGTAATGATTTATAGCACATTTAGATAATGCTGCAAATTTTTAAAAAAATATATAATTCTGATACCGTTTCAACTTAGACTCATATTTATAGTATCTTAGACATGACCATTTTTTAATCATAAATGGGTTGCTATTATATAGCGTAAATCGAAGATGTATTTGAATTGGGGAATCTACTTCAATCTAATATTTTTCCTTCATACATACATATGATATATCCTTAATTAATCTACACAGCTGACTTTTTATTTCAATTTACCGGAGATAAGCTAATAAACAGTAATTTACGAAATTGAACCTAGCGTGTCATTAAAACGTCATATGACATACAACCAGTCAAAGATGTTAAACTAAATTATTCAACTGTGAATGAATCGTATACTATTCTCTTGTCCTTTGTGAAACGAATTCATGTTACCACATTTAGAGCATGAACTGGTAATGAAATGTCATAATTTTGTTGGTAAATTGGTACTTGTCCACTACGTTTTGTAAAAGCTAGTAAAAATATTACGATTTGCTAATAACATTAGCCGTTCTAGTTTCACTGCACAAGATGCGTATTTTGACAATTTTGAATATCTCTTTAGTTATCCTCGAGGTCACAACATTTAAAAATCCCAAGCCTAATGTCAACTCTGGAGAACTGATGTAACCAAAACAACGGACCAACAAGAATAGCCCAACCCGTGTAAAGAATCAGAGCTATTCATAAGGGCGGTACATTCCTTAATTAAAGATGGTTTTCTAAGATTTTTACTTTCAAATTCAAATATCCCAATATCCGTATTTCATGTGAATACAGAAGTATTGAGCAACTTGGGAGATGATACCTTCCAACACCAATAGTAAAACAGAAGGGGTATTGCTCCAGTAGCAAAAATAACATTTACCGTATCAGTGTTACTATCCAGATGCGTATTTAGGCAATTAATATCTCTTCAGTGATCCTCGAGGTCTAAATATGTCAAAACCTAATACCACGTTTGAATAGCTGATGTAACTGAAAAGAACCAAAAGTATAGCCAAATCTCGATTAGGAATTTAGCGTTGGAGACCCACATGCTATTAGAGGTATTGACCCAGTCGTAGTCATAACATTATCGGGGCCAGTTTTACTCCTCATGACGAGCATTTCGAAACAATAGTCTCTTTAGTGATGCTCCAGTCAAACATAAAAAAATCAAACCATAATAGAACCTATGGAGGGCTGATGTAACCGAAAAGGACAAAGAAGCAAAGCCAAACATGGACAAGGAATCAGAGCTCTGTATGAGGGAGATTAATTCCTTAACTTGAAATGATTTTATAAAATTTATTAGAGCAAAGTTTAATAAAACAATATCCGCATATTCATGCCTGTACAGAAAAACTGAGCTACTAGGCTGGTAATACCTTTCTGGCATAATCCTTCCACCAGCAGATTCATCGACCAAGTGGTAGTTTAAACATTAACGGTAGCAGGTTAACGGCACTAGATTTGAATTTAGACAATTAATGTCTATTCAGTGATGGTTGAGGCGCAAATATTTGAAAATCCGAAACCTAATACAAACTTTGAAAACCTGATGATTTATTTATGATTGGTGTTAAATGCCATTTCAGCACACTTGACTCTATCAAGGCGACCATTTTTTTTTTGCTGGATGAAGCCAAAGTACCAAGAGGAAATGGCCAACCTTCAGCCAAAAAAACTGGCAAACCTAGTCTATTAAGATATGAGTTGAACGCATCTTTCCGCGAAGTCACAACCTCTGTATTGACAGGTTAATGTAGACGAACTACTAAGAACACTCGGCCTCTCTACATAAAAACAAATGATTAGTTGAAAGCTTATATTTTTGTTCTTCTATTTGTATACATTTGATAATGCCAGACATGCTTTTCAAACACTTGGTGTTGCGCGGATTTGATGAATGTCATTTCAGATACGCGTGCCGTGCGAACGGAAACAGGAATCATAGGTTTTGTAAACGTTGACCTCTTTTAACGCAATATTTGCAGTATGATGTAAAAATTGTACGAACTACATGAACATGTCAACTGAATCTTTTATTCACAAACTAAGTATGTGTTTGTCGTCGGCTTTTGTCATAACTGATAGATAAAAAAAAATCCAGGAATGCATAAAACTAATCTGTTGCCATTGTTCTGATGATTTAATTTAATTGATTATATAATTAATGAATTAAATTATTTATTCATTTTTTTTTTTTAATTTTGATTTCGTAGTTTTAGCAAGTATTCCTCAAACAACCGGAATTCGACAAGAAAAACAATACTCCGATCACTACAATTCCATGCCGAATGCCATGGATTCATGGAAGGAGCCATTGACAGCTGTCAAAACAATTGTTGCGTAAGTGAGCTTATTATACTGCGTTTTGTTCTGTTTTGAAATCATTACCACCTTTATGTTGTTATAGAAGTCAATTTTCGATTTTGTTGGAAAATATGTGTCAAAGAATTATTAATAGGTCACTGAGATTTAGTTACACGTGTGTTTCTCATCCTTTGGTAAATATTGCGGTTGCATTGTAAACAACCAAATTGTCGAATATTTTATATTGTACGACCTGTATTAGACGAAAATATTATAATTAAGGTTTCATTTATTCGATATAATTATACTGTGCTTGTTTCATTAATATAAAAAATACTTTTGCAACACCTACTAATTATCTTAAAATGACGATTCCGCTTCATAATTATGGTGCGTTCGAAACACTTTCCTGAATTAACCCTCACCAGGAACGTCCAAAACCGAATTTATGAAAGCCAGAGAATAGAAGCTAAATGACCAAAAAGAATCTTTAACAGAATAGCTGGAGTATATATGGCTTTACACAGTAGAATACTACTTTATGTGACTTACATTTAAGACCATTTTATGGTATTATTTGCATAGTTTAAAAATAATGATCTAAGGATATAATAGTTTGAAATAATCAATGTCATTGAAACATAATCATACACAATTTTACTAGTGGCAGTAGTTGTAATAGCTGGTAAACAAATATACTCCTTCTTTGTTAAAAATAATAGTGCGCGAAACAGGTGTTGTCATTGTACCCTCTCAGTCTTCGTCCAAGAAGGTGTGTCCGTCTTTTTGTAGACTAGATTAGACGTGAAGCTTGGTGTTTGAAGATTGAAGTTTGCCGTCGGTATAACAATCATAAAACTTTAAAAAGTTTCAAAATTGAAAGGTTCCATTCTGTGGATTGATACGAGATTCCTCAGACAAAATATATTTTGGTTAGAACAATTTTGTACCTACTAACCACAGAATAAGTTTGATGATGACTGTCTGCGGTAAATTTAGGATATAGCATTGCGAAACATCGTTTTGGAAAATAAAAATAGCACTGAATAAATTTGATGGGTCCGAAGCGCATAACATATCAATTTCATTTTCCATAACATTATAACAATATCTGACGTTCAACTGCTACCAATGTAGGTATTTTCTCAAAGATTATGAAATTATTCCTCTTTCCATACCAAAGCATATTGTTACTTTAGTTAAAACACTCTTTTTTATAAAATTAAGTCCACAAATGTTTGAAAATAACACATCCGAGGGTTTTTCTAAGTGCAATGCATAATAATTTTAATAATTTTCAAAGAAAAGTAGAAGATCTTTTGTTAAATAGACCTATATTTATCATACCAAACTATAAAAGTTATAGACATTGCACTTTCCTGTTTTGCTAACTTAACCAAAAGAATAAATGCAGTTGTTTTGCTTAGAATCTCTACGTAATTTTTTGCCCATATACTTTTCACAACACATCTTATGCCAAAAACCAATAGGTCAGTTAACATAAAATGTCTTAATCGGATTATTTATATTATACTGAGAGTATTTAACGTGTGTTATAGATCTTAAACTGATTATGACTGAGTGTTATTCTCTTTTTCCCTACTTATCATCCTTCCTTAAAATATGATAGAATGCGTAATTTTTTATGTACGTTTTGAAAATACGGTAAATTGACGTTGGTAATTCAATTACTAGTTATGTATTGAGTTCTCCTCAAACAGTTGGTATTGAATCGTATGATGAAAAGTAGGAGCACAGTTCCAGTTAACCTCTATAAGAAATAAAACAGTCCTTTTAAGTACGAAATTTCTTAAAATGCGATTTGTGAATTTGCTCAAACATCCCTTTCAATTTTTTACGTTCAATGTTTTAATTGAATGGTAATACAGTGAAAAATTCTATATACACATGATGTACGTTTTAATATTATTGTGATACTTTAAAAACAGGACTTAATGCTACGTAAATGAATGTATCTTAACCTTATAGCGAATCGCACCGATATTGGGAAGTCAGTCAAAAACAATTCATATATTTAATTTTAGAGACAATGAAGAAACGTTCGTAATGGAAACAGATACCAAAGAAGATGAAAATTGATGATTTTGAAGACCATGTATTGCTTCCCTGGACTTTCCCGTATACATAAGTCGGACAAAATGAGATGAATTTACATAGTGTATTCAACCCTATATTTATATATATAGCATAATAGGACAATATCCAGATTTACATTCTTTGTCTACTCTTTCCTAAGCATTTTTTACATTGATATCACCCCTTTTGCAAAAATATTTTTCAGCTGGAACCATACAATTTTAGCAACATTGAGGCAATCAACCCATCAATTTTATTTATGATTTGCAAACTTTTGGATAATGTTCCTACTGTGTCAATTCGGTTTACAGGAAAGGGAATTTTTAATGTCGTTTTATGGCTTTGCTGTGTGCAACATTATATAGTTTTCTGAAATTCTTAACATTAACCCAATCATTTTACTGATGTAAATAGTGCCTGTACCTAATATCTGATGAGACTTGTGTGTTATGAAAATATAAGGTACATGTAGTTTATATCTAGGAACCTACACATAATATTACTTTAGTACCGTTTTCATCGCCATTAGCTGTTTTATGATAGATTTGTTCATACACAAACAGAGAATTCAATTATGTGGTGCGGAAGTGCTTCATGATCGTCACTTGCTTTTATTTCGTATAAATTAAACATAATTCAATTTTCATATTTACAGATCTTCAAAATAAATCTTCATGCTATTAACATTTCGAATCTAAAATTCGAAAAGTTCGACAGAAAAAGTGCTGCAGCATTCCACGTGAAATCAATTATCTGTCATATGGGTGAAGATGTAGATTTCAAAATAGATCAATCATGCAATATTTATTTAATTTAGATGATTAATATACATGAATATAATAGGATTATATTCATCGTTTCATTTTTCTATTAAGCAATTATATAATTATTTACAACATGCATTGTAAATTATCAACTTTTTTCAAATTAATATAAAAAAAAAAGACTTTTGAAAAGTACATGAACATGAGTAAAAAGGTTTTTGAAGGTAAACCCGTACCTTTCATGCCTTCATGCCACCTCAAACACCCCTATATAAAAACATGTTCAAAAGTGCATGAATACTAGTACTGCCACACTTATAAATGTACAACATGTGACCTATCCGTTAATTTAATTAGATAAACAGTCTCTATGAATCAGATTTGATTATACGATACTTAAGTTGTAGACGAACATTAATGTCTGTTCACTACACTCGATGCAATCATTCTTTGGAACCATAACGTGTAAAATTACTTTTCGAAAGGTACAGAGGTAAGAACTTGAGTGAACATTGATATGCCTTGCCATCTATTGTGTTGTTTTATTCGCTATCATCAATGCTATATAAGCCCAAGTTCGTCACGCGCAAGTTTATTGCAATACTGAATACTGAAGTAATGTTTGCACGGCATGGCTATTGCTTCTATAATCTTCCATGTTCGTCCTATATATTTCATAACAATACGTTTTGATCTGTTTAGATTTAACAATATTCTTTTTTTAAATCATTGAAAATGAGCCGATTAATATGATTTTTATCGGTTTTTAAATGCTTTGACATGATTCCCTTCATCCCTATCAACAGTTCAAACAAATATATCAATTAATCTTTATTTTGACTCCCAGAATCACGTTCAATGGTTCCTTTTTTTCTGGGCGGGGTTGGGGGGGGGGGGGGGTGGGGGGGGGGGGGTCGGGGGGATGAGGTGAAGTGCAGGTTGGTAAGGGTAAGTCTGTCAGCTTACGAATATTAGCTAAGGTATAATTTGAATAATGCATTGTGAACTGTATATTTCACTTATTTTTTATGAATTTTTCGCAGCAAAATTTGACCAATGGACGGATTATTTCATTATGTTTGAGCACTTTTGAAAAACCACAAAAACTTTATATACTAGTTTTTTCAATAGAGGTTTTTTGGGAACTTATGTTTTTGCACTAATAATGCGAGGGAATTACTAATACACATTTATAATCATTAGTATATTCAATAAAACTTTTTTCTTTAAAACTTGCTTATCTGGAATAAAACCACCAATTCATAGCCACATTGGTTTCTATGTTAAATCCTGCAATTTCAAGTATTAATGGCGACTTTGTCTTAAGTTCAAATTAAGTGACAGTCATTGCATGTCAACATTATACCTTATCCTGACTTGTGCTGAAATATTCAACATACCTTTAATTGCATATTAGAGCGCACTGGTTCCCGGAAATTTGGTAGTACAAAAACAGATACTTCCGATCTGAACAACAGGGCAAATGTGCCCTCCTATTATAATTTCATGTATCTTTTTTATTATTCGAAATAAACTTTCAACAAGGGTCCTACAGTGATTCCGAGTTCTTAAGCTTTCATTTGATACCAAATTTATCCAAATATTTTACTTATTGACAAAGTTTAAGCTATGCGAAGGTAATAATTTGTTTAAAGTATGTACTACTTTTTATATGTTTTTTTCTGACCGGGCCCGAATTAGTGGTTCAATACCATCTAAAAATAGTTTAGTTGGGATGAGGGCTTTGCGTTACTTTATATAAAAATCAGAAGATGTGGTATTGCGTTAAGGCTGTGTTGTATTTAAATCTTTAATTGGATTGTATTGAAGTATATAAGAATGTTGTTCAATGATGATGATTTTTATTTTTATTGCTTTATATGTATACATATCAATGTATCCTATGAAAAAAATCGAAACAAATAATTTGTTGATTTTACTGTTCGTATAATTCTGTGAAATACTTTAAGTCTTTCTTTTTTACAGATCATTATATTTACATTTTTAACTATGTAGACTATTTCAGGTTAAAATGTACTGTAAAATTATTATTGTTCAGATTATTTTTCGAAAGACAATGTGATCATTGATTGGTAGTCCGCCATTACTAATTTAAGTGACAAAAATGAATCGTCGGTGTTCGTTTCTTGATCCATGTTATCTATAGTATAATATATCTTATAAAATCCTACTATATAAACATGGATTGTTTCATTACTATAGTGCCATGATACCGATACAACTTATGTTCGTTGTCTCGACTAGTGTTTTTTTACCAAGATTCTTACACGTATTGTTTTAACGGGTAACAAAGTGACATTATTTACTTAATTTCGTAAATTTAGTCGACGAGTTTAACAAAGTTAACCATATATGTCCTTTCCGATTGGCGAAGGAACAGTAAAGGAGTAATTTTACATATCTTTGTAAGATTATTAATAAATTTTTGACAAGAATGTGTCCATAGTACACGGATATCCCACTCGCACTATAGTTTTCTATGTTCAGTGGACCGTGAAATTGGGATCAAAAAACTAATTTGGCATTAAAATTGGAAAGATCATATCATAAGGAACAAGTGTACTAAGTTTCAAGTTGATTGGATTTCAACTTCATCAAAAACTACCATGACCAAACACTTTAACCTGAAGCGGGACAGATAGACGAACGGACGAACGGAAGAACGAACATACGCATAGACCGAAAAACATGAAGGTGGGGCAAACAAATCAAATTATTAAAAGAATAACTTTCTAAACAATTTTATTTTCATTGAAATGATTGAATGTAATTAAGATTAGTAGATATCAGCAAAATCACTGTAAAATCATAAAGCCAGATTGTTCTTTAAAACCTGTACTGGTATATTGTTGCCAGATTAATTTCTGATTTGTTAATGGACATGATTTAAGGAACAAATTTGCAATGTTTCAGACGAATTGTATGGAGTACTTACGCATAAAATAGTCGACGTAAGAAAGTGTTGAAAACCCCTGCAATCATAAGATTTTATAGTTGCCATTAAGTTATCTATCAACATGTTCAAAGAACGAGTTATAGCTTGATATATTGTGTATACAACTTTAAATTTGTGAAAACATTTTGAGTGACGTCTAAATGTTTTTTTGGTTATAAGCATCGATTGGTATCTGTATCTAGTTGACTTAAACGCCTCATCGCCTATTATTCATAATACATTAAACAGTTAAAATTTGTGTTTCTATTTTGAAACAACGGAAATTTCTGAAACAATAAAATATCATTTTAGGAAAGGTCATTAGAGTTTTGAGAAATGAACATTTTGATGGCAATCAGAAAAAAACAAATGTTTATCTTTCCTTGCAATATTTATTCCCTTAAATTTCAGAACAAAATATTCAAACTTAAGTCAAGACAAACATGATGGTTTCAACTGTCCGATTGTCAACATCCAATTTCTCATCAGAAACATACCCACTGTCCCATCGTATGGCGTTGGCATATCTCAATTGATATTACATTTGTACGCTCGTGCATGTTCACACCATACGGTCTGCACCAGCAAGAGTGTGCCACTTACACAAAAGCTGCTATATACCAGAATATCGTCTAATCCGTAATTCTGTGATCTATTCCCGATCACTAGTATGACTTTTTGACTGTGTGTGTGTTCTCTTGTCATGTGATTGATCTATGCATATTAGGAGACGCTTACCATGTCGACTCAGTCGGTCTCGCTCCTTAAGGATAACATGCGATTCTTTCAGTTTTTGTTTGTTACTTTGCTGTGTCTTCTAAATCGATTTATGAGATTTGAACAATGGTTAATAAACTCATCATAGATACCAGAATTGAAATTTTGTATTTGTGCCAGACGCACGATTCGTCTACAAAAGACTCATCAGTGACGCTCGAATCAAAAAAAGTTAAAAAGGCCAAATAAAGTACGAAGTTGAAGAGCATTGAGGACCAAATAATCCTAAATGTTTTGCTAAATACAGCTAAGGTAATCTATTCCTTAGATAGAAAAGCCTCAGTATAACCATTGTTTCCTTTTTGTTGCATGAACATTTCTAGTTAAATTTAGTTAAATAGTTTGAGAATCACACTTTCACTCTTCTTTTCTGGTTTGTGCGTCCGTCAGTTTGTCTGTTCGTTCATTCATGTATTCGTCCGTTTGTCGGTTCGTCCGTAAATCCGTCCGTCCTGTTTTAGGTTTAAGATTTTGGTTAAGGTAGTTTACCGTGAAGTTTTGATGACATCAACATGGAACGTAGTATGCATGGTCATAATGATTCAACACTGTTTGCTAAATCACGATATTCACTTACTAAATGGAAATGAGATAGCGCGAACGGACATGGTGTCCTAAGGACTCATTGTATGTTTAAGTAACTCTTTTAATTTCAAATTGTATACTTTATAATATTGATCTATAAAAGAATTGGTTTGGTATCATTTCTTAATGCATATATACTTTTATTTTTCTTATTTATCCTTATAAGTATTGAATATATATTAAATGTATGCTTGTTTGTGTAAAATCATATCAATGTTTGAATATAGTAGTTTTTACTAAATATGAATGTAAAATTTCAATAAATGTATAGATCTCGTTTCACACTTTTTTCAAATGTTATGTTATAGATTATGCATATTTAAGGTTTTTCTTGTAGTAGAACACCCCGAGGTGTGTTCTACGACAAGAAAAACCTTAAAATATGCATTATCTGACTTATATACCGTCAAAAAAATATTATTTTTTATAAAGATTTGCAAAATTTAGCATCCTATTTTACCGACCACACTAAAGTGGGATATTCCTTTCTTGTGCGTTCAGGTTTAATACGCCCTACGGCTCATTTAGAATGTGAAATAAAACTCACTAATTAGTCTAAATATAAACCTTAGAAATTATTATCCATACACAATCAAAATATTACTGTAACTACATGAAGTAATACACAAATGAATTGTTACCATCCGATAACGGTGTATGAAAAATACAAGACACTTTGTAAGTAATTTATTGTACCAACGTTAACTTTGTTTATGGAAAAGGGGGGGGGTTGCTATGTTGTTGGTTTTTTTTTCTATTTGTAATGACATTTCTATCGCGGAAAAGTGGTTATTTATTCAACAACTTTAATTGAATCGAATGATATATTCAGAAAGATTTTCTTTTGAATAGCAATACATTTTTTAAACAGATAATCAGGATATAATTATATACCCTCACCCCACCCGACCCTATTGTGAGGTACGTGAATGTTATTCAGTAGAATATAAGAATATTTTATTATTTGATCATTTGACAGAGTAAAAGGTATACATAAATTTTAAAAAGTTAAGAACTGACACGAAGGGAGCACGAAATCGTGATACATGTACATGTAACATGAAAACGAATATCAATACATTTAGGTCACAGTATGATTTCCTATTCAGTGTGTATCGTCCTGAACATGCATGAAATATTTGCCACTGAACGTTAAGCAACCAACAATCAATCAACCTATTCAGTGTGACTCAATAAGATTTTCAAAATCTTACACACGAATATGTTAAATCTGGCTTTAATTTAAAGTGTTATGAAAGTTTTACATTAAAATTCATCTCACATATATGATAATGTCTCTGTATTGTAGCGATAAATTAACAAAACTTCACGTTATTTTACACCTATAATAGATTAAACTTTAAAAAATAAAATCCCAAATCGGCAACAAAAAACTATCAGAAGAATATAATTTTGAAATGAATTATAGTTTGCAGTTTTATCAAGGAAAATAATGACCTCACACAGGTCATTATTTTATGTCTTGGAGAATATTTCATTGAAACATGGTATCGTCCGGGTTGATTCTTCGAAAGGATGACATATCGTTCTGAAAGAAAATAACTCCATGTAGGTATATAAATCGGAATATCACTTTTATTCTGCTACGTTACTGATCATTGGGACGCATCACTACATTGCGCACTGGACAAAACGTATCGCTACATTGCGCACTGGACAAAAAGCATCGCTACATTGCACACTGAACAAAACGTATCGCTACATTGCACACTGAACAAAACGCATCGCTACATTGCACACTGAACAAAACGCATCACTACATTGCACACTGAACAAAACGTATCAATCCATTGTTCATTAAACAAAACACATCACCATGCACATTGCACACTGAACGAAAACTAATGCATTGCAATGATTATTGTAGAAATCAGTTTAACCTTTCCTTGTCAAATTCATCTTAGATGAAATATTAGGAATTAAAGGACTTTCCTAGCATTTCATCTTGCAGGAATTTCCTTTGTTCAAATGGTTGTCTCCTATGGATAGATCGTGAACTATCGTAGACTTTGGAATCTTAGATATCTTCGAATGAAAATTAAATAAGGGAATGCTTCCTATAAGGCAATTAAAAACCTTAAGTCAATTGCCTGGTTGAGTTAGATATTTTGTCAGAGGAGATATGATATGATGAGTATCTAAGTATCAACTCAATATGTTTTTTTATTAAACATTATCATCTTTTTAAGTAATATATAGATGTCAGTTCAAACATTCTATTATCAGTATACAGAACTTTTAAATTTAGATTTCACACCAATTACAAAGCAAATAAATGAAGCGTGTATTAACGTGTATTACATGTATTACGAGTAGATAAAAGGGTTCAATCAAGACCAAGAGTCGACAAACGAAAACATATGTCTAAAGTTTGAAAAAAAACATAACGACAAAACAAAGTCCACGAGACACGATCAACAAGGAACTGGTGCGAAGGGTCGGCAGTTCCTTCTCAATCATCGGCATCTGTCATGTGGTCAATTTCATGTTACAATCGGATGATAGTTGTAAACTAGTTTAAAAGAACGGAATTTTGGCAACGACAAAAGAAATATATCCTAGGTCATCTGTAACACAGATGTTACCTAACAGTCAAACAAAATATGTTGGGCGCATCTAAAACTCTCGAAGAGATCAGTTAAATTAGCGATTAATAACATCATATTTATACAATGAAATTTCATAGTAGATTGTACCTTTAGTACATTTACCCATCATTGCTGTATACGATAATTTCATGCGTATTTTTTATCATGTGTAATTGAGTCAGATCATAATCGTCACTTTCTTCTGTTCAATAACCTTACAATAACAAAACAATGAAAAATACAGACCCCCCCCCCCCCTCTCCAAAAAAAAAATCAAGCACAAAAACATTAGAGGCAATAGCAGTTTATTAATGTTCAATAATAAATCCAATAAATCCATTTCGATTACAGAAATCAGGGAAAAAGAAAAAAACAACTAAGTGAATTGCATGAACTTCAAAAGGAACAACACTGGTTGCTTTGAAAAGCATAAGGGTAAGAGTCTCGTGCTATCCATGCATCACTCGTGAACTATGCGTAGAGTATGTTTTATAACAGTTACTTGACGTACAGTGGCAAATATTTCATGCATATTCATGAAGAAAACACTTTTACAATTATTTCAATAGGTAGATATTACAGGGTAGGGCGGTCGAAATGAAGGGCGAGAAGTTTGGACTGCATCTGGAAAATGAGTATACGGAGCCCACAACGAGTTAGTGCAAAGGCTCTTTTACATGCAGTGAATCTAGCACTCGTCTATCACGTGACATCGCATTTAACGGTTCAATTTAGACATGACTTGGCTGCCTATTTATACATCCAAACGTGCGCTTCTTTATCGAGGATTTTACATTCGGACGTAGAAGTCTAAATTTTACCACATTATCATTCCCCAGTCAACCCTCTAAGGGTGTAAATGAAAGATGTGTATGTCCGTCTAACATGGATCATCTGATCATAATGTCATTTGCATTGCTTATTGGTCAGTCAACTTTAAGATCTGTCTACCTGATTCTATAAGCAATAGTTCGATTACATTTGTTGTATTTCTATCTAGCAGAATTCCCCTTGCATCATTTCTATGGACCATTGACGATGTTAAGTTAATGTTATACCTGTAGTAAGACTTTGTTATATGGAAAGACTTCTAACATAAAATTTAATCATGACAGTAAAGCCGGCAAAACATTACATTTGTTAGTCTTGTATGTTTTTTTAATTTTGGTTCATTTATACGTTTCGTAGTTTAGTGTGACGTCCATTTTCGCTGAACTAGTATACATTTTTGTTTAGGGGCCAGCTGAAGCCCGCCTCCGGGATTTCCTTGCTGTTTTGAAGACTCATTGGTGGCCTTGGGCTGTTTTCTGCTGTTTGGTCGGGTTGTTTTCTCTTTGACACATTCCCCGTTTCCATTCTCAATTTTATTTCAGCATGTGTACTCTTGTTAAGCTTAATGTATGTAATAAGGTGTAGAGGTTCTCATAAATCACAATTGTCTGTAATGGAATCAAAGCTGAACATTTGCATGAAGCAAAGACTTATAAAACTATGCCACTACGTGAAGTAAATATTGTTTGAAAACTTAACGATAAACTGTTAGATAAATTTATTTTGAATATACAGTAACTCATATATCATATAAAACAGGTGCATGATTGTATAACAAGTGAATAATGCTAATATCATTGAAAAAGATCAGACATTTATGACATTACATCTCTGGCATGACAGAACATTTTCTATGCAAACAAATACTAAAAAAAAATCATCATGTGTTTATTGAGAAGCACTAGGACTCATGATAGGAGAGTAAGTAGACATGTCTTATTAAATCTAATGTTGTGCAGAAGTTTTATTGGATAAAACATATAAATCATTGTTCAGTACATGTATACGTATAAAACATCATCTATGAAACCTTAATTAGTTTAGTTGACATTGTATTGTAGTTTCAGAGGAGACGAATTTAAAAATCTTACGACGACGGACACCGAGTGATTACAATATCTCACATAGTTCTTTCAGCCTGTTGAGCTAAAAAGGAAACATTTCATTAACAAACTTTACAATGTTTATGCAAAATCATAACAGAAATGACAGAATAATGGTTAAATATTGGAAAATATATCTTAAAAACTTAGATAATAGAAATATATCATACAAAATTTTCCATGGATGGCTCTTGTGTGAAAAGGTTTAAAAAAGTCAATGTTTTTGGTCTTTTTGAGATAATTCCTCGTGTATATACTGATAAATCTTACTTCATTTCTTAGGTAAAGTTTGGTGTACAAATTATTAATGAAGTCAATCTGTTTTACTGCCCATTGCACTCAATAATTAACTTTGGTACACCTAATCATACCATCTTTTGCTGGGCAACAACTGATAGAATTTGTATGAAGACTTAACCATTGCCCTCTGATATTATTGAGTATTTTTACGTACATGCTAACAGTGGAAGTGAAATCAAAACTAGGGTCTTGTCAAGATAAAAAGCAGCAATAGAACACACATAATGATTATTTATGATAGTTCTTAACAACATTATCTTATGTGCATCAACACTGTATCTTTCTTTATCAATATTAATTTAAACAGGTGATATCTTCTAAAAAGATTATGCCATTGAGAAACATAATGCACTGACTGATAAGTTAGATGTCATATAAAATCCTAGGGAAAGTTTGGTCCTCAATGCTCTTCAACTTCGTACTAAATTTAACCTTCTGAATTTATTGATTCGCGCATCATTGATGAGTCTTTTGTAAAAGACACGCGCGTCTGATGTGCAACATTTAGGCCTAATACCTTGGAAAAGTTTTAGTTAAAGTGCAATAACTAAATAGTTAATAAAATTTTACCAAATCTTCTATCAACATTCAAGAGGTGAGTCTTCAAAAAAAATAATTGAATCTCATTGAAACAGAGAATAATATCAACTTAACGTAGTCAATGACAAATGTAAATATCATAAAAAAAACCACCACAATATATACGAATAAATGACAACAACTATATAAACAATATATATAGAGAGAGAGAGAGAGAGAGAGAGAGAGAGAGAGAGATACATGTATAAGATAACAATGGACGGACATTTTTTTTTTTGCTTATCACATCTTAAAAACTCTGTACATAAATATTGTACCTGAATACACCTGAATAAAAATCATATCTAATATTGTAAACCAATTTATTTTCAAGGATACTTAATTTTCATAACTTACTCTTCCTAGTCTACATCACGATTCCAATTTCTTTGATGTATGTATATAATGAAAAACCCGAATGAGTAGGGCCAATAAGGCCCTTATTTGGCCCAAATATAAGTGCAAATTAAAAAGTTATCATAAGTATTTTTAATTTTGTCCTAACTTAACTACAAAGTACAAGGTATTCAGAAAATAAAAAAACAAATTTCACATTTGACGAGTTAGGCAAAACACCATGACGAAATTAGTATAATTTGTAAACTTTCTTAATTGTCCTTGTTTTTTTTCATCAAACTTTAAGTATATTTTAGATTGACAAAGTATGTGCGAACACAAGACACATTGTTATATTCGGTGAGATTATGTCGATAGTTACAATACATTCTCATAAATTATTTTGTTGTTTCTTGGCTGCGCACCATGTTTCCACAATGGCAAAAATGATGAAAAACTGTATAAATTCTGTATTTTTCATGAAAACGGTACATATTATGACGTAACTGTGACATCATCAGATGAAAAATCTTGTGTTTTTCATTTATATTTCTTGACTTTATGTATTTCCGAAACTAATTAGCAAATTGGAAATATATGTCTAACATTTTATTTTTGGCGCCAAAACCGGGCCTTAATGCCCCTATTCCTTTAAAATATTCGCGATGATTTATATTCGAGTTATTTTACAACTCTTTTAGATTTTATCAGTTTTATCAGTTTTAAAATGGGATGTACAGGAATGATAGTCCTTGCCTTTAAATTATTTCAAAGTTCACAAAATAAATCTACACAAGTTACATTACTTAGGTGTATGCACATACACACAAAAGATTTCAAACAATAGACAGATAAATGGACGGATAAATAAGCACTTTTATTTATTAATTTGTTAATTTTAAAATATGACCATTGCACATTCCATATTTCAGTAAGCAAAGGCAACCACAATTAAGTGACGTTCATGGAATAATGAATTGCCCAACTTTTACTGCTGAATGCCCACCAATCGACACAGCTTTAACTGTTACATGGACTTTTAACCCTGTGGTAGCTGACACAGAGGCTGGTATACCAAATGTAATGCTAGTATTACTAGTTTCTTGCCACTGTATTATGTTTACACCTGCTTGAGCAGAGCCAGAAGACACTTCATAGAACAGATCACCATCAGCACTAAAGATGGTGTCCCAGGATACAACCACTGTGTTATCAATCCAACTGAGTGCAAGGTTCTTTGAATCTGAAAATAGAATTTTCAGTCAAGACTTAACTGACAAAGATCAAAAACAGTACAACCAAAACTTGTGAAATTTTTTAAAAAAAAAAATCCTCCCTATTTACTATGAAAATAATTCAAGGTTTATAATATTCTTTTTTAAATGTACGTTGAAACTACATTGTAAAATGACATTTTACCAAACAGCAAAGCAGTTATCAATGTTAGAAATGTAAGTGATTAAAAAAATCCAATAGAAAAGAGGTAAATAAACTGATGTATGGTGTAATGGCGTATGATATAAGTTTGAAGTTAGCACCACTAAATGGTTGTAGCTCAAGTAGTTATATTTGTTTGCTTTTAAATTTTTGGTTTTCAGTATACCTGTAGAAGATCAATCCAGAAAAATACCTTGGACACACCAAGTTAATAAAGTGTAATTTTCATTTATAAGTCTAAAATTCTGTCTGTATACTAGCGACATGTTGCAATCAATAGCGTACAGTACACCAACAGTACACCAGCAGTTCTTAAATGAACAAAATGGATGTTTGGTGAATTCTTTTAAAGACATGAATTACGTCAGTTAGATTTGTATACATGGAATGACAACATCATATATGTGATGATGATCTCAACATGTCAACCCAGCTATTATGGTAAAAAAAATACAATGTATTAACAGTTTTACTTACTATCAACTGTGGGTACTGATGTATCTACTGTAGAATTCGCCTTCACTTTGCTGCTGACTTTAAACAGTTTATTGACTGCTTGAACAGAGAAGTCATATGATCCTTCTGTTAATGTCGTCTCTGTAAAATGGGCATACAGCACATCTTGTACATCAGCAAAGAACATCAACTCTGACAAGCCATCCTTGCTGTAAAATACCTAAAATGGAAACCTATCTATGTATCACCATTGCTTTTAAATAGTTCTTATGCAGATTTTAAAAAATAAAGAATTTTTATCGATAGGTTGCGAGCTAAATTCTATTACACTGCATACAAAAAAATACTCAAATCAAGCAGTTTAAGCCTCAGTTCTACTTTACCTAACAATAACACAGACATAACCTCAACTATCTATCACATTACACACGTTTAGATTGAAAAGTTGTAGGTAAGATAAAGATAGGTAGAGTCCGATACAGCTTACGGATTCACTGAAATTGGAGTCACTTATGAACTAGAGTGCACACACTGAAATGTCACACCTGTCTTACTAAATATGATTGAATGATTTTATGAGCGTCTGATTTTTGTCGTGTGGAGCAGGATCTGCTTACCCTTTCGAACACCGGTGATCATCTCCGGTTTTGGTTCGGTTCGTGTTGCTCAGTCCTTTGTTTTCTATTTTTGTTTTATGTACTCAGTTGTTTGTTTTTTCGTCATTTTTCGTTTTTTGCAATATCATTGTGAGTTTATTTTTGACTTATTAGTTTTAATATCCCTTTGGTACCTTACGCCTCTATTTTAGATGTACAGATATCAATCACATACACTAAACATTATCAATGATTCATAAAAATAATTCACAGTCAGATGAACCCTGTCAGACAAACATGTAAACCTTACATAAATTCTATCAACCAAATGCAGTTGAGAAATCAAGAAAACTTAACGTTGACAAATAAATATGAAATATGGGTATATTCATCTGAACATTGTCAAACTGTCAAGTTTACACTGCAATGATTCTTTTTACCAAATTTGTTTGTCCTATTACTTAGAATAACTGACAAAATTGTGTGATGAAAAAAAGCTGTCATTGATCGAACCTTGAGAATTAGATCAAGGACACAATTTGCCAGACATACACTTTATGCTTTATGGCATTTGTAGTAGATGTGGATAATCCATCTCTTATTTTTATATACAAAAATATTGTACCGTTGCTGCAGTACATCCGATTCCTATGTCTTGTATTTGCAATAATTGTTACACCTTATACCGTTGGTTGATGATGTTTGAATATGCAAGTTTTTATGGACTTCCTCTTTCTGAATTTACCTTTGAGTTCGGAATTTTTGTTATACTGTTATACAAACTTAGAGTAGGGGAAAATGCTCAAACGAATACCAACTTAAATACAATGTCAAACCAAAAAACGTAACCTTAAAATACATTCAAACATTAAAATCTGCACATATGAAATTACAAAAATATCAAGCTACAAAAGATTGAATTTGTCAGTAAGTGGCTTTGATTCTCCAACCCAACAACTGACAATTTCATATTATATTAAATGAGAAATATAATAGATTTTACTGAACTTTTATTTAACATATTCTTTGTAAATCACTTAATCTATAGTCTGGAATAAAAATACGATCTTCTTGTTTACCTTTCTCCTTATCCTAAGAAAGTAGTTAGAAATAAGAAACTGTACCGTGCTTCTGTAAAGTAAGATAGAAATGACAAGAGAAAATTTTAGAGGGGTAGGTTTGAATTTTCAACTGTTACCTTAAATCTTTCAACACCTATATCATCAGCAAATCCTGTCCACTTAAGTCTAATATTGTCTGTAACGCCTTGATTGTTGATTTGTGGAGTGTACTCTGTCGTGGATAGAGGCATGGTTTCTACTACCGCTGTAGCTATAGATGGAGGCTGGTTAGATATTTTTACTCCATCGGCGGACAGAGTAGAGATAAGTCCAGCATTATTTTCACAAGTCAGAGTGGTATAAATTGTTCTCCCTATCAGTACATTGTATGGAAATTCTTTGTATGCAGACAAAGTTGCGATCACTGTGTATGGTAATAACTCATTTCCACCAGGCTGGTAACCTACAAAAACAAGATATATAATAGAAAAACAAAGGCTATATGATCAGTTTTCTATATAATAGAAAAACATAAACACCGAATGACAAGTACAACTTACAATCATTCCAGACATTTAATACGTACAGAATCTGAGACACTAATCTAACCACAAAACAAAACATTGACCAATGAAACATGAAAATATCGTAAATCGTAAGCAATGAGATATTAGATTTACTAAATCAATCCAAATATATACTGCTCCCTTATGTCTTACATTTGACCAATTCTTAAGATATTAATTATTGGATCCACCATTCTCGAGATATCTACTGTTTTACTGGTGAACTAGGTATAAACCATATTTAAGATATAAAATACTGTATTAACCATATTCAAGATATCTACTCTTGATTAGTCTCACCTTTAACTGAGTATTAAGATATTAGATAGATATTGGATCCACTATTTCAGATATCTTCTTCTTCCTGATTTCTTACCGCTATTCAATTACTACGATATTCAATATTGGATTAAACAATTTTCATGATATCTACTGTTTTACCAATGTCTTACGTAAAAGCCATTCTAAAAATGAAAGTTATTAGAATCACCATATTCCAGATATCTACTGTATTACTAGTCTTATCCATAGGACCAATACATGATATTATATCATATCAATATCTTGATCCACCATTTCCCCCAGGTATATATATACCACTTTACAAATAGTCTATTCTCAGGACAGGATATCAGAGTAATGATTCTCAATATCCAAGGTAGCTAATATTTCAGTAAAGTCTTACCTACAGCCCATTTACAAAACAGGATACCAGATTCCGGATCTTCGAAGTCCCAGTTTGCTACTACTTCATTATATTCCCAAGCATCTTCGTCTCCGCCTGCAATTTTGAATTGGTCTCCATTTAGAATACGATTTTCTTAAATTCTGACTTTTAAATTTCTCTGTTGTATATTATTGTTTGTTTTTTCTTGGACATTGTTTGGTTTTTAGCAGTGGGTATTGGTTAATGGATTGGTTTTTTTACTGTCCAATATCTTATACTGTACTTAAATCTTTTAAATTCATTTCGTTTTATAAAAATGTTGAATCTAGTTTTTTTTTAAATACTCATATATGTTTCCCCTCATATCATTATCATACAATAGCTCCAGAAGAAGGTATAAACAACAAATGCTCAAGTAGAAGGTATAAAACAACAATAGCTCAAGTAGAAGGTATAAAACACAACATGAAGAAAATATTATCATTTTTTTCTTGTAATGAAATGAAAAGATTTGCTAAACTTGAATAATTCTTATCATACAAGATACACTGATATGATGGTAAATATTTGAAACACTTGTCCAAAATTGTATGAACATTAAAAAAATAAGTATGTTGAATAAAAACACTTTGGGAGAAATCCCGCCATTATCTGAAATACTCACCACAAAGATGTCATTCAAATAAATCAGCAGCTGATCCTTCATACAAAACAAAGTTAAGGTACTATTGCTATTGAGATACCTATTCAACAAAGATATATTTATTCATTTTTCTTCTTTTCTTATTTTTTCAAGAGTATAAAACATAAAATTTATGGTTTTGAGATAGTTTGTTTACCTAATCCATCATTGACAAATTTGATGTCAGGTGGTGTCAGGTCTACTAGTATTGGATCAGAGTAAGAAATTCCTCTCAGGTCTGCCCCATTCGTTGCTATAGCTGTGATATAAATATATGTGTTATGCACCAGTGTCACATTGTTGTTAAACCCAAAGTGCATCAATCCTACACTTTTGAATGGCTGTATTTGTGTTCCTCCAGTTGCATAACCTGAAACATGGGAACAATAGAAAGACAATGACCAATTACAAAAATTCTAAAAACGAGTAAGCATTACCGAAAAGTAGTTGAAAACAAATTTCCACAATAATATATGTGATACAATAAAAAAAAATTTAATGGATGATGTGATTCATATTAATTTTATGGATTGATTTTTAATTGGAATGGTAAAAGCACAGACAACTATAAAAGAGAATAAAGTGAGTATATGTACACAAAAACTGTCTAACCTTCAACTTTTCCTATATATAGATGATTCTTACCAAACCAATACATCAATTGTACAATGCACATTCCATATATATCAATGTGAAACGATCATAGCGTTAGCAATTGCAGTCATTTTGCATATTGATAACAAATATATGTCAATTGACAGAAACATTGCTAGCCTACCCAAAAAATAACAAAAATTCTATTAAAGTAAACCCGCTATCTGACTTCAAAGTGCTAACAATGGAACGTAAAGACAAAGCCCAATGAAAAACTTCTAAAGTAGACAATTTCAGTATCAATTATATTAATTACTAACCTATCGCCCAGCTGTAATCTATGACTGGAGATTCGAGATCAGTAAAACTCCATGACCCATGTATTGAACTCCATTCATGTAAATATACCACATGACCAATCACATGACCACCTGATGATGCTGTTGTTAAATTCACCTTCTGCACTGAAAGATTATCTATAAAAATCCCTGTAGTCATATCCATACTACCTATAGTGATATTAACCTGGTCATTTGTAGCTTTGAAATAAAAGGTGTGAGCATGCCAGGAAATTTCTGTCCTACTATTGCCCTCTCCATGTCCATCATGGCGATATGGTTTTGTATATATCAGAAAAATTTGTTTGTCATCACCAAGTTGTATGAATCCTTCTTTGTTTGCCCCTACAGAATCTGTTATGGGTAAATGACTTGAGAAAAAGGAAATCTTGTAAAAACATCCAGTCTTGATATCGACAAGTTTTTGCTTAACATTTCCTCTGATGAACAGAAAAGACTGTCCGTCTTTAGCTAAATTTACTTGAGAGGATATAACAGCCATGCATGTTGATAAATCAGGTATCCATGACATTGGGTGGTAAGTACTAGAGATCATGCAAATATCTGTTGTACTAACATTCGACCAAGATAATAGATCACTGCTTGTGTTTTCAAATGAAGGATTGTCAACAAGGTTATCATCAATATGAATGAATTTTTCTGAAACAGGAGGTGTTTTATCCACCATGGCACCATCTGATATGACAATCGATGACGTTCTTCCTACATTGTCAACAGCATACACCTTGTTGTATATTTTTGTACCTGTAATACAATTATTGATGTAAAATAATAATAATCTGAAATGAATCATATGCAAAGAAAATCATGAGTTTTAAACTACTTCAAAGAAATTTGAATGAAAATAAAAAGCATTGAAATACTGAAATGATTTTGTTACTGCATCATCTTACTCAACTTAAAGGTTAATCAATGCTTAACGGAATCTAATTGACATTAAGGTCAAATGAAAGAGAAATATGTTCTTTTCTTTTAAAATGTTTTCTTTCTAAGACCTTAGTTTGAAATAAGAACTTGCAATTACATTCATTATTATAAAAAGAAAGTTGATCTTGTCCATATGGGTCGAGGTTTTAAATATTTCTGATAGTCAGGGAGTGACAATGGTCTTTAACGTCAGATTTCGAACGGTATTTTGTCATAATAATTTGCATCCAACGAGCCTAAATATTTATTGTCATTTGACAAATCGCAGTTGCATAGTTACCGTAGCTGTCAAATGAAGTAAAACATTCATTGTTATCTTTAATTTTAAATTAAATCTATAGAGTATGAAACGAACATAGAGAAAACGGCAAAAATGTGTGAAACTTGTAACATTGAATAAGCATAAAATAGAGTTTTAGACCTAAAATTTATACAAATTCAACATATTTTCCCGCATTTTCGTATAATAGAATTTTTTGGATTCGGACTATGACGTCATACGAAATTCACCGCAAAAAAATTAAAAAACGGCCATGGTGGATGAGTTTGGAGTGTAGTTCGTTATGTGTAAGAAGTAGTAATTTGAAAGGATTAATATTTGAAAATGAAAGAATTGGTAAGAAAAAATATTTAATTGCTATTTTCATATTTCAAAATAAATTGATTTTCCAAATGTGCATAACAAGAGGTTTAAAATTATCTGCAAAATATGAATGATTCGATAGTCCAGGCTGAACACCTGAATTTTTTTAATGTCCAGCTATTATGTTACGATTTAAAGAAATGACGTTTTAACGCTATTTTCTGAATAGGGTCCACGACATAGTCGCTCATTATTTCCATTACACTGCTCTTAGCATATATTTATTTATATTTCCAGAATGTGCATATGCTGCACTTAATTGTTAAAAAAAAGAATTATGTTGAACGTTTATGTTTAAAGCTATGTGATAAACTAAGTGTCCAGTGTTTTTGTTACGCGTTTGTTTTCTGGGGAAAAATGCCGACGTCGTAAATGATTGAAGTAATTTGAAGACGTTACGTTTGTGGACTCAGCTTTATGCACGCCGTCTATATATTGTTATATTGTGATCGGTTGATTTATATGTTAGTGACCTACCATGGGAAATATCTGTTGATAGATTACGAGATACAGAAACATGAAGTCCAACATTAGTCCACTGTAAAATGTCGCATTCTGATTGATCATAATTTGTATGAACAGATGTTGTCACCCCCACACACCATCGGTATGACAGAATACCAGACTCTGTATCTATAAATCCATGCCAATGGGCTTCTACTATGTCTGAAGAGTTCTTATATTCTAAATCAATTACTCCTGTATTCACAAAAAACAAAATAAACAAATTTATTTTTAAAAGGCAATTTAAATTATATCTACATTGGATAGGTAAGGGTTTTTTCATGGTTATGTTAGTAAGGAACACAAAATGAAACATTTCCTGGGTCAATTATGCATCAAATATATGTAGGTTATTCAATATTAAAGTTGATTTCTATAGAATTACAGGTTACCACATATATAGAATACTGTAAATTCTGAAATGTTTGTGATGTTTTTATTATTGCGAAAATTGTGACACGAGAAAAATACGCAAAAATAAAAAAAATATATGTTTGGATGAATCATATCCTGAATCGTAACAATTAATCACAAATTTCTTTCCATTGTTCAGCAATCGTAATAAAAAAATCACTTTCTGACTATATAGTACTTAAAAAAAGTAATTTACCAATATACTTGTACAATTCAAGTAATAAAACAATTAATTCATATAAAAAATAATTGTTAAAATAAACTAGAGACTCTAAAGAGCCTGTGTCGCTCATCTAGGTCTATGTGCATAATCAACAATGAACTCTCGCCAACATTGTAGACAGGAAAAAAATTCATAACAAAAATTTCGTTTTTGTTGATCTTATATTGCTGATCATTGTTTAGTTTCTCTCTATCTTCTTAAGTTTTCGCTCAAAAAACAAAAAAGTGAGAAAAAAAATCTCATTTAAGGGCAATCACGCCTATGAAGAGTGACAGTTTACTAACTATATCGACAAAATTTGACTTGTTTGTTGATCTTACCTAGCTGATCATTTTTGGTATTTAAAGTTCCTATTTATGAATTAAATTGTGTATCATATAAGGCAAAACGCAAAACAAATGGTAAAAATCGTCATTAAAGGGCAATTACTGCAATAAGGAGTCATCAGAAAATTTCCTCCATTTGTGTAAAATGTAGATCTTCTCTTGCTGATCATTTTTGTTTATTTAACTTTCTATCTATCTATTACAATTTTAAAGATATAAGGCAAAAACGCAAAAAAGAAAATATGGTTAAAAATCGTCAAAAGGCAAAATCTTAAAATAGGAGTCGACTGACGAATTCGACCATGCATACTTATTCGTAGATATTGTCTTAATGATCATTTATGTTAGCTTAAAATTTCTCTTAGCTGTTATAGTTTTCAAGATAAAGGGCAAACATGAAAATAATTGTAAAATTTGTCATTTCAGGGAAATAACTCCAATAAAAAGTCGCCTGAAAGTTTTGAAGCCAAGAACAATTGATAGAGCTCGACATACTGAACATTTTTGGCATGTCAGATTTTCTTTATTAATATCGGTTTTCAAATTGACAGACAAAACTTGCATTTTACCCCTATGTTCTATTTTTAGCCATGTTGGCCATCTTGGTTTGCAGGCGAGGTAATCGGACACTCTTTTAAAACTAGATACCCTATTGATGATTGTGGCCAAGTGAAATTTGGTTCAGTAGGTTCAAAGGAGAAGATTTTTGTAAAAGTTAACAGACGACGATGACGACATAAGACGGCGGACGACGGACGCCAAGTGATGAAAAAAACAGTTCTTCTATAGTCTTCAGTTAAAAATATAACAAGACTTATCAACAACTCACAAAATCCACTATATAATGTTGTTTTTTTTTAAATCATGGATTTAATACTTCCCTCCCATCCAAAATAAATGCCTAAGAAACAGATATTTTAACGTAGAAAACGGGCTCATCACACTATAATTATGACTCATTTATCATCTATAAATATATCTAGAATTAGGTGATCTAGTGAATACTATATTACCCCAGCCATAATCATAAATAAAGGCAACAGTAGTATACCGCTGTTCGAAATTCATAAATCGATTGAGAAAAAAACAAATCCGGGTTACAAACTAAAACTGAAGGAAACACATCAAATATATAAGGGGAGAACAACGACACAACAGAAACTCAACACTAAAATGCAAAACACACAGAAACGAACTATAATATAACAATGGCCATTTTCCAGACTTGGTACAGGACATTTTAAGAAAAAATGGTGGGTTGAACCTGGTTTTGTGGCTATAGCCAAACATCCCGCTTTTATGGCAATGTTAAATATAACATTAAAATGACAAGATTACATGACAGGACTACAATACAAATAAATGAACATACAGGACAGAGACACACACAAAAAATAGTTATCAAAAGGTACCAGGCTTATAATTTAATACGCCAGACGCGAGTTTCGTAAGCCTTGAACGATAAAAGTCCACTCTGTCAAAATTGAACTTGTTTATTATAATTTATGACATTGTTGTTAGATTCATTACAATTTTGTCAGTTGCTTTCACCAAACAAACAAAAAATGCAAATTGCCTCAAAAGAAAATAATGGAACATTACTCTTGATCAGTAAAATCAGTCAAAATCAAACGTGGGAAATTGTTTTAAAATCGAAAAAGATTGTGTGAAGTGGTACTCTAGTTATTATCTAAAAACCATCAAACCTCAATTTTTACTATAACTAAGAGTGAACGTAAATGGAAAAACATTAAAAAAAAGTATTTGACCTGTATGTTAGGGTCTATGAAACTGTGTTTAAACTTTATAAAATTTGATAAAACGGTACTATACATGTAATTATCATTCGGAAACCAAAAGTGTAATAGACAAATGGACAGAGGTTGGACATGTACATCAATATACATCCCTCTCTTTGAAGCAGGTCAATTAAAAGGCAAAATATTGTCATAAATCTTAATTATTTTCTTTACCCATGTGTTTATTCAAAGGTAAACAAGATTAAGATTACCAATTTTCAGGTTTGTTGCTGCCTTATAATCAGATTTATTAAAAGTCGTAGCAATTTTGTTTTAATGATACACATATTTATGAAGCATTTGTCATTATAAACAACTTACCATAAAATTCATGAAACAGAACAACAGTATGTAAAAAATAATATTTCTAAAATGTATAACCATGGTCTTACCTAATCCATCATATACAATCCCAGCTGATGGGTCTACATGATCTATAATGAATCCATCTGACGTAGATGTAGTGTGAACACCAGCATAGTTATAAGCTATGACATTAGAATAGTATTTTATTCCTGGCGATAAGTTAATTCTAGACATGTTGAAACCTTCAGCTGTTCCGTCTAAATCTGTGGGTATGGTCAGAATGTCATATCCTTTGTGAAAAGAGAGATTTATTATTAATTTCATAGAGAACTAGATATATATTTTTGGGAAACAATATTTCGATGTTTTTACAACATGTCAATTTCAATAAACATGATTGTATAATGGATAGATTTAAAAAAAAAACCTACACCAGATCAGTGTTAAAAAAATACAAAAATTCATTGGGTTATTTAAGGGTTATTAATTCAAAGAATAATTGCAAAGAAACGCCTAAATATCATTAAGTAGTGTTTCTATAAAATGGGGTGGAACCAATATACCGATATTTATACACCAGAGTGTACTGGTTACCGGTATTTTAAATACACCAAACCAGGTACTTTATATTCGAGAAACAGGCCTTTCGTTTGATACCTTAATTACTTAGATATGTTCTACATAGTTGTACATTTACACCTATGCGTAGGAACTATTTTGTTTTAAATATGTTCTTCTTTCTGGTATCTTCGTTTTTGACCGGACCTGATTTTGTGTTGTTACATCTAACAAAGTCTATCCGAATCATTTTGCAAAGAATTCCGTTCAAACCGATGCTAGAGCCCGTCTTAAACTTGCCGTGAGGTAAAAGATGGTTTTTCTATGTTTTTTTTTTTTTTTTGCTCTGTGTTGAAGGCCTTAGTGTGACTTTGAGATGAAGAACTGCAATAAGAGCGCTGTTCCTTTGTTTATTGTGTGTTTTTTGTTTTTGCAGTGTATTTACTGATTTTGTGTCATGAATGGATACCCTATAGTTGTAGTAAAGGAAATAGGTTAGATATGACTTGTATACCAATAAACTTAAAGTTGCTAACTTCAAACTCATTTGGTCTCTGTTGAGGAGTTGTAACATTGGCAATCAGACCACATCTTTTTATTTTTGTATTTTTTTTTTATAGAATTAGCCTGTAGTTTATAATTTTTCATTGTAATTCCTGTATACAAGATGTGCTGATCAAAGTCATTATGTACTTACCACCAGGAAATGAACTAATATATAGTTTGTATTCCTCAATTGTGTCTGCAGCATTCAGGAATTTGTTCTTCCACATAAATGTTATAGGTCGACCTATTCTCATATAGTCATCGTCCTTTACATAGGTATTCAAAACTTTTTCTATCACCTTTGAATTAAAAAGAAGACAGATTAAGTCATTCAAGGCATCAATTGTTAGCACTCATCAAAGTTCGTTATTTATATATTAACCAAAACAAATCTAATGACTTAGCAACAAGTGATATCAAAATTAATTGAAGTATACCAACTGTCTTTCGCCTATTTCTAATAATCAAGTAAAATTTAAAGAATATTGGTTGAAACAAAGCATCTTTTAACACTTCAGGAATGTTTGGCTTCTGTACCAACATTCTTTTATCCTTGAGATCCATGTTTAACTACTATTTGGCAAGGAAACAATTTAACTTGTTATAAAAACTGACACCAAATATGTGTATTTAAAACTAAATCCTAAAACACTATATTTCTAGATACTGTAAATTCTGAAACTATTCCGATTTTGATCATGGAAAATTCAAGATTAATTATAGCGATTTCAGAAGCTGAATACAGTTTTATGTCATTTTTGGGGCCCTTTATAGCTTGCTGTTCGGTGTGCGCGAAGGGTCCGTGTTGAAGGCCGTACTTTGACCTATAATTGTTTACTTTTTATACAATGTGACTTGGATGGAGAGTTGTCTCATACCACATCTTGTTATTTGTATAATAGGTAATCATGTCAAAAAAAGGGGTACAGCAGTCAACATTGAGTTATAATCTTTATCACGATAAAAACAAACAAATATATCAACAAAATTTCTTAAAAGTACTGTTTATATATCTTGCCAATTCAAATAAGATACATGCTTCAGGCTAGTATACAGGTAGTTTTTTCAAACTTACCTAATGTCAAATATGCCAAAGACTCAAACAGATGGGCTCCAACCAATATGTTTTATGATTGTTGTTTGCTCAATATCGAGTATCATTACTTATATTTAGTAATTTTTAAAAGATAAATGGTAATGACCCTAGACTCTATTCAAGATACTGAAGGGATTGTTTTCCATTTGTTTGATGTGTTTGAGCTTTTGATTTTGCCATTTGATAAAGGACTTTCCGTTTTGAATTTTCCTTAGCGTTCAGTTATTTTGTTACTTTACTTTTGACTGCATAAAAGAAAAAATGATAATCCTCCATTTCGAAAAATATGAAAATTAAAGTCTCCAAGTGCACGAAAATATCAGCTAAAACAGAGAAAACTATCCAAATCTGAATTAAATTGAGATGCACAACTTTTCTTATAAACATAATAAAACGTTTTAAGGCCTTGGGTAGGAAGCTTTAGCACACAAAATCGGCATCCTCGAAAAAAGTTGATGAAAAAGTTTCATCATCCGAGACATCTAGAAAAATATATCTTATTGGAATATGTACAAAAAATCTAGTGCATAAATCAATTATTATAAAATAGTTTGAGTATGTAACTATGGGACACAGATGATGCCCCCCGCTAGCATATAACGTTATAGATGAACATAAATAGAGAACTGTAAACGTGACGCTTCCCAAATTCTAACTTGATCTCAGTTTTGTAGTAATAGGCATTGTTTACAAGTTTCATAAGATTTGGTTGAGGCACACTAAAGTTTGAAAACGGAAACCAATTTCATGACGTACGTACGGAAGGACGGACAAGGATAAACCTTAATGTCTGTCTGCTACGGCGGGGGCATAAAAAATCTGAAAAAAGCTCTCGGTTGAAGACTGTAAAATGAGTTGTTTACATAATAAGAGAACCCTACATCAAGGATGTTACTGAAATCTTGTTGTTTCTTCAATAATGTTAAAAAGTGCAAAAGTATCTAAAATATTCACCATAACATATGCTTTTTTTAAACTTAGTAGAAACCCAGCCTATAAAAGTTCTTGGAATTAAAATAACAGTAGTTCGTCTAATCATTGGTGCCTGAATTATCACTTTAATACGTATGTCTTAAATACAATGTGGGCACTTTCATCTGATGAAAGAGCGGGAAAGGGTGCAGTACTCACAGCAGTTCCTCTGACTATTGCTAATGCAGGTGTCTGTGTCATCACCACAATACCATCCGTCTTAAATACAGCATAAGTGTCAGATGTGTACCATATCCGTACAAACACAGAATATTCAATTGTGTTTTCTAACAACTGTTGATCTGAAGATATTAGCATTAAAACGTTAATTAGACGGGTTAAGCAGTTGAGTAGTAAGCATATTTGTCAAACCATTGCAGTTTCGGTGATTATTCCCTTTTTATTGCTTATAATTTTTGTTTTTAACTATTTACAAAAGACTCAATATAACAGAAAGATCAATATCTACTTAAATTTATTGTGTGATTATTTCTTATGTTTTCGGTTTGCATTGTTTGCTTCAGTGACATTCTCACACAAATAGTTGCTGACAAAAATACACATTCTTCATAAAGTAATAGAAAGCAGGCATAACGTAGTTTTTCAAAATGTCTTCAGCTACCACTGGAAATATGTTACCCATAAAATGTTTGTGACAGTAAGGTGGAAAGAACAATTCACCTTAGTGTAGTGTAAGGTCACGAAAAACAAACACTTTTACATACTGCATAAATTATAAGTTATCTGAAAAAGACCTGTGAAGTGTGTTATACTCTGCTAGTATAAAGCAATCTCTAGTACACTTTCCAAGATGGCAAGAAATTGTCACAAAAAAGATGTGTAGAACATGCTAATATTTAATCAAATATTCATAAAATAAACTACATATAATGCCTACCAGGTCCAATAGTGAAGACAGCATCCATTAGCTGACCAGCATCCTGCCAAACCTTGTCCTCGACTGGGTTATAAATACCTATCGGCGTTGTATTATCTGTGTAACCCACACTCCATTCATACCTTTAGTGCAAAATAAAGCTAGCATTTAGATGTCTGATTAATGATTAAAATGAAGTGTGGAATAAATGAGGTAGCAATCTATACAACATATATTAACCATATTAGACAAAATCAAGGTCACTTTGGCAGTCTACAGTAATACGCTAAGTGTCCTCATCATATGAAAAGCTTTTAAGTGTCAAAAAGCTTTAATAATTTTACTGTTGAGTAACACTTAAATAGATTTCGAAACAATGTATAAAACTAGGAGATAGGGAATAATTGCCAATGAACAACTATCCACATGATTCTAAATGACACGGATTTAAGAAACTTTATGGCAATGTAGCTGGCAATTTATAACAAATTTCTTTACAGTTAGTTGACCTGACTTGAACTTGCAACAGTGGTTTGAAGGAAACTGTTCATTTATAAATCTAGATGGGTCTTATTACAGTGATTGATGGCTGTCTTACATTGAGTTTGACAAACTAACCATAGGGGTTTAGAGGGGAACTGTTGAGATATAATCCATGAAGCTCTCAGCACACTGTCTGATGCTGTTACATTGAGTAAGACTCTTACCATAAGGGTTTAGAGGGGAACTGTTGAGATATAATCCATGAAGCTCTCAGCACACTGTCTGATGCTGTTACAGCTTGGTCACCAGTGGTATAACCATTTGTGTCCTTTACTAACAATAACGTGTACTGTGTACCGGAAAATACACCTGAAAAAAATATGTTGTTCAAAAAATACAATGTCTTCTTTGTTCACAGAAAATACCTTACCGGTAGATAATGTGTACCTCAACTTTCTCTAATTAACATAAAAGATGAAGTCATATCTACATGACCCACAAAACACAATTCGTACTCTGTATCCTTCACACCTACACAATGTAGCAACCAATACAACTAAAATATCACCACCATTGTATGTGTCAATCACCATACCAGGTATGCAGTGTAACTTTCAATACATCAAAAAAATGTAACATATACTTTGTGTAAAACAATGAAAATACAACTTACCGGAAGACAAACCTATAAAAGAGGATGGAAATGAGGTATCTTTCACAGTAGCGTACAATAAAATAGTCAAGGAATACTTTCCCCTTGCTCCTCGAGGTGATATATATTCTGTTTTCTTAAATCATGACCCCCGCTTTTCAAAAATCATACCCCTGTTTCATGACAGTAGACAGTTAATATCTTATTCAAATTACAGTAATGCATGAAAGATTAGATATCTTTCTCATACAAAATATAACTTAAAAAACTTTTGACTAATGGTGGTAAATAATTTGTAGATCAATAAAAGGAGATGTATACATCACTTCGATAACAACCTTACAATACAAATCTTTTCGAGAAATTAAAGGTAAATATTGCGTGGTTTTTGCAATATAAACTTAAACTTATTAAACATAAATGTAATGACGCAACTGAACACACTACATTTCAGGCAGTTATGAATAAGGGCTGCTGTAATTTCGGTCATCTCTCTTTGCACTACTGTACCTTACTTTTCCCCCTTATGACTTATTTCCATTTTTGTCCCAAAACTTGCTTTCTATACCTCATGTGTTGCTGTAACATTTTGGGAAGGTTTATTGTTTCAAGTTAATTCTAAATAATAAACGCAACAGTCACACATTAAAGAACATACATATATTGTAACAAAAGGTTGAGGGTAAGAACAATTCAAACCATGAGGTCTCGGAAGATCTTATATCAATACAAGCATACACAATTTTAAAGGATTTTTTTAAACCACAATATCTTTAACAATAAAGAACGGTTTGAAAACAAATTGTTACAGCCGCAGGTAAGGATTATAGTAAATTATATAGCACTACTTCCCAACACATACATGAGAAAACTGGAAAGGTGAAACGTATAAAGATATTCTTCATAAATCTGATTTCAGTAGAATTTTGAATGACAGGTAGAGTGTAGTAGAAAACAAATATTTCAATGGAAAACAGGATATTTTAGAGGAGGTTTCTTGATGGAATATTGGACAAAGACAAGAGGTGGGGAGAAGGAATTTTTAAAACACTTATATTTTTCACCTTTTATAAATGAATGTTTGAAATGGTTATAAAGGTATTGAACTTATAATTACTTTGCCATTTTTCGCAGTCAATATTTTCTGATTTAGTATTGTTTGTCACCAAAAATATAGTAATAATGACGGATGCATATTTTGTTCAAAATCTACTAACAATTAAAAAAAGTGAGAATGGTTAGATTTGTTTTTCTTCTTTTCATTTATATAAGTCATCTAGTATATATTTTTTATAAATTGCGTGACATTGCCTTGATAGGATCTAAAAAATGTTCACTTCACTGCACTATTTTGTTTTAACTATCATATTAAGGTAGTTGTATACCCTGGACGATAAATATATCAAGCCAGCCTTATAAGGGTTTTGATTGCAGGAATGCAATCTTTACATCAATAACAATTTTCATTGTATTCTTTCTTGATCAACGGATGGATTTAAATAAACATCTTACAAAAAATTAGAGAAAGCAATGTTTTATTCTGACAATTATTTGTGCAAGATACTCAAATGACAACCAACCAAAAATTGACTTAAATCTATCATTTTCATCTCCAATCTTTCAAACAAAGAGTAAAGAGTGAGGTTAAACCTTGACAAAAGCTTCCGAATGAATTAACAATCTGCACTAAACATATTCAGAATTTTTTTTAACAAAAATCAGATAAAGGCTGTTCTTGAAGAATTTTATATTTAAGACCACCTTATCATACTTACTGTCTGATACATCAGTACAGTTACCAAGATTTGGATTAAATGGACATTTCTGGTCTTGTGGAGAACAAACACAATGGCCTTCACATGATATTGCATCACATCTTCTGACCAAGTCCAGGTAGCTCGGTGGAGTCTTTTTAAAAGCAGAATGAATCAGGTGACTTCTTAAACCAACCTGTTGAAAGCATATTGCAGGTGAAGTAAGACTTTTGTTGTTTGTTGTGCTCTATTTAGATATTATCACAGATAACACAGAAAATATGATACAAATCTACTCTATATAATCAATTTTAACAGATGTTTTAAGATAAACCTACATGAAGCAATACATTATTTTTAATTGCTTTTAAAAAATATGCCATTTCATAATGCACAATGTCTTCAGACAGAAATATTTCTTATTTTCACTTGCAAAAAAGTGATTTGTTTGCAATTGTTTATTGAAAATTGCTTGATTAAGAATGAATTACATAGTATTTACATGAATTGAGATTGGTTTGCCTTAGTTTTATGGCAATTTCATAATGTTTAAACTGGGAAAGTTACAGACAAAATATAACCTTTAAGGCATGCCAATACAGAAGCTCTGGTTCTAACTTACCTTATTAACAGCCCACAGTGTGATATATACTTCATTATATTAACTTATTAACAGCCCACAGAGTGATATATATACTTCATTATAGTACCTTATTAACAGCCCACAGAGTGATATATACTTCATCATATTGAGTCAATACAACTGTCTCTATTTTATACAGTTGAACTTTTCCCTCATCACCATGGTCTGTGTTGCTATCTACATGGATATACTTTGTTTTAAGATCCTACCAAACAAAAGTGTTGCACGGTTATATTAAGTAATAAAGCAGTCCCCCTTTCTTTTTCCATTAATAAGAGTTGCTAATTTCTGACATTTGGTTATACCTGATATGTCACAATTTGTCAGTCTTAAAAAGATAATGTCAATGAGATAGACTGTTCGGGGACCTGTACATATAACTTATTTATATGCAAAATATTTTCTACCTATTGTGTATAAATTTTGAAACTTTGAACACAAAAAATGAATCTAGGCCATATGACATGTGCCAAATGAACTTAATGATCCTTACATCGAATGACTCAATATGCATAGTTAATGGAAAAAAAACTAATCTCGAAAAAAACCTTGATAACTGGAGCGTGAAATTGAGGCAAAGGCCATATGACAAATATCAGGTGAATATATGTAATCCTCGCAAACAATCCACATATGATATGTTATTAGAGCAGGTGTCAAGTGAATATGTTCATTTAAAATCTTCACATTCATAAATATTTTTTAAACTTCTGGGGATATATTTGTTTTCATAGTTACTAAAAAGTAACATAACTGCAAGGAAAATTCAAAACGGAAAGTATTTTGTCAAATGGCAAAACCAAAAGCTCAAACACATCAAACGGATGAATTTTCATGAATTGAGAAAGATGATTATTTCGCGGATATTTGATTTTAGTGGATTTGCCGGAGTCCACATAAACAACCATAGAAAAATGTATACCTAGTTGAATATTTAAATTCATGGTTTACAGATTCCCATGAAATCTACAAAAAAGGTACTCCACGAATTATAATGAATCTACATACTTTATTGAAAAACTAAAACTGACTACTGGAAATGTGCTCAAGGCCAAAAGACATATGTCATGAATAACCTCATCATAGATATCAGGATTAAAATTTTGTATGCCAGACGCATGTTTCGTATACAAAAGACTCATCAGTGACGCTCTAATAAAAAAAAGGAAAAAAGGGAAATAAAGTACAAAGTTGAAGAACATTGAGGACCCCGATATTCCGAAAGGTTTTGAAAATACAGTTAAGGTTACCTATTCCTGGCTATAGAAAATCCTTTATATTTCGAAAAACTATAACATATCCACATACCAAATATGCAAAACAATATAATTACTGAGGAAAGACCTCAAGCTGAAAGCATCATCTGATTACTGGAGCATGGAGTTAACTGCTTAAATAAGATTCAAAGTTTTTTTTTTTAAATCTAATCAAGGTCATCAAACCATACTTGTGATATCTTCATGTAATTATACTGGACATAGTTTGGTTATATCAAGAGATAAAGAGTTGCAGCAGTTGTGCCGAAAATGCAATGTGGAAGCTAAATGACACCAACCCTATTTCATCAAAAACAATCATTGAGTTTTTGCAGACAGGAGTAGGTCTCGCCTCTTTTCTTCTTCAACTTTCTTATTGCCTTCCCCGTTTTGTTATCTTTCTACTAACAACAAACAAGTTATTCACCTTTATTCCTCCCATATTTTTCCTTTCATCCCCTCCTCTTTCTACCCCTAAATCCTAGGATCAATTTAAATGAGCTACTTGCAAAAAAAATTTACAAATTAATCTTAAAAACGTTTTCAAATGTATAATGAATTTAAAAATAGATAAAATATAGGTAGAAAGTTAATGCAAAATCAAACCTTATGACTTAAAAACTCAAGTGTTTGAATATTCCGAGAGTCAGATCAATAAAACTCACCTTATTTAGATTCTTGGCCATGTAAGAGGTTCCCACAGTGACCATATAATGATCTATTTGTGAATGTATATCACTGAAACCAAGCCAGGCAAGATACACAGCATTACTTCCATAGGTCATCCACCCATGTTCATTTCTGGTAAGATCTGGATCTGAAGCATGGTCAGTACTGACGGCAAACATTCCTGAAATAAACAGAAGATGTACTGAAACATATGTATGGCAAGATCTTGGTATATTGAATGACTCGCAGAAAACTTTAGTACATATACAAAACTCTTATGTAACTACAAACATTCCCCCTGATATAGCGGAGAATAGAAATATTACGTCTTTACTGTAAGAGATTGTCAAACACCTATCTTCACTCTGCCCAAAGAAACAAACCTCTGGATGGTGGAATGCTATCTGCAAACATTTCATGTGATATCTAAGATTCATATTTCTGCACTGTTAAAGAGTGACTGTCACCTCCCCTTCCCCATTCCATAGATACAAACCTTCGGAAGGTAGTGTGCTATCAACAAACATTCCCTGTGTTGTATCTGAGATACAGATATCTGCATTGTTATAGAATGAATGTCACCTCCCCTCCTTCAGTCAATAGATACAAACCTCTAGAAGGTGGAGATACAGCTATCTGGATTGTTAAATAGTAACTGTTCCCATCCCTCCAATAGTCCATAAATACAAACCTCTGGATGGTGGAGTGCTATCTACAAACATTCCCAGTGATGTATCTGAGATACATATATCTGCACTGTTACAGCTAATCAAAGTCACATAGTATGTTACTCCATCATGTAGATCTAAACCAGTAATTACATAGGATCTGGCAATACCATTGACCTAAGAAAAATAAGTTATGACAATCCATAGAGCAAGTAAACATAATAAATAAAAATCACTGTTAGTAATGTTATTGGATTTAGAAAATGAAAACTTTAGCCTGACATGTTTGATTAACATAAAAAACATTTAGTGCAAATTTCTTTTTTTTTATTCGTAATTTTAAAACACAACAAACACATTTAGAAAAAAGAAGCAGTATATTGTTCGTTCTTCATGAAAGAAATATGGTAACAACCATCAAGAGAGATCTTTGCAGTGTCGCAACCATTTATTGAGAAATAATTGTAGTGTCACAACCATACTAGAGAAATGATTGTAGTGTCATAACCGTATACAACAGAGATCTTTGTAGCTTCACAACCATTCAAGTGAGATATTTGTGGTGTCACAACCATACAAGAGAAATCTTTGTAGTGTCATAACCATACAAAAGAGATCTTTGTAGTGTCACAAAACTATACAAGAAAGCTCTTTGAGCCAACTTACTGACTGTGAAGATAGCATGAATTCGCCTCCAATATGAGATTTGATTGACAGGTATTGTCTCTTTATAAACGATTCTGCATCTTCAACTTCCCATTCAACCTTCATTGTTGTCCTATATATTTGTGTTAATTCATTGATTCCAAAGTCGTTCGAGAATGTCGTTCCTTTTGACAGAACAGGTGGTGTATCATCTACACTAAAGCCACTTGATGATGACTCTGCCCATAACCCTATAAGTAAAACATATACTTTTTTAAATCTGCATAAAGAGTACAATAGAAAAACAATGGATATGGGGTACTCATCCTTGACACAAAATTAGTACATATACAGCAAACAAAGCAAAAGAATAGAGCTTTTATTGCTGTTCTTCATCTCAAATTCACAATGAGGCCTTCAACACGGAGCAAAAATGACTCTCACCTCACTGCAAGTCCAAAACGGCCCCTAGCATCGGCCTGACCTGAATTCTTTGCAAAAATAATTTGGATAGACTTTGTAACACCACCAAATCGGGCCCGGTCAAAAACATGACTTACATTACTTACTATTTTCACACTTAATCATTAACTCCTTTTATAGGTGAACATATCCTCTACATGTGACAGGCACATAAAGAATGTGGCAGGGTTAAACATGTTTGTGAACGCTCAACCCTCCCCTTACCTGAGACAGTGGTGTTACAGCACAACATAAGAACAAACTATCAGTTGAAAAAGTCTTAACCCATCAGATCCATACAAAGCACATAAACATCAAAGAATCAAACAAAAAAACAGACCGGACGTGGCAGGGTATTTATCCATCCCTCATCCCTAACAACAAAAAGGACACTAATTACAGATCTGATAGTACTCGCAATTACTGACAGTTAGTTCAAAGCCAATAACAACTAATAAACTTATCATCTATCTAAGACTAAAATATCATCAGTACACATCCAACATCCAATGTATTTCGTGTAAAGAAGTCATGATTGCCAATGACACAACTCCCAAATAGAGACCAAATGAAGCGGATTTAAGCAGTTATATGTCACTGTACGACCTTCAATAATGAAGGAAACCCGTCCGTAATGTCAGCCTTAAAAGGACATGACATGATCAAAAGTGAAACAATTCAAATGAAAACAAGACTGGTGCCACTAAAGGAGCAGAATCTGTTTATCCATCTGGAGCGCATGAGTTCAATCCGATTTTAGCTGAAACTTTTGTTTTCTGTGTAGTGGTTTGTGGTCTGCGTTTGTATGCTAATATTTTATGCTTTTTTGCCAGTGTATTCTGTCTTTCTTTGATTAAAGGTTCCAAATGGCCACTTTTGTATCTTCACTTTTTTAATCTTATCAATCACAAAATCGGCCATATTACCCAAATCTTGTCAGGGTTTCCTTTAAGGTCTGCGCAACCTTATTTTAAAAATGTACCAACAGGAATTGGTATAAAGAAAGTTGCGTACTAAATGAACCAAAATGTTAAAATAAATACACACCTGCTTTATTATAAGCCCTGACTGTAATATACATTCTTGTGTTTGTAGGAAGGTCAAGGTTATAACCAGATGAGTTTAATAATGCTGCTGTCTCCGTCAAATGAAGCTCTATAGTTGGTACAATATCACTATATCCTGGCTTTGTTCCTACTCTCCATTCATATTTGTCCAGACCAGACTGGGCATCATCAAATCCATACCATTTAGCTGATACAAAGTTCCTGTAACAATGGCGATAGATATAACTAACTGTTTCTCCAATTCTAAGCTGATTTATTATTCCCCGACCGGTTGATTATGGTTTGTATTATTAGGTCCTATCAACATGTGATTCGTTTGATCTCAGTTTGACAACGGTTAAAATTCAATTATGACGTAAAATTTCCTTGATTTCCTTTAAAATTTTCTATTGTGACGTCAGAAAAAAGGTAACTATTCCTGATGACGTCACATATAAAGAAGAGAAACAGATTCTTTCTCAGAACAAGGTGCAATACGATATTTCTCCATTCGCGACATTTAATTTTAAATATTTAAAAAGCTCAAGAAGTTACATTTTTAAATAGGAAAGTTTAACTGTCATGCATAGAGAAATATCGTATCACATTCGATGCAGTGGTAGAGTCTATATAGGTATGATGACATGGATAAATGCATAAACACTTCATATATGCGTTTGGTCAATGCTTTTAAAATACTACCCGGAAAGTACCTTTAACAACGAATTCCAATTTTTAAAGTATGAGAAGAATTATTAGTTAAAGCTACGATTTTCAGTAATATAGATACAATGAATAAGCGTTGATTCTTGAAAAAGAAACCATGAGCCCGGAGGGCGAATGGTTTGTTTTTCATGAATCAACGCTTATCCATTGTATTTATAACTTAAACTATTGTGTTGATGTCTTTTCAAAATTAAAACCTTTTCTTAATTAGAAGGTATTGTAAGTGAGTTTAAATAACCATGTTATCATGTTCAACGATGCATTAATAAATCTAAGATCACAATTAATTGGTTAGAAAAATACAAATATAACACAACACGTCTGCCTTTAAATTATCAGGCATCTGAATATTATCTGTGTCTACAAAATAAGACATATTCGAACTTATTTCCAATAAAATTGAGAATGGATATGGGAATGTATCAAAGAGACGACAACCTGACCAAACAGCATATATAAAGTATATATAATAAGTATGTTACCGAAATTTCAAGCAAGAAGCCTAATTCTAGACACACCACGAGTTACTAGCATAGGAATTTGCGAATAAACATTTGTAAAATTATGTAGTAAAACAGATGAAATCAGTCTATATTTATAAAACAAAAATGGACAAATTGAATGTAATCATTTTCGTTTCAAATATGTGAAATAGACAACAATAAACGGTAAAACTCGCTATTATTACAAAAATATCCACAATTACATACAAAATAAAAACAAAAAAAAACCCAACAGAAAAACTACAGAATAGGGACAACAAAGAGAATACAGGGATTCGAACCTAAACCGACAAGTCCCTACCTTTAAATTGACTCTTTAACTCATTATTTTGAACCATGCTAACCTCGCGGCTACGAACTTATACTATATGATTGCCTATTATGTATATATAAAGGTACAAGCCCTGTGTGTCCGTTGTACCGATGTTTATCATATGTTTATTTATATACATAAAATAGACATTTGAATTGTAACCCATTGGTAGCCGAGAGGTTTCGTCGATATGTTGATGTGAGTCACACATAACAGATTTCAAGGACGGGTTCGATTCCCAGTGAAGGCATATAAAAATTACAAAAATTGAAGGTAAGTTTTTAAATTAATTCCATTAGTGAACAGAAATCAGTAAATTAGCCAATTCAAACTTAATGAAATTAGGCACACAAAGGAAACAATTGAATATAATTTGGTGAATCCATTTCAGCGACAGATTTAAGAAGCGTTGATTCTAGAAAAAGAATCCACGGTAAATGAATAGGCTGACGTCACGACAATGGTTTAAATTCTTTGATTTTTGAATTTAATCTGATTCAGTAGAAAATATGATTTGGATCAAAATATTTGTGGGTTTATTGAATTCATTCCAATCTAGCATATTGCTCTCTTGAAATTTATTTATATGAATATTATTTGTATTATATCATTATTTTCAACTAAACAAAACATTCTTCAATATGCCATCTGTTCCGAGTGTGTATGAAACAAACTTACTTCATTGACTGATATTCTGTATCGTAATATCCTGTTCCATCTTGTACAGTGCCTGGTGTTGGCGGACTGTTGTCAATAATCACACCATCTGATGTCACACTCGTACACATTTCTGCCGTGTTACATGCAGTTACAGTAGTGTAATATCTTAGTCCTGTACCAAGATGAGTATTTTCTAGAGTAAATTCTGAAAGGAAAATCAGAATTTCTGTTTTATAGGACAAGAAATTGCTGACTTTTTTAAAGCACCTTACAACGGATTGTCAAAATTTAAAAAATTCAATATCACAAAATAATATACATAATTCAAAAAATCAAAAATATGATATTTGTAGAACGATTTTCAAAGTACAAGTATTAAACATACACTGGTTGTACAGAGCAAGAAAGTTGACTTCCCTGTTTTATCATTAGATCTCATAGAATTCATATCTTATACATATGTCCTTCACCATCTAAGGAAATAAACCGCTATTCCAAACCTTGTAAATCTATCACATCCAGGTTTTGTCCTAAACAAAAAATGTAAATTCTTAAAAACTCCAGTAAATTTATTGTACCAGTATTATCTTTCAAAGAATATTTGTAATTCTAAAACACAATCATTTCTTATTTGCATAAAATAGTAAATCCCAGACAAAAAAATTGTGTTTTATTGCTGTGTACAGTTTTCTGTTTAACAGTTTAATATACTTTTCTCACCATGTGCTATTCCAATGGCTTGTAGTCCTAAAATGTCCTCGCATTGTGGACAAGTTCCAATCGAGACATAATAATCTTTGATAGTTGAATGAGATTCATGAAAGCCTTCCCAGTGAGCATGTAAAACTTTGGTCTCTGTTTGATAGTCTATATCCTTCACACTTCCTGTCACCACGCTCTTAACACCATCATACACATGACCAGATGTAGGTGGCGTTGTGTCCAGCTCAAAAGCCCAGGATGTTGCTAACGAGGATAGTCCTGCTTTGTTGAAAGCCTGCAATATAGAATATATTCAATTGTTCAAAAGAATATGGAATGAACTTTTCACTATGCAATGGAGAGGCAAAAGATACCAAAGCATAAGTCCAAAACAAACTGTCAACGCCATGGTAAACAGGAATTCTGACGAAAAGTCAAACAACAGTCTAGAAACCAAATATAAAACAAAAAAGACTAATCAACACGAATCTGACCATCACAGGTGCTCCGAAAGTGTTAGCAGATCCTGCTCTAAGTGTGGCACCTGTCAAGTTATTCATATCAGTACCAAAACGATGATAAGTCTCAATCAATGATGCCCCATTGAGAAAAATGGGTGGTATATTTGGTTACGATAATAGGAACATATTCATAGTCATGTGTACATAAGTAAATTACAGATGAAATAAGTAATAAGGATATTTATTACACAGAAATTCCCACAAAAATTATTTTGATTCTGAATTTTTGCCAATATCAATTTATATTCTTTTATCTACTATGCCTGTTTGGGTTACTCACCCAATTGTGTCAACATAACGGAACTATAAACAACTGCCAAACAAGTGGAAGGTTTAGCTAGCTTTAAAGGGAAACTTCGCAAAAAAATGAAAAATTGATATTATGTCCATTCTGTATAAAAAAGCTCAAATTCATAAATATTAAAATTTTATTCTGCTAGATAAGAGATCAACATCGATTTTAAATTTAGAGTATCAATTCTCTGCGTGCGGCCATTTTGACATCTTCTCGGTTTAGAAACCACGATATATCTATAAACCACAAAGGACCAAAACCAGCAGTAACCTAATGTAGTCGTAATTGCGTGTCGATATCTTGTCAATCGTACGGTTGTTTTATCCGACTAACTAACTTGATACGGAAAATGTAATTATTTGTTAAATAACTATGGTCTGTCGGTTTTTAAACTGTTTATATGGGAATTAGTTAAAAAGTCAAAGATCAAAGTCATAAATAAGTGTTCCGTGTAAAATTGTATTCGAAAATCTAATTTGTTCATAATTCTTTTATGTAATAAACTTATTTAAATAAATTCGGACCTTCCCTTATCTGATCACCAGCATGGCTAAAGGTATTACCCCCAAAGGTATTGTGAGGTGACACGTCCAGGTATTCAAGCGATTTCCTGTCGGGCTTAAAAACTCTTATTACACAATTACATAAAGCAAGTTCATGCATCGTCTCACTTGTGAGAGTATTGATCAGTGTATACGGCCGATAACTTGTAACTTTCCATTTTGAAACTATCAGGTGTATAATATAGATCTCTGTCTTGCGTGCCGATAGTGATATACTAGTCATTACCAGAGACATCTCTGTCATTACTAAACTCATACGCTTGTTTATAAATAACATTTCTGGTGTAAAGAATACTATTTATGAAAATCTAAATAATTCCCAAAAAAGATTTGATAAAATAAAAATATATTTACAAATTTTTTTCCAAGGGTAAATTGGGGTAAATGTAAGTATATACTCGTTGTCAATAATGATGGACATTTTGATACATACAAGAAATATTGATTTAACAAAAATGTACGCACTTGTCGATCATTGATTTATACGCCTTGATAGAAAGTTACGGAACTATAGATAGTCGCAATTTAAAATATATACATGTATATTGAATATAAGAAAGAAACATCCAGAACAATTTGATTTAAATACATATCTAACTTGCTTTGGTTCATCGAAGTTATTGACATAGTAAAATCTCAGATTTATATTTCAATTAGATTGTTCTCGAACAATTGAAGAAATTCATCATCATCACTATTGTTGGGTATAATCATTGAAGCAATATTTAATATTACTTCCATTGTATAATGTATAATAAGGTGAACATGGTTCTGAAAGTACCTTATGTCAATTTTCCTGTTCCGACATGCATGTAGTATATGCCACTGGACGTACACTAATGATCCCAAAAAGTATATTTGAAGAAATAAAGAAACTTCACTTCGGATAGACTGATAGTAGTTGTACAAAAAATAAATTAACGAATACCGTATTAACGTCTGACCAGCAAGAGGGTTGATTAATTTATTACGTTAGATTGTGGGTGAATATACCATTCCCAATATTGTTCTTAGTATGCATAAAATATTAAATAAGAGCATAGATATAATAGCCAGCTATTATATCTTTGATAAGGGTAACATGAGAAAAAATATAAATACGAAAAGTCGCATATCTGGTAAAAAAAGTCTCACCATCTATAGGATTTCACGTACAATTGTTATTCTTAATCGAAATAACGGACAGTCATTTACATGAATGACGGTACGCTTTGATAAAAAGGGGTGCCGCATATTATTCATCATCAATCTATTTTTTTCAAGTTTATACTTTCCTGTTATTCTTATCAGTTAACGCAGAGACATGTCACTATGCATCTCTAGTTAACGACAATCAACTATATAAATATCTGAATCTGATGTGAAATACCGTTCATCCCTTTCTTTCTTTTTTCTTCATTTGGGGGGGGGGGGGGGGATTTGGGCAGGGACATAAACATTGTTAGATGTACTTAGGGTTCCCAGGTTGTTGTTTTTTGGGGGAGGGGGCGTGTTGGAGGTCAAGTATATCGAAAGTTACAAAATAAGAGTGTTTTATTTATGAATTTCCAAGAAGAATTCTGTTCTTGGACGTACTTTTCTCTTTTTTTTTTAGTTCAGTGATTTAAATTGGGAAAAAATCTAGTCAGAATTAAAATCGTTTCTGCAATCCCCCATCTAAGACTCCTCTAAAATCATGAATGGCCATGCTTCACAATCATCAGAATTTTCTTTGCATTGATACATTATGTATCCCATGACATTTCCGGGTAAAACAGAGCTTCTTGTATATTACCTGTATGTGGTTAGGTGTCGCCCTATGAGGTCTTGCGTATACAGGTTCACATTTATAATGGTTTGTGATATAACAAGGTTTTATGACATTCACACTTCTGCATGTTCTGTATACCACATTATTATCTTATTTTCAAACCGAAAGAGGAAATGAATAATTTCCAGGTAAAATATTGAGTATCAAAGTATCAAATTAATTTCCAGTTTTTTTTCTTTTTTGGTATTAAATTACAGAAATTTAAAGAATAGACTGCTTTTCCGCTTTAGGGGTATTCTTGCCAGTTAAAACAGACATATGGTTATATGTGTATATATGTCTCTGGTATAGACATGGTTTATGAATGAATTATAAGTCTTGCAAAGGTACAAGATATAAAGCACATTGAAAATTGATTCCGCCGGTCTGTCTCCATTCAAAAAAAGGAAGGTTGACGTTAGATTGATTCTGTCATTTTTTTTTAAACATCGTTGGTCAAATAGCTAAAGTATTATACGTTGTGAGACTTATAATATTTTAATAAGGACATTCCTGATTAGGAATCCTTTTTTTTTATGTTTTTCACACCTGAAAAGAATATTTGTTCGTAATTATTTGATTCCATTCCAAGAATTTCCTGTCAAATTTTCAAACATCTTTTTTCAAATAGCTGAAGTATTTATACGTTGTGACAGAGACAGATTTAAAATATTTTGATGAGAACATTGATTCATGAATATGTAAAGAAAGATCGCTTTGGACGGACCAAATTATATAATTACAATTGGTAATTATCTATTTTAAATAATAAAGGTTACCGATTCTAATTTGAAATAGTACAATTTTTAGTTCATACACTCGTGTTTAGAAGGCCATTATTATTTATAAATCTATTAAATTAGATCAATTCAGTATTTCATGGTTACAAAAACAGTGACAGCGGTCATAATTCATTTTAAACTGAGCTTACGCAAAATATAGAAATATACCACGACTATCCAGTTATTGTGCAACCTTATTACTCCCCCAAAATAATTATATTTCTTTTTTATATTTTCTGAGTCTAAAACTATCACTCCCGTTTATCATTCATACAAAATATTGTTCACACCTGGAACGGTGAACCGTGACGGCTAAGGTTCACTGAGTGAAGATCAAAAGAAATTTTAATTACCCTGAGTTTAACCACGCATTCAACAGTTACTAAGTGTCACAGTCCATTCACATTGTATTTACACAGTACTAGCTAGAAATGTTTGCTGGACTTAAGTAAAAGGTCAGAATACAAACATGCATTTTTAATACATTATCAATCATGTCAGTTATATATGTTTGTTCAAAATATTCGTCGGAAAAATATCATAAAAATGTTCTATTGTATGATTTACTTTTATTACTATAATCATATCAGAAATCCTTAAAACATAAATCCTACAATTTAATTTTACTGATCACTTTACTTTCTTAATTTTAGTTGGTTAATAGCTACACCAAGAGTCGTCGATGCGCTTTAAATCGCGTTATTAGATGGTTAACGAACAAGACTTAAATGAGATTAATTCCACTCCCGGCATGCAAAAAGACTTAAACTACGTCACAGAAGTCAGGAAGTTTGAATAAATAGAATTAATAATTCCCAATTTTCTTCTTTATTAGTTTTCATATCCAAATAAAACTTGGTGAATATGTTTTTTATGGTATTATGAACATAATAAGATGATAAGTAAAAAATCGCGAATTTTCCCTTTAAAACCAGGCTTGATCCATCATTTTCTTTGTAAAATGCCAGTACCAAGTCGGAAATAAGATGGTTGTTTTCAATTTTGTTCCTTTGATTGATAAAGTCTATCTTTTGATTTTGTCATTTTTTATGTACTTCCCTCTTTTTGAATTTAACTTTGAGTTCGGTATTTTTGTTATACTTTTTCTCTCCCACAATAAATTAACACCAGTTTTAACCCAATTTAAATATAAAAAAAAATATTATATTTTGAAAACTTCACGAAATAACTTGCAATTTAAAAAAGATAAACGATGTAGGTAAATTCCTTACTCTAACATTGATATAATAAGAATGGCCATCCATTAGTGAAAGAGGGTTATTTTTGTCTGTAATTCCACATTCGTCCGTGGTTTGTATATATGACATCATATCCGTGTATCCTGGTTGTGAACCAACTGACCAAAGATAATAATCCAAACCACTTTGTAAATCTTTAAACACTCCTTTCCAACTGAAATGAAAAAAAAAGTGCAATATATATTTAACATGTTTAAGTGTATTAAAAACTCACCGAAGATACCATGCTTATAATGTGTACGCCTGACGCACTATTTGTCTACAAAAGACTTATCAGTGACGCTCAAATTAAAAAGACTGATATATCAAATGAATTACGAAGTTGAAGAGCATTGAGGGACAAATATTCCGAAAGGTTTGTCCAAATACAGCTGAGATGATCGATTCATGGAATAGAAAATCCTAAGTATTTCAAACAATTCAAAGTTTAGTGAACAGTAAAAATTATTGCTTATTTATTCATAAATTTTAGAAAACAACTTTTGGGTCCCACTGTTGAGAATGTTCTGTTTTTTTTTAATTAGATCATTATTTTCCAGTATTTCCAGTTGTTTCATTTATTTGACTCTTTCTTAAAGCATCAAGAAAAAATCATTCAATAGCAATATCCTTTGGACCAAAATTCCAACGTTATGATTATTTGTAAATATCATTTCATCCATTCATATGATAAAAAGTGTTATTCTTACACTCAAATAAATCAAACAAGCGAAGCACCCCTGACACAACTATATCCCTTGATCTTCTAAGATCAAGGACCATAAATAACTTTTTGATAGAAAACTTATACACAATAAGAACCAGGTCAACATATGCAAGCACAGTGAAAACAGGTCAGAACACATACATTCTTTAAAAGCCATATTTCTCTAAAAAGTAAGTCAATAGAAATGAAAAGATAACTCAGTCTTTAACTCATCAGCCTGGAACTTATGTCAAGATATCGGCTATACATGTTGCAAGCATAGCAAAAGTCAGGTCAAGTACAGTTTTCATTCAAAGTATGTCATCCAGAACAAAACAAAACTTGTAACTCATGAGTACCTATCTACAACCTAAAAATTAGATAAAAAAACAAATATAAACAAATCTAAAGATACTTTGAGTGAAGATCACAAAAAGATATCCCCAACCCTCCACATAAAACAATGGCAAAGTCTGTGTTTTGGTTACGGAAACCCTAAACGTAATTTTAATTGAAAAAAATGGTATTACACAGTATATGGTAAAGATTCTGAAAACAATTTGAAAAAATTCTTATGATGAAGTTAGCAGGAATTAGGGATATGTGCACACTCCAGATAACACAGGTAGTAATGTCAGACACATACAGAATGTGGGCTGATTGAATCAACATGTGTGTGAGTGCTTAACCTCCCCTTACCTGCGACAGGGATGTAACAGCACAAATTGAGAAATATCTGTAAAATCAAATGGAGAGGACTAGACTAATAAGATCAACACGAAACACCAAAAAGGAGCTACCTTTAGTGCCTTACGACCCTTTGTATACTTACCAAGGACTTATTTCTGTTGTTGATGTAATGTGACGATTAATCAAAGTGATTGGATTATCTGTTCTGTCTGGTGGAGTGATATCAATTGTAAGTGGATCAGAAATTTTTTCTGTCTCTCTTTCGGCAAAATCAACAGCTAGAAAAATAGGAAAGCTATTATTATTCGATTAAATTTAAATGGCATTTAAGCAAAATCTTTCATAATTCTCAAAACACATTATACTTAGTTTATGGCTGTTATGTGTTTTTTTTTACCAATACACCTTATCACGATTTTTCTATCATTACTAATTATCAAAAATATTCCTTAAAAATGTTGACATCACAAGAGAAATGTCTGACCCCATAAAGCAAAATGATTCTTTTATGGCATCAATAGGTACAAGTGTTGCAATATATCGGGTCAAACGTTGCAGAATTCCATGAAGTGATAACGTCTTATCAAAATAGCTTGAAAACATATATACAGATCTTTTCCTTTGTGGCATCAGATTCTTTCATTTTTAGTGGTTTAAATGTCTTAGTTGTTATATTGATAGTATAGTCATTTTTAAGAAATTACCTTTCAGTGTGGCATAATAAATATATCCATTCTGCAGAGGAAGTCTATGTAAAGCTTTATGTTGTACCACCCCTACATTTTCAAAGGCATACACATCATTTCCGCCTGGAGTTGTTCCTGTAAACATAACACATGCGATGATTAGTCTTACATAAATTGATCTTAACGATAAAGCAATACACATTTAGTGTAAGGATCTGGATCATCTTCATTTCTTTACAAAAAATGATTGTTTCTGAAGTGGTTCACTCGTAGAGCAACAACCGGCTTCTAATTCCGGATGCCTTACAAAAACGCCAACCATAATGGTTTCATTTCATTTATCATCGTAGTCAAATATATAGTATCTTATAAACAAGATTAATGACATAATTTTTATTAAGTATATATACGCAAATGTGTAGACTTTTTCACCAATTTTCGAAACTATTCTGTGACAAATGTATGATGATACAAAGGTGGATGTTGAAATTTCCTTTAATCAATTTTTCATAAAATATTGAGGCGTACCCGCTTATATCAGAAGAGTTGACAACTTTGTTTGATATATGTATGAGATGTACCACAATTTACCAATACCGAATATACACTCCTTTAAAAAACAGTAGAGCAACATTTTGAAGTTTTTTTCTGATTTACACCAGTATTAACCCCTTAAAAAATTAGATGGAACTAATAATACTTAGTTTACTTCTCTTCATAACTAGCATTAATTTAAAGCTGGTATAAATACTTACAAATAACAATTGTTTTCTCTTTTATACCAATATCATTAAGCTAAGACTGGTACCAGTACTTACCTATACCCAGTGTATATTCCTTTATACCAGTGGCATGTGGCCCAGTTCCATATTCTTCTACATCACGAAAACCATCCCAGTTTATATATAGGTCTGTATTTGAAGTCTTATAAAGTATAAATCATAATATTTTTAATATTTTATCAAATTTCTGTAACGATTAAGTCTTGTAAGGTTAAAAAACGTGAACTACAAATTTCTATTTTTGGCACAACCCCAATTCCTAAATATTGTTATAACAGGTACTTCACATTCTACAGGTTTAAAGTTGAAAGCTGTTTATCAAAATATACTAAAGTGTCAAAATTAGCCTAATTGAAAATAAAGTATTTCTGCGGTTATGACATGATTTACCTTTATAAAATGGTCCGTGTTTAAATTTATAAATTGATAATTAACTAAGGTTTTAACTCCCTTAGACCTTAGATGGATTTGGCTATTATTTTTTTGTCCTTTTGTGGTCATTTAGCTCTTCAACTGTTTCGGTTCTTATACATCCTTGGCTTTCAAACATTTGGCATTGAGCGTGCCTCATGAATGTTAATTCGGAAAAGCGCTTCGGACGCATGCAATTCATAAAGTGTTGTTTTTATACTTTATCTTAATGATATTTTTTCTTTAAACTGTGTGATTCCTTGACCTCTAAACCTTACTATTTTGCTCATTGTCAAAGGCCTTATGTTGAACTTTAGTTGTATAAATTCTTATCGTTTGTTCTCTTTTAGATAGTTGTCTAAGTGTCAATCATACCACATTTCCCTTTTTTTATATTATATTTCAGTTCTAAAAAGAAAAGCGAATTTATTGAATTACAACACATATGTATTTACAAAATTGTCCGATAATGTTGCAAATTTTATTGTCTCATAACATTTGTGCTCAGTCAAAAGTGTGCCTTTGAGATAATCATACATTAAAATTTGCACAAAATTGTCAATACTTGTTTGTTTATCTGCTAAAATGAAATAGGGTATATGTAATTTGAAACGATCTTTTATACAGGGAATCATTAACTGTGATACAAAAATCTAGTTTGAAATATGTCGACAACTATTACAAAAGCACTTCTTTGAAATATAATACAGATAAATTATTTATTAGGTTAAACTTATATCAAATGACCAGCCTGTCAATATCAGCCCTCAGATTGAAAATGGCTATCAGAAAGTTATATGAGTGAAATAAGAAGGCTATCATGTTTTTTCCAGGAATTAGTCTATAATCACCTGATAAACTATACCCGGATTTAAACCAATCCACAATCTGCCTGCCACAGGTGGTGTCAGATCAACAACAATACCATCACTACAGGAATTAATTTCTTCTAGATACTCAATCCAGGTCTCTCTCATTATTTGTATAGGATTAGCATGTACACATACAGTGTAGCGTGTTCCATGAACAAGTTCATTGTTGCTGAATATTTCATTCATGAAACCATTTACTACAAGAGAAATTTTATTGAACACAAAAGCATTTTAATTAACACTTTTATCACAAAATAATAAGGTCTTTTTAATGAAACTGACAAGGTAAATTGTCACAATTTCCTGTTACAAATACTGTCATCCTATAACCACAAGGAGTCTTTTGTTTTTGTTATATTTTTTACTCTTTTTTCTGTATATTATATTTTATATCTGAATGAAGATAACACGGTACCATGTCAACACATTTACAGGAATATGGATCTAGATCTTCTATATAGATATATGAACAAGTTAAAAAATTGTATACATCGTTGATTTATTTTTTGTCAGTTTTTATGGAATTTTCCTTGGAGTTTGGTATTTTTGTTCTACTTTTTTCCTTACTTGTATGTCCACATCTAATACTGTCAGGATGACCACATGGATTTGTTAAACTCAGCTGATTAATCTGACGATAGTATGTTGTTACATCTACAGTCTTTGCATCTAGTATAGCATAATCATAATTCTTATGACGTAAAGTAGGCCAAACAGCTGATATTAGATTCTTGTATGGGGTATAATCCTTGTCTGGCTCTGGCCAATATTCATTTTCTTCCAGATAAATCTGTTTACCATGACTATCTGAAAATATTTTAAAATATGTATTTTTAAAACTTCGTGTGATTTTATGGGCATGCAAATTCATGGACTGCAATCAAATTTATATGTTTTCTAAAAAAACAATCGCAGTTACGCTTGTGTACGGCTTAGCAGGGCTTTATACTACACATTTATTAGATTCAGTTTTTACACAAGCATAACGCTATAAACTTGTATTTATTTGTGATAATTAGATCATTCTCATTATAAAGTTTACTGAAGAAATAATTTTGCTTGCATATTTAAATTGATCTATAATTCAAACATTTAAAATATTGTGAAATGCTTTTATTTCTACAGTACACACATGCAGTTTACCTTTAAAAAAATAACAAAAAATAATATTTTAATTAGTTTGAAAGCAGTTTTTGACCAATCAAGTATATAGAACTAAAATATTTTAGACATTTATATAAATTCACATAAAGAGTTGCTTCTTTTGTGATAGCTAGAATATAAGTTATACATTCACAATAGATTGTGTTTTTCTTTTTTGCACAATTGCAAAGCCTTAGGGCTGCAATATAGTATTATCCCCAAAACAGTTTGCTAGGTTAATATGTATATAAATAGAACTGTCCTTCTTCATGTGCATACTTTTTAAAGTTATGAAGTTCAGTGAAAATAAAGAATAAGTTCTAAAGGTGAAAAGTAGATTAACTAGCTAGAAATCATTTTAAACTTTAATATATCTAATAAAATGGGTTCATTTTAAAATTTAATTTAATATTTTTTGGCTTTAACATGCAAAGTCATAACACTGTAAGATATGGTTTTCAAAATATGTGGAGTCAGCCAATTTGTTTGTTATTAATTATTAGCAATTCTATTCCGTTTGACTATGGAATCTCATCTCAATATAATAATGTTTTGCATAATAATAAAACAACGTTAACAAAATGTATAGTGGCGTTAACAATGGTGAAATGACAACGACGCTAATCGTTGGAATTAATTAAACTGTCTGTAAATCATGAACACTTTATAATAGATCAGTAATTATAAGTAATCAACCCCTAAATGGAGGTCATATCCCTTACTGTATAGTAGATCAGTAAATTTTGTATCAATCAAGTTCTTATTAGAGTTCCCTCCATATACTTTATAATAGATCTGTAATTTATTTGTTACTAAACACATAACCCTTTCCTGCAAAATACAAATTGTACATTATTCATATTTCAACCACTTATTGTATATTAGAGTAGTAATTTATATGAAATTTGACACTTCACAGGATAATATTTGTTTTTCTACCCTTTACTACCATTAATGTCTGCTTAGCTTATAAGGTCACACTTTCAGTGTTAAAGGTATGATTTTAAGGCAATGGACTACAGAGCAGAACTTTATTACCTAAAGCATCAGGTGCTCCTACAGCATCGATGACAATATTAGGTATTATCAGTATAGGATTATATGCATCGCAGTCTTTAATCTCAGTAGATATGGTTGTGTATAACTTGACATTGTTGTATCCTCTTATAGAAAATCTTTTACATCTTGAAAAATCCATTGTACCATTTAACTCATATTCAAAGGAAATCTGAAAAATAAACAATTTTGCATGAATTCTTTATTATATTTTTTATGATTGCTCTGTTATTGACCCAACAGTCACTGGTTTGACCAGCTTCCTGCAAAATTCAAGTTATACTTTGGGCCAAATTATCTAATCAAAGCACTGTAAGCGCTATATGTAGTTAACCAAAAACCAGGGCAAACGTAATTATGAAAACTGTGGCAGTGTTGTATTTTTTTTAAAGATTTGAAAGAACAAACATTAAACATTCGTATATTGTACATGTATGTTAATTAAATGAATTGATTATTAAGGCAAATAAATTAATATTTTATCAAGATTTTCAAAAGCAATGCATATATCAATGTATATTTTTAATGATGAGTTTGCAGTGGTACAAGTTCGCAATGATTGCAGTTGTTCTAGTTGGTAGTTAACGTTGGTACCAGTTGACTTTTAGTGGTACAAGTTGACGTAGTACGAGTTTGTAATAGTATGAATGGACTTGCTTTCCTGGCAGGAACACTGAGTTTGGGTTCTACAGTACAAAAGTTATGAGACACATATCAGCCAAAGGTTTACTACTACAGGGATCAAAGGTGAGGTCTGATTGACCTGCCCATAGTAAATGTAAATGACCCTTACCTTCACCAAGTCTATGATGTCACTCCATCCCAAGTTTGGAATAAAACAGTTGGTCAAACATTCTTGAAAGATTTATATGTTTTCTTTTAAATGAGCCATAAATGAAAATTTTTATAGGCCCAGAAATAATTCAAAAAATAATTAAAGTAGAATGGGAATGACGATGTATGGGAGCTCTGTTTGGAAGACTTCGTAACAGCATCCTGTTACAATTATTTCTTGTTTATTATAAAATTTAATTGATGCAAAAATAAGTCTAGGTTAATTGAATTTACTTTACATTCTGGTCGCCTGACATTGGGCAAAGTCCAGTACAAATTGGTTAGGTCTAGTAAAGTGATATGCATATGTGACGCCTAGGAGATTGACCCTGTATGTCATTCAAATCTTCTTGAAATGACGAACAGGAATAAATATGGTTTAGGGTTGGGTATCTCACTGTTTACAAGTTCTCAAAAAGGGTGGGGTGATCCCCAGGGGACTCACCCTTTATTTCATTTGATTTAGTTTTTTTTCCCATACAAGAATATACATGGTTTCGGTGTGGGGATCTCAACCGTTTACAAGTTTTCAAAAAGAATGGGGTGGGGATGACCCACGTGGACTCCCGCTATATTTGATTTGATTTGATTTATTGTCCCGGCCCATACCAGAATATATGTGGTGTAAGGGTGGGGATCTCGACCGTTTACAAGTTTTCACAAAGAAGGGGTGGGGTGTCACCAGGGACTCCCCTATATTTCATTTGATTTGTTATCTTGTCCCATACATGAATATATGGTTGAGGGGTGGGGATCTCGACAGTTTACAAGTTTTCAAAAAGAAGGGGTTGGAGTGACTTCTGTGGACTCCCCTATATTTCATTTGATTTGTTATATTGTCCCATACAAGAATATATATGGTGTAGGGTTTGGAATATCGACCGTTTATAAGTTTTCGATAAGAAGGGGGGATGACCACAGGGATTCCCCCTATATTTCATTTTATTTGTTTTATTGTTCCATACAAGTATATATATATGGTTTAGGGGTTGGGATCGCGACCGTTTACAGGATGAAATAGATATAGGAAGATGTGGTATGAGTGCCAATGAGACAACTCTCCATCCAAGTAACAACTTATAAAAGTAAACAATTATAGGTCAAGGTACGGCCTTCAACACGGAGCATTGGCTCACACCGAACAGCAAGCTATAAAGGGCCCCAAAAATTACTAGTGTTAAACCATTCAAACAGGAAAACCAACGGTCTAATCTATATAAAAACGAGAAACGAGAAACACGTATGAACTACATAAACAGACGCATATTTTCAAATTGAAGGGGGTGGGATGACCCCAGGGACTCACCCTATATTATTCTATTGTCCTGTTATCATTACTGAAGACTGTGTGTGTCTATCACTTACTGTTTTCAAGTAATAGTCATTTGAAATTAGAAAAAAAAACCAAAAAACATAGGGTTCTATTGTAAACCCCTCCCTTGTTAAGGCCCCTCAAAATACCCCTTTATAGACCCCAATGCACAAACGAAAGATTGATCGCTCTGCTAGACATGTTAGTCTTACATTTTATGAAACCCTAAGTAAATCTGACAAGCGGTTCGAGTTGTCTTTTTAGACGGTCCGAGTGGACTCGGTCCGACTTGTTTCAGGGACGAGTTGTCAACATTTCGTAAAACATCCCATCAACTTCGGTTTTCGGATCTGTTTCATTCATAAACAACAACAACTTTGGCAAGTCAGTGATAAACGGGGAATATAATAAAAGAAAGGAATTTAAATGTGCATACATTTAATTGAGATCAATTAAATAATCACAATCTTCTTAAACATGTTAAACGAAAAGAACATCATGATTAACAAAACTTACTTTATAACATCAGAATACTTACTAGCTTTCTAACTTACGGTTCGTGTAAGTTGAAATTACCGCCAACTGAGACTTCTGTATATTTATAACTTTATTTCCTCTATCATAGAGATTTGGTGTACATGAACAATATTCCTGCGCCTTTTGCCATTTGGGAAATGTAAACGACTTGTAATTAGAGATTTTCGGCGATGAAATATTTCATGCAATTGTTCTTTGACATCTTAGCCAAAAGCACATGGGATAATACACTACGTACGGATTTCTTTTGAGCACTACTTCCTATGTGCAACTTCTAAAATTTTGGGTAGTTCGACGATCATTTAAGGTTTTTCTGGTCATATTTTTTCTATTCCAGAATTGAAAGTATGAAAAAAGTGCCCAATTTGTTATAAATAACTTATAAGCCAGCTAGATAATAACAATAGCACTTATTACACCATTCAGTGGGAAGAACACAAATCAAGGGTGGTAGCATAATGCAGCTTAACTGCATAAAAATTTGCTTAAGTTTATACATTTTGAGAATAATTCAATTGCACAACCAAATATACGATATCAATAACAACTTCTTAAAGAATAAACATAATGTTCTATGAAATATTGCTCAAAAATTATACATATGCTATAAGTTTTCAGTAGACAGGAACTTGAAGAGCGATGGAAGTGAAAATGTATCACACTGGATAAAATACTCACATGATTGATGAGACTTGATACAAATTTCAGGAAGTCTTGTGAAAAATGTGACGAAAATTTCATACATGTTCATTATTTGTAAGAAAATATAGTTATTTGGTTGTTGAACGATGGATGTGTAAATGCATTAGACAGTATAGCATGCTCGCATGAATCTTGATACCACATTTCATGATGTCAAATTTTGAAAAATCGATTTTTGTGTCATATGGATTTAGTCTCATTCACATATATCCATATCTACTATTTTCCATCTGTATTTGGAAAAATCTTAACACCTTATTTGTGACGAAAATTTTAACAAAAACTAAATACCATAAGATCTTAAATATTTTTGCCATATAAATTTAACAATAAGAAGATGAGGTATGATTGCCTTTGAGACAACTATCCACCAGAGTCCAAATGATGTTGATGTGTTTGACTAAAGGTCACTATACTACCTTGATATGAATTTTACCTGATTTGCAGTGGTTGTAAAGAGGACCAGATTAGTCCATGTCATGTAGGGTTTTCCGTGTTCAGAGTTATCTGTAATGGCAAACTCGTACTTGTCAACAGCAGCATATTTTTCTGTTATATCTTCAATATCAGGGTCATAAAATTGATTGAAAGATACCAGTAACTGAAAATAATAATTGTTTTACAAATAATTCTGTCAACAGTAGTATGAAACAGGTATATATAGTGAGAACATTTAATTAGGGTAACCAGCAAATGTAATAATATTGCATGCAATGATATTTTTAAATACAGTTTTATCATTTAAAATAGTTGCTTACAATCTTATTCTTCAAGAGCAAAAATAATAATTACTAGTCGAAATACCTTGATTTCTTCAGCAGATTCAATGTATTCATATTTGTCAAAATTACAATAACTTAATGACTACTGATGTAGTTTTCAGAAATCTCTTTTTTTTGAGGGGTGGATTCCGAATCCGATTCCATAAAGTTTAAAGAGTGCTATTCTGTAGATTTTGATGAAATCAACTTGAGATATGCTATTCTTAACTTTGAAGTACCAGTTGAATACAATACAGGGGAAACTTTTACAAAATATAAATACCACAGTCAAGAACATTTCTTAAACTGAAACTGATTTATTGCAAAACATGATGCATGAATGAACTTGTGGTATCAAATCAGCTAACGAGACAAATTTTTTAAACTTGCATTACATATGGCGCTTATGTAAAAACATACAAATTGTTCACACTCGATAACACAATTATATAAACACATAATTGGAAACCCACTTTGTAGTAGCATTGATTGATCAACGCTTGCTTATGAACGTCCAGTGTACTGTTGAAACAAGCAATTTATCAGATTGACCAACACATTTTCTACCAAAAACATCGATTTTATACCAGTTACTTGTGGATAATTATAAACTTTGTGCTATGAATTCTGTCTCACTTGATTTTATTGACTATTCATACCATACAGCACCAGTTTAAAATGTATTTTTTTCTAAGCTCATCGAATGTTAACCTTGATCCCAACTGTAACATACTGACCTTTTCAACTCCATTTCCTGCTGTGTTATTTAGATGTTCTATGGTTATGTCCCCTGCTATCGGAGGATTTGCTATTACCATTACTCCATCAGTGTGGACAGTTTCGAAACAAATGGTCCTTGCACACAGTTTCAGTACAATACGGTATTTAATTCCTGGATCTAATGTTAGATCATCTATACTAACTTCAAAGACAGTTGAATAATGATCAAAATCACGAAAAGTAGTCCACATATCTGAAAACACATCAAAAACAGTTTAGACTAAGTGATGCTTTGCGACATGGGGTGTAAATAATAATATCATTGCCTAATCAGAAAATACCAGACAATGTTTTCTTAAACTTACCTTACTTTATATGTCTCAAATAAATCGCGGCATGCCTTATATCATATGTCTCACATAAACCTCGGAATAACTTTTTCTTTCAGGTATTTAAAAGTTTCTAGTTAAAAGTATTCACTGTGTATAAAATTTGTAAAGGGTCTGATGAACCCTGTGTCGTCCCAATCGATTGCTGCTGTGAGTGTATGGGTGTAATGTTGGCTGCCAAAAACTAAGTTGCTATGTCCTGATCTTGAATATGCTTCTTTTAAAGTTCTGTAGTATTCTATGAAAGTTTGACAGAGTTACGTATGTTTAAACAAACTAATAACAGACTGTCAGAAAATATTAACTGCAAAAATATTAGTAAAACAATGAAAACAAATTTTCCTTTGAATACTGTCTTTTGATCGTGAAGAAGTTTTTTCGACAAAAGAGACAAATACGACAGATCAACATTGTGTCAGTTTATCTTTCAGCCTAATTCAATTCAGATAGGTAAATAAGGGCATACGATACAGTTACAGGGGAGGTAATGACGTTGCTAACGTAAAATGCTTTTTTTTCGCGACGTCAAACTGCGACATATCGAGAAAAGATGAATTTTTCGAGTGATTTCAATCATTAGCTTGAAAACGAGTACATGGGCCCCTCTTTTTTTTAAATGATATTTGACTTGATACTGTATAAAGATCATTTGTTAAATTTTTTATAAAAAAAATACCGAAGATTTTTTTTTTAAATTAGATATGCAGCCAGCAAAAAATGCTGTTTTTTTTCTAAAATCATGAAAATTTAATAAAAATGAATTATTTACAATGAATTATTACACAAATCAAGAGTATACTTTTGTAGAAAAGATATTCCATATATTTTTACAAAAAATCGCATGTATATATCCTTCGAAACAAAAAAGTTAGGTATGTCTGTCCAAAGGATAGAAATGTACAAGAAACCGACATTTTAAGTAAATAATCCACTCCTAACATTTTCGACCCCATTTATCTCTAAACTTAAGACATGAAGGTATATTTATTTTATTACACATTTGAACTGACCAAGTGAAAAATAGCTTGTATGCAAGTTTTCGTAAAACAATCACCGTCGGATCAAAGCTGTATCGTATGACATTAATCACATTAACTTAACTTTTTAGACGCATGTTTTTCTTTTCTTACGCCAATCGTTAATATCAAATAATTTCAAACAAATGTTCTAATATGGCATTATAAGATAATGAGAACTTTTAATGATAGATTTGTCATGAGAGCACTTCCATTTCGAAGGCTGAATGACTTTGCTTTGTACATGCCAACTTACTTCCTACCCCAGTTCTTTTTTCTATAGCAATGTAGGCATCTGTGGTGTATGGCTGTATACCAACTGGTACAGACCAGTAGGCTTTAAGAGAGCTGGTCGACATCTGAACTTCAGTATCATCTGCACAGAATATTCTGTTGTCCTACATAAAAATTACAGCATTTTGACATTCAAATATACTTATTTCAAGAAATGATCCTTGTATTATACAATTTACGTAAACATAGTAAATACAATAAAATATATTTCAGCAACACGTCGTTAACAAATGTTTCAAAGAACTGACTTATGAAATAACTTAACGGAATAAAATTGTCTTGAGAACCTTTTTTTTTTGCTACTTGCTAAAGTCGCCAAAACAAATCGCTTCCGTTATAAGTTGGTTTACAGTATTTGAAAGATTAATCTTTTAAATTTAAGTTGGTGAAAGCAATTTATTTGGAATTTCCCGAAGGGTGCTTATTTTTATATGTAAGGGAAATGCCTATTTAGATTTGTGTATGAAGTGTTTGTAGCTGATAACTTGGTGAGTTTGAATAAGTGTACAAACATATAATTTGATAATTCCAACATTTGCATTGTCAAAATGGCAAAAAAATCAATAAACGATTATTTTTTTTAAGGAAAGTGAGTTAAACAAAATTGGATAAAATAGGTTGTGACACTTTTTAATACTGAAGGTATTACTCTGTGTTTTGTCCCAAACAGTATTTGATATAAATGGTAAGGTTAAAAGTGTTTTGGGTTAATCCTCCTACCATATTGCAACATATTATTTTTGTAATTGTTAAAAATAAGATTTGGAAACAGGTTTTAAAACCACACTGTATAAAACTGACTGTGAACTGACTTCGGTGTTAAAAGGTATGACATCTTAGATCACCATGTATGCAGCTGACTTTATTGTTAACGGGTCTGCCATCATAAACAATTCACAACATTTCTATTTGACCAAATATCCATAAAATAAATACTTCATATTATAAAATTGAGAATGGAAATGGGGAATGTGTCAAAGAGACAACAACCCGACAAAAGAGCAGAAAACAGCCCAAGGCCACCAATGGGTCTTCAACACAGCAAGAAAATCCTGCATCCGGAGGCGGGCTTCAGCTGGCACCTAAACACAAATGTGTACTGGTTCAGTAAAAATTGACGTCACACTGAACTCCGAAACATATAAATGAACAAGAATTAAAAAAAAACATACAAGACTAACAAAGACCAGAGGCTCCTGACTTGGGACAGGCGCAAAAATACGGCAGGGTTAAACATGTTTAGTGAGATCTCAACCCTCCCCCTATACCTCTAACCAATGTAGAGTAAACAAACACACAGCAATACGAACAGTAAAACTCAGTTTAAAAGAAGTCCGAGTCCGATGTCAGAATAGTTAACAGAAGAAAATAAGCAAAATGACAATGATACATAAATTAACAAAGGACTTCTAGCAGTTACTGACATGCCAGTTCCAGACATCAGTTAAACTGATTGAAAGATTATGTCTTCGTCATATTAAAATCAAGCATAATCCCTGTCGTTAGGGGTTTAGTATCAAACTACATAAAATATATGAGAAGAACATAACCCGTATCATGCCAACAATTGGTTTTAGAATAAATATGTTTATTACCGATGCAAAGACCCTATGAGTGCATCAATGTTAATTCTAGAATACGCCATCTTTAATGACCTGACAGTATCGTAACTATTTCCCTTCTGAATATATTAATTGGTCCGAAATATGCTTTCTCCCCTTGGTCACCTTGGTATAAGTATACCATGGCTATTTAAGTTATCATTGAATTAATTTTGCCTTTACTTACATCCTCATGATGGCCCAACGTCAAATCTGAAACAGAAAGACACATGTTTACAATAGTTTCACCAGATGACTTACTCTTGTTTTTTCTTCAACATGAAATAACAGTTCAATGTAAATGACATTGTTTTCCTGCATTTAAATCAGTCTGATCATGCAGTCCTTCCTATGCAAGTTTGCATTATCGCCAAAAATATATACCACACGACTTACAATCATCATCCTGCAACATCTCTCAATTGACAGAAGGAAGACTACTGGATTCGAGAACTAAGATTGCAACACCATATGGTAAAAATAACAAAATAGGTATTCTATCTAGTTCTTCCTGTAGCTCAGTTAATGTGATAAATATTTTCAACTAGGCTCCTTGACGTAGACGCCATTATGGTCATCGTAATTACACATCATTTACTCCCCATGATGTTTCTATTAATGAACTTCTTTCAATCATTCAAAAGCCGTTTGTTATTCATCACATTTACAAGAAAGCTTTTTTCATTACCATTTTAAAAACTTCATTATGTGTACAACTTATGTTTGGAAATCCCTGTTCCTAGCCCCTCTTTAAACCAATGCAAACTTGCAGCTATCATCTCGAATAGCCAGTCACATACTTGTCAGACCAGTTCGCCTTCGAAAAAGATGAAAAGGATAAAAACTCCTTTCTAAAACTTTCTTTTGCCAACAAAGTATCGATTCCATTATCTTGAGCATTATTCTTCATCATAAATCAGTCCACTCGAAAATACCTCCCTACTTAAATCAGTCTGTACCTACACCAAACCAATTACAACTAACATTTTCAAATACAAACACATGTTGAAGGGTATTAAATTGACGACTTTAAGTCTAAACCTCCTGATTGCACCTGTGCTAGTTTTCTATTCATACATAATCCGGTTGGCCATGTTATTACTGGTGAACTGAACATTGTAAATAACACTTCTCTGCAAAATGTGTTATCCAAAGACCCAAACTATTTTAAACCTTAATCCATCAGTCGCGATCGGTCCAAGCACAACTTCAAGATACTGAAGGATTTATCAGAGGATAATGCCAGGCTAAACACGAAAAAGAAGACATATATACTCTTTCAGCATGGGTTAAGGATGTGAGGTTGTTGATACAAATTAGAATTAAACTAGACGTTTCGAAACGACACAAATGGCCCCGCTCGCAAAAAAAGCTTGAAGCCATTTAGGAGTGGAAATTTCAGAATGAAGTCCAGAGCCCGTTATTTCAGCAAAAATCAGCGTAACCAAACGTAAACTTGACTGTTACTCATTATAAAAGACTCACATACTAAAACTCAGCTCAATATGTGAAGGCGTTTAGAAAAAAATCTGTATAACTGTTGGTTGCGGAATGACGGAATGACCAAAAGACAGAATGATGGAATGACGGATAAGGTAAAAACTTTATGTCCCCGACCTGTCCTACCTGTATACAAGTTAATTCAGTATCTTTAATACAATTCAATATGTTGTTGTTTTGTACAGGTAAATAACAACTACTGAACTGTCTGAACATATCTTACTTGACTGTAAGCGAATACTCTGAACAGCACCGAATTTACCGGAGTGAATAAGACTGAAAATTGAATGAAAGACTAAACATGAATAATATATTTTATAGTCTTTGTAGCTGTTCAGATCAAAATGCCTATTTCAATTCAAAATTGGTTTACTTGTGTTAATGCAATCTTATAAACAGACTGAAACATGTCAAAATTATTTCATATACATAAACTGCTGACATCAAAGACCATCGTTTATAGAACTGACTACACTGTAAACAGGCCAAACATCAAACAATATCATGTGTAGAGCTGACTTCCATATAAACAGTCCCGACATCAAACACAATTATGAATGTATAGAACTGACTTCAGTATAAACTGTCCCGACAATCATAGACCATTATGTATAGAACTGATTTCAGGGTAAACAGTTCTGACATCAAAGATCATCATATATACAACTGGCTTCAGTGTAATCTGTCCTGACATCAAATACCATCATTTTTTAAACTTAGTTTAATGTTATAGCAGGTCTGACATCTTATATAGAATTAAAATCAGTGTATAACTTGTATTTCTAATTTGTTGAAATACATACTGTCACAACAATTACATTGAATAATTGATGGCCTCTTAACAAATATCCAGGATGCTACATGTAACATGTTGAAATGATATAACTTGCTTTGTACTTGACAATTTAGCTAACTTAGTTTCTAATATAACAGTCTGCAGGGACTCAAGTCTATAAAGTCAGACCTTTTACTATGGTAAAACTGTAACTAACTTACCAGTCATGTTACAGGGTTTACCATCTTGGATTGTTATTCCTGATAAGGCATCATTTTCCGTTACTATAGTAACACCATCAGACGACACTGTTGTATCACCTACTGAAGTTTCAGCAGTCACAGTAAAATAGTATGTCTAAAAAAGACAAATGAATTAGTGATTCCATGTACTTATGAATATTGAATATCAAAAACATTTAGATACTAATGGCTATAAACAATTAGAATTAATCTATTTTAAAGTATAAAATAAGTCGACAAAAGTCATTTATTGGAATATTTTCTTTGCTGTTTTATATCAATGATAAAAACAAAATTTTAAACTTGATATAATTTTGGTAAGTTGATATGTTTCCAACTTTTATGTAATTCTCATCTTTTATCTCTGAAATATTTGAAATTTGTCGCAGTTACGGTTAAATAATATTTTAAGTTAATTTTCAGAAATTCGTGATAGAATAATAAAATTGCAAAAGTATTGACTCACTTAATTACTATATATATATATATAGATAATTAAATTACTTCATGTTTAACCAAAAAAGTTAAAAGTAATTTTTTTTTAATATTTCTTAACCTTTATAAGATAATAAAAAAAACATGATGTGACTTGAAATGTGTTAATCTTACATGTATTATAATATAGTAAATATTGTTTGTGATTGTTTATGTTACATTAACAATTATGAGATAGTTTTTAACTTCTAATGTTCTAATAGCATTTTCATTTTTATGGATGTTATCAGGCACCTAATTGACATGTACTAACTTCCAAATTCTAACAGCCAGCAGTCAATCTGGACTGAGCTATTTTTCAAATTAAGAGGCATAAAAATCGTACCGTGCTTATTACATATTTTACCTCAAATGGTGTCAGAGACAATCCTGATTCCTGGTGAGACAAGCTTGTACCGACATCCTTCAAAGACACTACATCACTTCCTCCTACTGTTGTACCAATACTTATCTTGTATGTCACATCTAAATGTGGATGAGCAAATCCGGACCATCGTGCTGAGAAATTGGTGGTAGATGTCTGAAAATCTATATCTTCTATGTCCTAAAGGAAAATAGCTTAAATTGATATTTAGAACTTGAAGATTTCATAGTTTCGAAAAAACCTTATAATGAATTTTATCTTTTTCAACTGACACTAGATTCTACCATCAACCATATAACGCAGTAAACTATTTATAAGCCAGGAATAAAGGCACTAGTTTAATTATATTTATTGTCTAAAGATATGAAATAATACGACACTTAATGCTAAAATATGATCTTACCTTTAATGGAATATCAGTTATATGATTCTGAAAGAAACAAAACAGTAGTATCAGGGGAGCAACAAATGCCATCTTGATTTGCAATGAAAAAATACCAGTTATATATCATATAACATAGTGTTTGAAAATATGTAATTTTAAGCATAAGAAAAAGTTCTCTGTTATGCAACAAAGTGTTAAGTCCGGGCTTCAAAATAAAAATATATTTGACATATCCGACTTGCCACTTGATTTTTACTTGCCATGAGCAACAATACAGGTCGAACTAGCGGAGCAAGAACTGTTTTTATAACTGCTTACCTTTTACCTAGCTTGAAATTATGACCTAAATAGTTTTCTGGTTTTCCCCCAAATCTGTAGATTTTCAATAGAACTTACACAAGTAAAAAATGTTTGTTGTATTTTACTTAATATAAAATAAAAAATTCTGTGATATACATTTAAGTTAAATGAAGACTAGCAAACCTGTGGGTCAACATCTATAATAACTCCTTTAGCTGGCAATTGAACATCATGAATATATGGATCAGATGTCTGAATGGTTACCAGTCCTGCACTGTTAGTTATTTTGATTGATACATAGTATGTGTGATGGCCATGCAGGAACCAATCCATATCTGATATATTAACTGCAGTACAGTGTGGTGGATAAGTCAAGGTACAGCTAGCTCCTGATAGTAATGGTTGAAAATCTTGAACATCTGTACCATAGGTAGTGTGACCTACAAGTTATTGTAACTATTATTATTGTAGTATCCCTTTTTGGAAAATTTAATGATATTGTTTTTTTTCAAATATGCCGTGTTCCAATATCTTAAGTAATTTTGCATAAAATGAAATGTCTCGATAAGATAAATGAGATATCTACTTAATAGCATACAAAGGATCATTTGATGCATTACATATCTCTTAGTGTGATTCTTTGATAATGGTAAATCCCCAAAAGTCTAGAAAATATCAATTAAGATTCGTAATAGCAATTAAAAAAACTGAATGTTATAGAGTTTTCTCAAGCAAATTCTCGTAAAGCTAAAGTAAATTAATATGAGTTGTCAGTGTTATCTTATTTCATCAATCAATATCAAAATTCTAAATATTGAAATACTACACAAAGGTAAAGGAAATAATTATGAATTTCAATTGTAGCTGTGCACATCTACGTCTATGGGACTCAAGTGCATAGCTGTCCAGTTTACAATCATATAGGTAACTGCAAGCAAAACATACAAAATGAAACTCCACCCTTCATTATTCAATTTAACATAGCTGTTTTTATAATAACAAGCTGTTTATGAATTTGGCTTTCCAAATATTTTAATTGGGTAATTTTGCTTGCGTAATTTTGCTTGCGTGACATCAAGTGACAAGTATATGTTATGCATATTAAAGAGGAAAATTTGGGAATTTCGACTCATCATCTAAATATATACTTAATGCCATAAAATACATATTCACCTAGTTTCATCAATAAATGTACACCAAAATTGAATAAAATTATAACTTATTAAAACTTTTACCAGTGAACTGTGACGTTTTTCATCGCTTTAGTATACCGGGAGAGGCACTAAAATTATTTAAAGCCTTGTTTGCTTATTATCTTAATCCTAATTTACAGTGTAGCACTGTTTCTTTTCCAAAACTAATAAGCATCAAACAATAAAAAATCTAAATGAATAGACGTGCAACTTTTTACATTTATTAGTTAAAACTCCCATGGTAAAGGCAGTTTTATATTTTCGATGTTTTGCATACATGTATTGTATGGTAAGACTGAGACTCACCTACAGCAAACTTGTAATCAAGCTCGAAAAATTCTTCACTGTCAGAGACGGCGTTGCTAGGCCATGAAGTTATAAGATAAACCCCTGACAATTCTACTGTAAATACACTGCTGCCACCAACAAACTCTGGTGGTGTTGTATCCATAAAACAGGGGCCTAAAGTCTATAAAATGTATTCGTTTAAAGTCCCAATAAAAACTTCATAGAATATATAGACATGAAAAATGATAAACTATAAATAATGATGTACAAACAATATGAAAATAAGGAGATGTGGTAGCATGACATACATATAAAATAGATGAAATTTCAATAAACAGGGCAATCAAGGATGTTAAATTCAATAATATTTGACCTCAAATTGATATTTTACGTCTACCAAATATGTTGTGGTCAACATATTGCTTGAATTTTTTAACGACTTATCCAGCTAACTGAGACTTCCCATGACTTTGATGACAAATTACGTCCCTAATCGATTGAAAAATTAGATTTTATTGTCGATGTCGGGATTCTTCAAATAAGCAGTTAAGTCATATTTCGGGTTATAGTTACATCCGATAAGATTTGCTGTTTTCATTACTTAAATGCCGAATTTCTGAAGATTGCATGTTTTGGCCATGATTATTCTTGTATAAGCTTTTTCGATGGAAAACACTTTTTGCATCCCATTTATTTTATAACATCTGTATAAATATATACACAGGTAATGCAACCAGATAAGCCTGACCAATTACAACCAGGTAGATACACTTCCATCATATCCATGTTACACAATTATTCAGGTATTTCACAGAAAACGTAAACCATGCCAAATTACCAATAATTGTTATAATCATCCTGTGTAGAAAGTTATTTCCAAAGTTATGAAGAAGTGAACGACATATTTTAATCCCGGGAAATGTTTTAAAATATCAAATTGAACGTATCAATTTCTATCACAACACTGAATAAAAGAATATCCCAATGAGGATGAAAACAATGAATTAAATGCTAATATGTCCAGCTTCTTAATTATTTTGATAAATATATCAATTGTAAACTCCATTTATTTTTGTATAAAAAAAAGCTTTAAGCCTAATAAATTAATGCAAAAATTTTGAAAAAATTTTATTCATCACTTATTAGCCAATTTTAATTGACAAAATTTGTATTGATATTTGACCTAGTGTAGAGATAAATTGCAAATTATAATTATTGACCCTTTACCAGTCCATCTGTAGCGAAAGAGTTATCGACCCTTATTGTTACTAACATAGCTGTGTATGAAAGATATAACCATGCTCTTCATTACCATTCCCATAATTTTTAAAAAGTTTAACCTTAAAAACAATTGAATTCAGTCTTAACTGGTTTTTTTTTTATCTGAAAAATAACATCAACAAAACCAGAGGGTCAATCAAATATTCATGAGGACTTAAGTTAGAAGTGACCAGGGTGATAATTAAGAATAATAATCATATTACTTATTATCTTGGAAATAATGAAAACAATTTTTTTTCATCAATAACAGTAAAATTTTACAAAATTCTTAATACCTAGACTTTACTTATTTTGTGTTGTATCTCGTCTCACTATGTTTTCAATATGTACCACCTTTGATAAGTATTAAGTATGACGATAAATTTTCACTTCCGTACTCGTACAGCACTACAAAAGTCTAAAAGTCTGAAAAGACCAGTTTTTGTCTTGATTTGCATGAACTTTTACTCGACATTCTCCAAAGTATGACTTGTGTCTTAATTTTTCTTGAAAAATTCTCATTTATATTAAATTTGTATGAAATTTACTCGACATATTCTCGACATTCTGAATATGGTCTTAAAATTTCTTGACTAATTCTTGACATTTAAATACTGTCTTGAAATTTCTTGACATATTCTCGACATTCTTATTTTTTCTCAGTATGGCTTGACATATTCTGAACATTTTGAATTGTGTCTTAAATTAACTTGACAGTTCTGAGTTTTACAAATCATGACCAATATTCATTATTTAACTTTAATCTTTATTTCATCATTATAAAATATACTGTTGTTTCAAGTTATGCTTCTTACAACAAAAATGAAAAGTGGGCATGTAAAATAATTGAAAATTTGGGTATATAAATATTTTTACAAATGCAAATATGGCTATGAAATCTAATGTATAAAATAATTTAAATGTGGGTGTGTTGATATAAAACAATTTAAATGTGGGTTTTTAAAAAAATTACAAATTTTGATTCCTAAATCTTATAAATTAAATGATTAAAACCAATCATACTGTAGACATATTTCATTCTACATTCATAATATTAAATATTAATATGGTAAATAATTATTGTACTAAAATGTGGTTTATATAAATAGCAAATTATGATGATAAATCCTTCATTTAACAGAAGAAAAATTTGTGTAATGTCATCTGTTGGAATATATATTAAGTATTATACATGGACAGGATGTTCCCCATAAAATTAAGGTATTCCACACCCCAGAGTATACACAACTGTCAAATAGAAATTACTGATTTACCTGTAATCAGCCATACAACTTATCAGTTAACCAACCACTACAATTTAAAAAGTTTTTGATAGATGAAAATTATGAAAATCATCATTTTGATGAAAAAAATTGAATTAAAATGGATTTTCTTCATCAAAATTATGAAGTTATTTATTTTAACATAAAAACAAATTGAACAATTCCCAAAGATTAATTTAATATTATTATCTACTCCAGGAATGATAAAAAAAAATGTATTTATAATGGGTCCCATCAATGATTTCTATAGAAATCATTGGTCTAATGAAATGGATCTCAAACAGACATGCATAATATAGATCTAAACATTTTTTTTTTCTTTTCGGGAAGGAGTTATCACAAATATTTATTTTTGATAAAAAATAATAAAATTCAACACTCAAATTTGAATAAAAAATGTTTTTGGGTTGTTCTAAAAAATGAATAAGGTTTTGGAATCAAGACGAGAACAAGACGAGAACAAATTCTTTGACCTACACGAAAGTCCCCCCCCCCCCCTCTTTTTTTAGCCACACAAACCCAAAGGTGAATTGTGGGGTCCAAAAGAGACACATGGTCACATTTTAAAACTGCCTACAAGACACTTTTTTTAGTAAAGCAAATTTGACTGGCAGTTTTGCGAATGGCAAAAATCTAAATGCTGTTTGTCAGTTACTTCGACTTATATTCAAGGTGAAAAAAATTAATTAAACGTTTAATAAAAATAAATCAAAATTAAACTACATGGGGGATTATTCAAAGTATTCCAACTTAGTTGCACCAAAAGGGTATCTAACTATACCAAATTTATCCTTGATTCTTCAAAGTTTAGTTTAGCCATAATAACTAGAGGCTCTAAAGAGCCTGTGTCGCTCACCTTGGTATATGTGCATATTAAACAAAGGACAAAGATGGATTCATGACAAAATTGTGTTTTGGTGATGGTGATGTGTTTGTAGATCTTACTTTACTGAACATTCTTGCTGCTTACAATTATCTCTATCTATAATGAACTTGGCCCAGTAGTTACAGTGGAAAATATTTTGTAAAAATTTAATCAGTTTTACCTATGTCAGATTTACTCTAAATGCTTTGGTTTCAGAGATATAAGCCAAAATCTACATTTTACCCCTATGTTCTATTTTTAGCCATGTCGGCCATCTTGATTCGCGGGCGTGGTCATCGGACACATTTTTTAAACTATATACCCTAATGATGATTGTGGACAAGTTTGGTTAAATTTGTCTTAGTAGTTTCAGAGGAGAAGATTTTTGTAAAAGATTACAAAAATTTACGAAAAATGGTTAAAAATTGACTATAAAGGGCAATAACTCCTTAAGGGGTCAACTGACCATTTTGGTCAAGTTGACTTAATTGTAGATCTTACTTTGCTGAACATTATTGCTGACTACAGTTTATCTCTATCTAAAATAATATTCAAGATAATAACCAAAAACGGCAAAATTTCCTTAAAATTACCAATTCAGGGGCAGCAACCAAACAACAATTTGCCTGATTGGTCTGAAAAATTTCAGGGCAGATAGATCTTGACCTGATAAACAATTTTACCCCATGTCAGATTTGCTCTAAATGCTTTGGTTTCAGAGATACGAGCCAAAAACTGCATTTTACCCTATGTACTATTTTTTAGCCATGTCGGCCATCTTGGTTCGCGGGCGGGGTCATCGGACATATTTTTTAAACTAGATACCCTAATGATGATTGTGGATAAGTTTGGTTAAATTTGTCTTAGTAGTTTCAGAGGAGAAGATTTTTGTAAAAGATTACAAAAATTTACGAAAAATGGTTAAAAATTGACTATAAAGGGCAATAACTCCTTAAGGGGTCAACTGACCATTTTGGTCAAGATGACTTAATTGTAGATCTTACTTTGCTGAACATTATTGCTGTTTACAGTTTATCTCTATCTATAATAATATTCAAGATAATAACCAAAAACGGCAAAATTTCCTTAAAATTACCAATTCAGGGGCAGCAACACAACAACGGGTTGTCAGATTCATCTGAAAATTTCAAGGCAGATAGATCTTGACCTGATAAACAATTTTACCCTTGTCAGATTTGCTCTAAATGCTTTGGTTTCAGAGATATAAGCCAAAATCTACATTTTACCCCTATGTTCTATATTTTTAGCTATGGCGGCCATCTTGGTTGGTTCGCCGGGTCACCGGACACATTTTTTAAACTAGATACCCCAATGATGATTGTGGCCAAGTTTGGTTTAATTTGGCCAAGTAGTTTCAGAGGAGAAGATTTTTGTAAAAGTTAACGACGACGGACGACGACGGACGACGACGACGACGACGGACGACGGACGCCAAGTGATGAGAAAAGCTCACTTGGCCCTTTGGGCCAGGTGAGTTAAAAAGGAGTATATAACAGCAATAGAATGTCATAAACAGTGCAGAATAAGTCTGTACACATTTCAGGCGAAATTTATACTGTTGAGATAAGTGTCAAGACATATTTAAGACTGTCAAGAATGTGTCGAGACATATTCAGACATTATTTAGAATGTCAAGAATGTGTCAAGACATATTTAAGACTGTCAAGAATGTGTCGAGACATATTCAGACATTATTTAGAATGTCAAGAATGTGTCAAGACATATTCAGACATTATTAAGAATGTCAAGAATATGTCAAGACAGATCGAGACAAATTTAAGACAGTCAAGAATTGGTCGAGACTAATCCAGACTCTTATCAGATGATACAGGAAGTGTCGAGAAATTTTAAGACAATGTTCATACTGTCAAGACACTTGTCAAGAAAAATCAAGAACCTTATTAGACAAATTCATACTATGTCAAGAAATTTTAGAAATTATTCAGACAAATTAAGAATGTCGCGTAAAAATTCATGCAAATTCAGACAAAAACTGGTCTTTTCAGACTTTTTGACTTTTGTAGTGCAGTGAACAACAAATTTATTAATTTTGTTTAAAAAAAATCCGTACTCCTAACAACAAAATAATTATATTTAAATTTACCTGTGTACGTTGTTTTTATTAGCGCCATTTTGTCCCAGGTTAGAGTTGGCTTATTGACATTCTTATTCATCTTTTTTTATTAATACCTGTAACGTCTATGTTATATAGGCACCTACGTTTTAATATTGTATTTATATTGTGTCACAGATCAAACTTATTCGTTTAGTGAATATTTACTTATTTTTGTTTTAATGTCTTTATGATCGAATCACGCCATTTCAATAGTTATTTTATATTGTTTCTTTTTATGGTGTAATGTTACACTACTGTATCAGGTTAGGGTGAAGGTTGTCACCTGTTAAAACGTTTAAATCTGCTGCATTTAATTCACCTGATCTAAGTCAGGAGCCTGTTGTTCAGTGGTTGTCGTTTGTTGGTGTGGTTGATAGTTGATTCTCGTTTCTCATTTTTTATAAAGAGTAGACCGTTGGATTTCCAGTTTGAATTGTTTTACACTAATCATTTTGGGGCCCAATTATAGCTTACTGTTCGGTGTGAGCCAAGGCTCCATGTTGACGGCTGTACTTTAACCTATAATTGTTACCTTTTGTGACTTGGATGGAGAGTTGCCTCATTGGTACTCATACCACATCTTCTTATTTATATTTAGTACAGACATTAAGTTAGTATTTATGTACTTTAATCCTTCTACGTTAGATTTACTGATGGTTGTTATAACATTATAGAATGTGTTCCATCTTGTACGTTTGTATGAACCAATCTGTGTACTTACCATTAAACCTTCTACGTTAGATTTACTGATGGTTTCTATAATGATATAGAATTGTGTTCCATCTGGTAGTTTGCATGAACCGCTCTGTGTACTTACCATCAAACCTTCTACATATTTACTGATGGTTTTTATAATGATATAGAATTGTGTTCCATCTGGTATGTTTGTATGAACCAATCTGTGTACTTACTGTTAAGCCTTCTACGTTAGATTTACTGATGGTTTTAATAATGATATAGAATTGTGTTCCATCTGGTATGTTTGTATAAACCACTCTATGGTGGGCATGTTGTTTTGTTGATTCAAATGCCATGATATCTGGTGCAGCACTTCCTGAGGTTGATGAAAATCCTAGTTCATAATCATATACTTTGGCTGGAATGTCTACAGGTTCCCAAGATAGTTCCATCTAAAAATAATCATTGACATTTTATTTCAGCTCTCTTTTATCAGACGTCTGGCTGCTCCTAGACACGAAGGATATACAGAAAAAGAAGATTTACATTTGCATATTTCTTATTAAATTCTGAAAGTGAATTTTTTCATGCATATCTCCGATTCCTTGTCAAGGTTTGGTAATACTGTCGGTCCTTTTTGCTTTTATCAGCTTTTCAACATTGGTATTAGGTTTTGGATTTTTTAATATGTTAACCTTGAGCATCTGGTGCAGGAAAATTTATGCTTTCTGAATAGTTTGATACAATTATTTTTAAAAATGACCAACTAATGTGTATATTGAATTTCAATGGTCTATAAATGCAAATAAGTACCGTAAAGGCACCTGTTCATTGTTGAAGGCTGCATGTATTTTGGTTGTTTTTGACGTTGAGTGAATGTCTCATTGAGGTATACCCCACCACTCTCCTTTAATTCATAAGAAATGTGTTCATTGATTTTGTACAGTTTACCTCGGCATACAAAATCTATTAGAATTGAAAATTAATAAATTAATTTTCTGATTGCAATATGGCAAGTTAGTCCCTTTATAAATCAAGTACTTTTCAACTGATTTTTTATAGTTATTTCTAATGTTGTACCTTTTCATTACTATTCCGGGTAATAGGGAGAGCTAATGGCTCACCAGGATGTTAACATCAGAACATTCTATTTGTCCCAAATCAGTCTGTTGTTTTATTTTTGAAAATATTTCTTTTTTTTATTGGGCATTTTAGCTTACTTTACGTACGGGTTTGACCTTTGATGAAAGTGTTATTGTGACCTGCAGTTTTTATGGTCTTTCAGTATCTGATAGATAGGTGTCTCATGCGCAATCATACCACATATCTCTTTTCTTTTATTAAAGTAAAGTAGTCCTTAAAGAAAATATATCTCCCGCATTTTTTATTTTCTTTGACTTACCAAAGAAGATTTATACAATGTTAATCCTATGTTACTTGGTGCACCCGAAGAGTTACCACAGAAAACATTACCATCCACTTCTACCAGACTACCATTGTCAAACTTTTCCTGCGGGTATAGATCTATGTCGTTCAGTGATGTTGCTTTACTCCTTCAAAAAATAATAATAGACTGACGCTAACTTTTTTATATCAATCGAGACAAAATTTTGTGAGGTTTTTTGTTCACAATGTTTTAACCATAGCGAAAAGAGACAGGGGTACAAGGACTACATAAGAATACTATAACATACTAGAAAACAACAGTCAATCAGAAGAACAACAGTTGTATTGCCGTTCTTCATTTTTAAAGCATTTGAAGGGGGCATCTTCAACTTGCAGTAAGGTGAGAGTCTTTTTTTGCTCCGTGTTGAAGGCCTCACTGTGACTTTGATATGAAGAACAGCAATAAAAGCGCTGTTTCTTTGCTTTTTGTGTATTTTTTTTTTTCTGTCCATGTACTGATTTTGTGTCATGGATGGATACCTTTTATCCTTTGTTTTTCTATTATATGCACTAAACCCCTAACAGGAGGGATTGCGCTTGATTTTCATATGATGAAGACATAATCTTTCAATCAGTTTAATTGAGGTCTGGAGCTGGCATGTCAGAAACTAGTAGTAGTCCTTTGTAAATTTATGTTGATTGTTATCATTTTGCTAAGTTTCTTCTGTTACATATTCTAACATCGGACTCGGACTTCTTTTGAACTGAATTTTACTGTGCGTTTTGCTGTGTGTTTGTTTATTCCACATTGGCTAGAGGTACATAGGGGTTTTTCTCGCTGTGTTGAAGTCCCATTGGTGGCATTGGGCTTTTTTCTGCTCTTGGTCGGGTTGTCTCTTTGACGCATTCCCCGTTTCAATTCTCAATTTTACATATGAATTTTGCAAGTTTTGCATTATAATTGTAACTTTTATGCAGCAGCATTTGTATGTAATTTGGTAGTTCCTATATACACAAATTTCTAATGTAATGATCATATGAACATCTGAAAACTGGTATTGTTATACATCATACATGCTAGTGAAGATCTTTGTTAATCTGATTTAAGTATCAGGCAATCAACAGTCTGATTCTCGTTAGAGTTTTATTTAAGCAAAATTAGAGGCTCTAAAGAGCCTGTGCGCTCGCCTGCATCTTCAACAATGGCCATTGTTTAGTAAAAATAATCATTAAAGGGGGATAACTCTATAATTGATAATTCAGTCATGTTTGACATAGTTGTAAATCTTATCCTGATGACATTTCTTTCTTTTTAAAGTTTTTGTTTATCTATTCTAGTTTTCAAGATATAAGGCAAAAAAACACAAAAACAATGGTAAAAATTATCATTAAAGGCAATAACTCCAACAACGAGTCGACTGAAGATTTCAGCCATATGGCTTATTGAAGATCTTGTTTGCTAATTATTTGTGCTATTTAAAATTTTTATCTATCTATTACAATTTCAGGACAATACGCAAAAACTTCAAAAATGTGAAAAAAATCCTTGACTAACAATTTGGTAATGCTGACTTTGTTGTCTGCTCAATGGTCGGGGTTGTTGTCTCTTTGACACATTCCCCATTTCCATTCTCAATTTTATTATAATTTGTAGATCTTGTTTTGCCGATCATTTTTGCTATACGAAGTTTCTGTCTATATATTATTTTTTTCACGATAATAGGCAATTTTTTTTTTTAGAAAGGTAAAATTTGTCATTTAAGGGCAATAACTCATATAAGAAGTCGTCTGACAGTTTTGACATAAATGAACAATAGGTAGAACTTAAAATTCTAACATTTTTGACACTGTTAGATTTTCTCTGTTTATAGCAGTTTTCAAAATAATAGGCAAAACTTGCATTTTACCCCCTTTGTTCCATTTTTAGCCATTTCTGGCATCTTGGTTGGCAGGCGGTGGGCATCTTTGTTGGCAGGCGGTGTCATCGGACATATTTTTAAATAAAATACCCCAAAGATGATTGTGGCCAAGTTTGGTCTAATTTAGGCTAGTAGTTTCAGAGGAGAAGATTTTTGTAAAAAAAAAAACAGACGACGACGACGGACGTCGACGATGATGACTGCCAAAGACGGACGCCAAGTGATGAGAAAAGATCCCTTGGCCCTTTGTGCCAGGTGCGGTAACAAGAAAAGGATTAGGCAACCAGCAGTGAGATTGTGTACTTGTCTTGCTTGTGGCATTCTGTATAAGTCTTACTGATGCACAATCAGCAGTCTATTTATGTACAACCAGCAGAGGAGTCTGATACAAAATAGCCTACAACCAGCATTGAGATAATTTACAAATCTTACACACAAACAAGTAGAAGTGGAATCAGATACAAGTCTAAATTTCTTACACATAACCAGAAGTGGGATAGGGTACAAGTCTTCAATCATTCAACTAGCATTCGGATAAAATACAAGTCTTACTAACATACATGTAAATCATGCAGTGGGATCAGGTACAAGTCTTACATGCATATTAACAGCAGTGGGATCAGGTACAAATCTTACTTGGCATAACCAGTATTTCGATCAGGCAGAAATCTTAACTTACATTCAATCAGCATTAGGATCCGGTATAAGTCTTAATTACATACATCCAGCAGCAGGATTATGTACAAGTCTCACTTACACAAAACCAGCATTACGATTTTATACCACTCTTACAACTCAACGTCAACCAAGAGTTGCAAGTGGTGAAGTTTAAACCATCCCTTCGTAAATTTTACGGACACCATTATGAGTTGGTTGACTGTTATGGAATATCCGTTTCACAGATGATATCCTACCGAATTAGACGTATTACCGGTTTGTACTAACATGAGCAACACGACGGGTGCCACTTGTGGAGCAGGATCTGCTTACCCTTCCGGAGCACCTGTGATCACCCCCAGTTTTTGGTGGGGTTCGTGTTGCTTAGTCTTTAGTTTTCTATGTTGTGTTTTGTGTACTGTTGCTTGTCTGTTTTTCCCCTTTTTAGCCATGGCGTTGTTTATTTTTCGACTTATGAGTTTGAATGTCCCTTTGGTATCCTTTGCCTCTCTTTTACAGACGCACAACCAGCAGTGGAATTATGTATAAGTCTTACTTACACACAAGTAGCAGAGGGATTATGTGCAAGTCTTAGTTACGTACATCCAGAGATTGGATCATGTTTTAGTTTTACATATGCACAACCAGCAGTGGGATTTTGTTTTAATCAGTATTACTTTCTACTAACCAGCAGTGGAATTAATTTTTAGTCTTACTTGCACTCAACCAGCAATGCGATTATGCTTTAGTCTTAATTGCACAAAACGGCAGTGGGATTATATTTAAGTGCTACTTGTACACAACGAGCAGTGGAATTAGGTACAAGTCTTATATACTAAAACCAGCAGTTGGATTGCGTATAATTCTGACTTACACACAACTAGCAGATTGATCAGGTAAAAATTCTTACTTATACGCAACCAACAGTGGCATTACCTACAAATATTACTTACACACAATCAGCAGTGGGATTAGGTTTAAATCTTACCCACTAAAAAAAAACAGCTGTGTAATAGGTTATCATTGTTACTTTAATACACACAACTACAAGTGGGATTAAGTTTTAGTATTACTTACATACAACCAGCAGTGGGATTAGATATTAGTCTCCTCGTACGATCAGACCCTAAAATGTAATAGTTAGTACTTGTGGAATCTTTAATAAGTCCTCCGGTTATTTGAGAATTTTTAACTACTATTTCCTGAACTCCTGGGATTGAACTGTCTACAGTAACTCCATCTGAACAAACTGGATCTGAGGGATCCAGAGCTCTGTTATATGCTACCACAGTGAAATAAAAAGTCCCATCACCACTTGTAGTATGGCTGCCAAAGGTGTTGTAGGTCTCTACTAGCTGAAATATTAGTATAACTGGTTGTAGCCCTAAATTGTTGTCTGCTTGAAAAATTACTAATAATAAAGTGTTTTGTCGAAAGCTTAGAATTTCTTCAAACTGGTGATGTCGTATACGATTATGAAGTTTGCATTGTTTTCATCATTACACATTTACCATAATAACCCTAAATATTAAGATCTGCTTACCAATGCGGATAACCTGAGATCACTCCCGGTTTTTGATAGGGTTCATGTGGCACAATCGTTAGTTTTCGATGTTGTGTTTTGTATACTGTTGTTTGTCTGTTGGTCTTTTTCGTTTTTTGCAATGGCGTTGTTGGCTTATTTTCGATTTAAGAGTTTGGATGTCCCTTTGATATCTTTCCCCTCTTTTTTTATGGTCTAGAATCATCTATAAGAAGTTCTTTATTTATTACTCAATGCAGATTATAGACCTGCTGAAGCTAAATAGGGCTTTCATGGTTACCTATTTGTAAAACACTTGAACATTAATCTCCTTCCAGGTAAATCAATAATAGATCAGTTATATTTAAAGAAGGAAACTAAGACATACAATTCAACAGATATCAATGATGAATAATATACGACCCATGGACATTTAAATTTGGTTACATTTACTAAGATAAGATAAAATAAGATATATTATTTCTTATTGACCAATCGTGGTGCCCAAAATTTGAGCTATGAATTATTACATAATAAAGCACAGTAAATGATGAGAATTATTAGAGTGATTAAAGGACATTTAAACAAAAACTTAGTGATTCTTGAATTATTTTCCAGAAGTACCAATACTAAATGGTTATCTTTCTTTGTTAAGGACAAAATACATATCATAACTGAATTGTGTCCTTCTGTTTAAAAGCAGAAACACATGTCCTAAAACATAAGGAGGTGTGATATGATTGCCAATGCGACAAAAAAACCATTAGGGTCCAAATAGAGCCGATTTTGCTAAATATAGGTCACTGTAAGGCTTTCAATAATGATTCTAATCCAAAAAAGTGAAAAAGTTCAAACAAACAAACCAACAGCCTAGTTTATGAAACAATAAACAAAAACACAATTACGGCAGCCAGAATAAAAAACCACTAGCATAGCCTTTTCAAATTATGTATGAGCCTGTACCACGTCAGAAGTCTTTAACCCTGTCACATTCCTAATGTAACTGTTCCAAGCCAGGATCCTGTTACCCCGCCACATTCTGTATGAACCTGTCCCAAGACAGAATCCTCTAACCTACTACTTTCTGAATGAGCCTGTCTTAAGTCAGGAGCCTGTAGCCTCGCCACATTTTTTATGTGTCTGTCCCTATTTATTATCCTGTAACTGAGTAGTTCCCGCTGGTTGCTCTCTGTCATATCTGTCATAATTAACCATTGTTTTTGTTAACTGATTTTTCACAAATCAAATTGTAAGTTTTCTCATTTGAAATGTTTCATTTTGTCATGTTGGAGCCTCATACAGCTGACTCTAAATATGGGTTTTTCTTATTGTTGAAGACTCTTTTTTTACCTATAGTTGCTTCCATCCATGTCATATGGACTGTATTTGAAAAATCTCCCACTAGTAGTCATACCATATATTTTATGATTTTATTTCTTTTATATCATTTCAATTATGGAAATACAAAGAAACCAAAAGACATATAAAGATCAAACTAGAGTTGAGGAGCAGCAATTTTCCATTGTATCTTTTGGTTACCTTGTGTGTAGTTTGGTCGCTGTCACAATAATAATATCAATAAGAAACACAGTATGGAAAATGAAACTGCGAGCTACTGCTCACGCACGATACCCCCGCCGCAACTGGATAATTTTAATAGTGTAAAAATATGTAAGTGTTCGGTAAACAGGAAGTTGTTGATTGATGATTCTGAAAACGCATCACACGGTATAGCTGACTTATGTAAACCCTGAAACAAAATTTCAGAAATCCTTATGATGTAGTTCCTGAGAAAGATGCGACGAAAAATATTCATGGGACGGATGGACGGACGGACGGACGGACGGACGGACAGACAGAGGTAAAACAGTATACCCCCACTTTTTTAAAGCGGGGGTATAATAATCAAAACTGTAAATAAGGTCAACTGTTGGATTAGAGAAAGCTGACTTTATAATGAAGGTGACATTTAAATTGAGGTTCGAATGTATTTGTTTACTACATAGTAACACAATCTTCACGATAAACTTTTGAATCCACAAGCCTGAAGCTCAATTTTACGAACATTTTAGTTGGATTCTGTTGGCTTGTAGAGAAGAATTATACAAACCTGGGCTGGTGGTCTTGCGGTTAAGCGTGAAGACTGGTAACAAGAACAGGGGACCTGAAACGACAGTGTGTGGCCTATTTGTGGTGACCACACTATCAAATTGACTGTACACATTTGTATATAATCTACTTACATTTGGGTTTGTTCTATCCAGAGTAAAATCATTCTTGCCAGCACAGCTAGTGCCAACTATATATTGGTAGAAAAACACCCCACTTTCTCTATCAAAAAACTCTTCCCAGTATGCATTAAGGTTTGTTCCTTGTTGATAGTCTATCTCTGTGTTACCTTTGATACCATCATGCACCATTCCTGAATGAGGTGGGCTTATATCAATTGTTATCTGTAAATAATCAAATAGCATAAAAGGATCATTCCTGCATGTTCATTAAGGTCAAGTTCTCCAAGAGAGATAATCTACATAAACTGTGGATGAAAATTAAAATAAAAGAAATAGTGGCCTCAGATATCAAGGTCATCTACAATTGTAAAAGTTAACCTTAGATCAATAAAGTACACGAACTTTTTAACCTAATAACTTGTTAAAGTAATTATAGTGATTTCATAGAACTTAGTTAAGGAATTTGTTCTCCAACACATGATTTCTTAAAACATTTTTACATATGAAAAACACACATGTATGAGGTAACAAAACGAGAAGATAATACACAGACCTGAACATTTGCCGCATGGTAAAGCTTACCAATATGAAACTTGACATCAAATATCAAGAAACTCTGTTATTCTGTTTTGCTTACATAATGGGACAAATGTGTTATGATCAAACTCTCAAGATAATGGAAGAATGGACAGGTAGAGATAAACTAGTACATTGTATCAGCCCACTCCATTGAAACATGTGTATTATAGTTGAATGGAAATCCTTTAAAAATAACGAATTGACCGAAGAAAAGTAAATAAGCCGGTTGTGAAAGTATGAAAATAAGACATTTTTGCAATTTTATTATCATTTGCCAAGAACAAAAACAGGTAAAATGCCTTAGATGACAAAGATAGATTATCCTTAATCAAACTGACCTTTTTCTTTAATACAGTTGTAATTTTAGCAATATTTGTGACAGAAACTTCGATGTAATAATCATATTCATGCATTCCTGAATCTTTATTCTGCAGCAGTCCTCCGCTTTGCTTAACTTCTGGTTTTATTTGGAAATGGCGATGATAACATCCTTGAAAGGGTGTACAGTAACAATTAGCTCCTCTGGCATAGGAATCATATTTACTGTTACAAGATGATAAGTTCTGAAAGGGAAAGTCAACAATAAAGCACTGTTTCTCTTTTTACTTCACACTTCGATAAATGCTTAGCACTTTTTAAATAACCATTTCATTTTTCTTATATGACGGTACTCTTTCACTTTGGAAACACACATGGGCTGCACGTGATTAACGTCACAATTGAAATTGCAACTTCAGTTATATTTTGAACTACGCCGAAGATCAAAATGGACATTGGTGTTGGTGTTGCTTACTTGTAAATTAAACAAAATCATTCTAAAAGTAAGTTTGCATGCATCTGTTTTTTCTTATCGTGAATATGTTGATTTTCCATAAAATTTTGGATTCATCAAATCAAAATGGTTGCCTTTCGAACGTGTATTTTAGGTCCGCTTCGAAGTACAAAATTTCAAAATTTTCCTATTAGAATCGAAATAATTCACTCATGCCATGCTTTATACTCATTCTAACATGGGTATGCATTATATTTGTCAACACTTTACACCTCGCTAACGCTCGGTAATAAGATATTGACAAATGTTACATTTATAATACCTATCCATGTTAACATGAGCATAGTGTATAGCATGAAAGAATTATTTCTTAATAAAAAAACCATGAAATGTAAAGGTCAGATGAACCCTGTCAGACAGATATTTACATTTTTACTCAAATACAGTTGACCTATTGTTCCCAGTATGTAAGGCACCAATCTTACCACAAACTTTGTCCTGAACATGCATGAAATATTTGCCACTGGACGTTAAGCAACTAACCATTAATCAATCATTTTTTTATCACAAGACTAATATCAAGCACTGGACCATGAGAATGAAGTCAAAATCAGATGGATAAAACGCCTTATAATCTTTCTATACACACTAAATTATGTTTTTTGTCACTATTTGAGAAATGGACCTTTGATAATTAAAGATTTAAAATTGATGTTTTGTCCTTGAAGTGGTTGTCGTTTGTTGCTATTTATCATATTTAATTTTCCTTTTATTGCTTTGTAGAGTTTGTTCTTGTGTTGATTTATTCGGCACTGTCCCATGTTAGGGGAGGGTTGTGTACCCGCTAACTTGTTTAACTCCGCCACATTGTGTAAAAGTCAGAACTCTGTTCCAACTCAATAGCCTGTAATTCAGAGGTAGTCATTTGTTACTGTTTATCATATTGAATTTTAGATTGCTGTTATGTACATAAATCAGGCTGTAGGTTTTCTCATTTGAATGTTATACATTACTTCAAGTCGGGGTCGTTGGTAGCTTGTCATGCAGTAAGGGTTTTGCTCGTTGCTGAAGGCCGTACGGCGACCACTACTTGCTAACATCTTCGGCATTTCGTCCCTTGTGGAAAGTTGTCTCATTGACAATCATACAACATCTCTTTATTTTATGCTTTTGAAATCTCGACATTGAACACTCAACCCTGAAATGACTTCTTTCCAATGTAACCGTTCTAATGTACATGTATACATTGCGACTAAATCATCATTGTTTCCTTATGTACCAACAATGAGATCAATATATGAATGCGTACGGAAAAAAATCTAGATTCAAACCAGGTGCTTGACAGGGTAAGCATCTTCTGCATGCATCACCATATGAAACAGCTTACCTAACCTATATACCAAGGATCTGTAGTTTTGTGTGTGTGACAAAACAAAATATGGTGTAGATTTACAGAAGAAAATCTGCAGTATACCTTTACTTCTTTTGAGAAAGGATAGGTTTATATCTGTCCTGTTTTACTGATGAAAATAAATCCATAAAAGCGGACACACCAAATTAATTTAAGATTTATTTCATTCAAAATATTAACATCATTGTGCCCATGATGTACTAAGTTTCAAGTTAAAAGTGATCACAATGTCATGATGAACTGCCTACAACCTCTAACATGATATGGGACAGACGAACATACTAATAGACAAACGTATAGAACTGCAAACATGATCCCCCTACTATATATTATAGTAAGGGCCGTCAGGAAGAAGTTTGTTTCTTTTAAATTCTTACAATAGCGTGTTCATTGTAGTATGAAACAATAATAATAAATGGTAATTTCATTCATACCCATTGAAACATATTTCATTTATACAACATTTCAATAAAATTGAGAATGGAAACGATGAATGTGTCAAAGAGACAACAACCCGACCAAACATATACCAATGTTCTGAAGGTACCTTGAGAAATAATAGCAATGACATTTATCTTTATGTCATTTATAGATATAAGAAGATGTGGTACGAGTGCCAATGAGACAACTCTCCATCCAAGTCACAATATGTAAATATACCATTATAGGTCAAAGTACGGCCTCAACACGGGACCTTAGCTCACACAGAACAGCAAGTTATAAAGGGCCTCAAAAATGATTAGTGTAAAACCATTTAAACAGGAAAACCAACGGTCTAATCTATATAAAAAACGAGAAACAAGAATCACCTATGAACCACATCAACAAACGAAAACCACTGATCACTACTCTATAAATCGCACAAAAACAAATCAAATCTATTTCATGGGAATGAAATTGAAAAACACAAGATAAGGGCAACCATTTGATTTTCTGGGGGATGGAGGATTTCGGAAATGAATAGCATAGCCTGGTGAGAACTGAAACAAACATTCTTGCCGGAAAGAAGATGAAAAGGAATATTCTGTCCTCCTCCCCTTAAGAAAATCAATAGTTGTCCTTTAATTTTTTTCAAAATGTATGACTTTCTCAATTTTACCTGATTTAAACGCAACAACATAATGATTTAGATATCTTACAGCCAGGTGTTCAGGAACCCTAATTCTTCTTCTGACTGCAACAACTAAAATGAAACTTACAGCAGCTGATCCTTGAGCGATGATATCTTCAAATCCATGTAAATCCTCAGTCTTATGGTCATACAACTTCCAATATACCGAGTCCATGCCACTGTGGATGTCATAAGCTTCCCATTCTATCCTGAGGGATATAGATAAACTAATAATTTCAGCTCAATGATGATGTTGAATAAGGCTTTAATAGATTTAATCTAATTATTAACAAAAAGAAAGAATTATACTTTGCGGAAAAATAGCCCTACCACTTTGTCATGTGAAATGAAAAAGATAATTAATCTACTATTTATGGAAATCATAAGTTTCCAACTGACCTGTTGTAAAAAAAAAAGATCTGCTCTCTAACGTCTTTGTGCAAATTAAAGATCTCACACTTTGTCATCTGAAATTGTTTGTTTTTAAAAGATTAAATATCTCACATACTGCGTCTGCTTATACTCTTTTTTAACATTACATACATTTCATTTAAAATTTCCGAAGTTGAATTATCAATCTGAATTTCAATTAAATTCAATTAAATTCTTTCATACTTTAAGCAAATAATTTAAACATGCTTTATCTAGTCAAGAGCTATAGATTGATTGATGGATTGCTAGTGTTAAACGCTACTTTCATGACACTTGGCTTTATCACTGTGGCCAGAAACTATAGGCATAACGACTTACGTCATTTGGGTAAAATCTTCCAAGCTATGTACACTGATGTTCAGTCTGTCACCTTTTGTCAACCATAGATTTTCTATTAGAGGGGGTGTGGCATCTTTGTAGATGACAATAGTATCTTCGTTAAATTCACGAAGAACATCAAAAGCTTGAACTGTTGAGGTCAGACGATCTCCATCAGCCCAATTTAATGTTAGGATGTCATACTGGTTCTTTAATTGAGATATTGATGTTAGAGCACGTGAATCTTTAAGAGTATTTGGATCACTATGAACATCATATAACACTTGAAAATCTACAATAGCTGTAAAAAGAATAGTAATGATTTAAAGAATATGACATTGCATTCAATAATCATGTTACAAAACCCAACACTACAAAACTAATTTTGATCTGAAACTGTTATTTTTGTCTGAACCGCCCTTAAAAGATTGAACAATATATTTTTTAGTCATTTTTCAGAATTATCCATTGCAGTAAATTCAGTACTGTCCGGACCATTCGTTTGCAGTCAATTAAGATCTGTTCAATATATGTTTCCACAGTTCAATAATTGTTATTTACCTGTACCTTCAACATTGTACTGAATTTTTTGAAAAGTTACTGAAACGTACTGATTTGACTGAAATCGAAAGGTCTGAATAGTACTGAGTTTACCGTAATAGATAAGTCTGAAAGGCTTAACATAACTTAATAGTTTATTGTTCAGACTTTTCAGACGATAATAAGCTAAAAAAAAAAGTAAAATAAGAAAAATACCATTTAAGACTAAAATTCATTTACTAGTGAAAAAGACCAATTACATTTCAAATTATGTCAATACTTAAATACGTTTATCCTAATTTTTTTCATATTAAATTATGTCAATACTTAAATATATTCATCCCAATTTGTTTCACATAAAGACCAATAAAAATTGTAAAGATGTTTTATTGGCTGCTTCAAATACTACAGGTTATTGCATTATTCGTACTCCCAAATGAGAACAACGTCTCGTGATTGGTTGAATTTCTATGGTTTAAGATTTTGCAGCCAATAACAACGTTTTGGTGTAGACATGATTTTGAACTGACAAATTCAAAAAGACTTATCCAAATTCTTACCATGTCAACCTCAAAACTTAAAAGCAGCAAGCTTTTTTTTATTTGTGTTAAACTAAATTTGTCAACAGGAGAGAAAAATTAAAGATATTAAAAAATTCTTTATTTTTTCGATTTCACATTAATTGATTAGTACTATAACAGTTTCCCCATCTCCCGCTAAATTTTCAATTGATTATATCTCAAAAACAAAGACACGGACCTTCGATGTTTCTGCTTTTTGAGTTCCGTTATTTATATTCTATCAATTTATAAGAGTCTTTTAAAACGCTTGTTATTTTGAAAAAGAAGAGCGAACACCCTTAATCAAACTTTAGTTTAGTTTTTACATCATGTTCAATAAGTTAATTCCATTTGGTGTAAGTAATACAGTAGAAGAGACTAAGGGACAACCATTTGATTTTCTGGAGGGGAGGGCTAGGACTATTTTGAAAATGAACATCATGGTCAGAACTGGAAATAAATGATCCTGCCCACGACAAGCTGAAAATGAATATTCAACAACACTAAATGCAGGATAAAATTGTATACAAAAGTGACAATAAATAAGTATGTATATCACCAGATGAAAATAATCAATTATCAACACGCAAAAAAGCATCCTACCCCCAAAATATCAAATGGCCGACCCACTAGTGTGTGCTGTAACAATCAGAGGATATTGTATTAACAATAAAAAATCTTTTTTTTTCATTGATCGAAAGAGAAACATACTGTCTCAAATACATTATGTAGTCAAATATGCTACCAATTAGTTACTAAAGAATTGAAATATGTAGATAGAGAAATTGATAAAAAAAAATGAAAGCAACACGTTATTAATTGCATACGTCCGCAGCGCTTTTCTGGATTTACCTTCATCAGGAACGCTCAAAGCCGAATATTTGAAAGCCAAGGAAGTATAAGAACCGAAATAATTGAAGAGCTGAATGACCAAAAAGGACTTACAAAAAAGCAAAATTCATTTAAGGTCAACTTTGCCTGAGAGAGTTGACACACAAGTTTCTTTATAATTTAAAAAATTGTAAACGGACAATTTTAAAAAGGGTTGTTATAAATCATGGCAGTACCAAAGTACTGACTACTGAGCAGATGATACCCTCGGAGTCGATAGTCCGCCAGCAGAGGTATCGACCAAGTGCTGTAAAAAATGAAAACAACACGTTATAAATTTCATGCGTCCGAAGATCCTTTGAATTGTTTCAAATTTTGACAGTAAGTTTTGCTCATTGTTGACGGCAGCATATTGTGACCTATAGATGCTAGCATCTATGTCATTTGGACTCTGGTTGATTGTTGTCACATTGACAATTAAAATCATACTACTTCTCCTTATTTTTATATAACAGACAACAGTAAACCAGCCAAACTAAATTTTTCCATAACTAAGTTTAACTTGCCATGAACATTAGAAATAGGTTCATTGGTTCTATCGCCATACAAATCTTCATAAATAACTTTTTGTGGATTATATGTTTGTACTCTATTCAACCATCTGTTATGTTTGTGTCTGGTATTTATAAATCTATCTTTGAACTGGACTTTGACCTTGGCAGTATCCTCTACAACCCATATATATGATGTATCTGCTGAGGCAGTGGGACAGTAAGTTGGATTTCCCTGTTTGTCTACAACGGACTCGTCATCAAACAAGAACAAATTTCGACCTGTCATATAATTTCCAGCTTTGTCTACTGCAGTCATATGAATAGAATACATCCCTGGCTCTGTCATAGTAATGGTTGCCTAGAAAAAAAAAGAAAATTTTTAAATAGTTCAAGTTAAAAAACATAACCTTGATTAGTTGTATATATATATATAATATATAATAAGCAAGTCTAAAAGGGTACAGCATCACAAAAAAAAGTAAAATCATGAACAAATGTTAAATATTTCGGATAACTACTATCCTTCATCAATAAGATGTCAAATGATTCTTATCTTGACATGTGGTAGTCAAACTGAAATAATGATCTTGATCGTTATACAAATTATCATGAATCAATACGCTGGTAAATGTTTTCAATATTGATGTTTGGGAGGAGGAATAAATTCCTTAAAACTGTAAGAGTCCTGAACTGAAGCCTGAGTTACAGGAAACAAGTGATGGTAGGGACTCATTCTATGTTTTTTCATTAATGCCCTCTGGAGAAACTGTCCTTAAATTTCTTATCCAAAAACTTTCCCGAGGAAGTCTGTTAGCCCTTGACCAACTCTCGTTGTGGTCTATGATAGTGATGGTAAGGTTTTTGAGATCAGCTATATATAAGTGGTCCGATAGTTTCGTACCAATTAGTATTGTAAAAATTATTGACACTGACGAAGGCTATTTGTTAAGCCGAAATATTTGTCAACACGATTTTCTAACATCATCTTCGTATATTACCATCTTATATAAGTACTGTTGCGCAAATCTTTAGATATATTTGTGTATGTGTCTGTGTGTGTGTGTACACACAGACAAAATTACCGTTTGCATAATGATTATTAGTGAATTACAACAGACTCTGTGGGGAAAGGATAGGCGAAAGATACTAAAGGGATATCCAATCTCATAAGTCGAAAACAAACTGACGAAAAACAACAAAAGGACAAACAACTGTACACAAAACAAAACATAGAAAACTCAAGACTGAGCAACACTAACCCCATAAAAAACTGGGGTTGATCGCAGGTGCTCCGTGACGCTAAGCAGATCCTGCTTCACATGTAGCTACCGTCGTGTTGCTCATGTATGTACAAACAAAGTGATAAGTCTAATTCGGTAGGTAACATTCGAGGAAAAGAGGATAGGATTGTGGTTACGACAATTGGAACATTTCTGTCGTCATCTGTAAAACAGATATACCATAACGGCCAACTAACTCGCGTCTGTGAAATTTTCGAATGGGTGATTTCAACTTTACTACCTTGAACTTTTAACTTACTGGTAAGTAGCAACCCTCTAGCAAAGAAATCATGATAGGAAATGCAAGCTCTGGAATATCTTATTAACATGGAGATTAATATTCCATGCACAGGCGCTGATGGAATATTGCCATACATAGAAATGGAAAGTTCATAATTGAAAAGCTGAAATCATCTCTTTTGTCGTAAACATTTGTTCTCAACCGAATTTCATTGTGGATTTCTAGATGTAAGTCAAGATATAAAGCAGACTTAAATGTATCTGACACTGTATCCTTCATATAAAGTTCGATGGGATAGATGCGTTCGACATAGTCATCAATTTTGAATTTTTATTGAGAGGACATCATCTATGTAGCGGAACGTGAAGTTCATAGATAATGCTAGATTCTTTTTATTCTTCCTAGGAAGCTCTTGTATGAATTCAGTCTCATATAAATAAAGGAACCATATATCAGACTTAACGTTTTTATATAGATTAGACCGTTGGTTTTCCCGTTTGAATGGTTTTACACTAGTAATTTTTTGGGGCCCTTTATAGCTTACTGTTCGGTGTGAGCCAAGGCTCCGTGTTGAAGACCGTACTGTGACCTATAATGGTTTACTTTGATAAATTTTGACTTGGATGGAGAGTTGTCTCATTGGCACTCATACCACATCTTCTTATATCTATTTACAAAAACTTTTAATCACTTGAAAAGTGTTTACTAAATATTACAAATATAGTAATTGACATACTGACCACAGACAATATTTAAAGGTCAGCTTCAGATTGTCCAAGTATTTCTGAAACAATTTCCTAGTACATCAATGCAAAATATGCGGTAAACCAATTTTCCCTTTACAAATTCTTCTCCTTTTACAAAGGATTTTAAATTGACGTTACGTTCATGTGGATAAAGATACCAAAATTATAAGAGTGACTTACAGATGATTCTGCTACTGAAACGTTTGCATTAGTTTGTTTTTTGTCATTGCCATCAACCAACTCCAAACCGTCTTGAAGTTCAAACAGATCATATTCATAATGATCTAGTCCAGATAAGGCGTCTGACCATCCGTCCCATGTAAATGTTATGCTTGGCTGAAATACATATACAGATTGACAAATTATCCAAATTTACAGAATTTTTGCGATGGTTTTATTATTGAAAAACTTGCAACAGGGTAGGTTTTGCAAAAATAGAAACGTGCAGTATTTAAAATTTTAAATATAATAGGCAAAAACTTGTGAATAAGTCAAAACACTTAGTTAATTAAAGAACAACAATGCCAAGAGTAATCCAATGTTATTGATTATTTGACATTTTTTGTAGATTCTTTTTATTACAACATGATAATATTTATTCATAAAATCTTGCTTGTTACAAATCTCACCAAGAGTCCAAGCTTCTCTTGATTTACCCTGATCCACTCCACTGATTATCCAGGAAAGTGTCCTATACGAAGACTAGTTATTGCTAAAAAATTTTGAAAAATTTGGAGGGAGACGATTTTTGTAGATCCTTAATTGTTGACCATGTTTGCTGTTTACAGTTTCTCTCTATTTATTATAGTTTTCGAAATAATAGGCAGAAACAATTTAAAGTTGGCCAAACATCCTCATGTAAGGGCAATAACTCCTATAAGGAATCATCCTATGTTTTTCGTCATTTTGGCATTTTGCTGATCTTTTATTGGTGAACATTGTTGTTGTTTAGAGTTTCTGCATATTTATCATAAGTTTCAAGATGAAAACAGAAATTCGAAAACTAGTCAAAAAAACTCATTTAAGGGCAATAACTCCTATAAGGAGCCATGCAATGTTTTCCGTTATATAAACATGTTTGTAGATCTAGATCTTGTATTGCTGATCATTTTTGCTGTTTACAGTTTCTACCTTTCTATTGAATTTTTCTAATTAATAGGCAAAAACTCAAAAAGAAGTCAAAATCTTCATTTTCTTTGATTCAAAATGGCAATTACTCCTATAAGGAGTTATCTGAATTTTTTTGAAACGGAGAGTAGGAAGATCTTGACATTTTGAGCATTTTTGTACTGTCAGATTGACTCTATTTATAATGATTTTTTTTCAAATATTCGACAATCAATGCAAGTTATTCTTATATTATATTCTTAGCCATGACAGCCATGTTTGTTAACTGAAGGGATTTAAAACACAATTTCTTTACAATGCCTAATGATCATTCATCTTAGTTTGAAAATGGTTTAGTTGTTTCAGAGAAGATCTTTTAAAAGAATGTTTACGATGGAGGACTAAGACGACGACGACATGCAAAATGATGGCAATACCTCACATGGTCATTACATACAACATAAATATTGGTAAAAATGGCAAAAATGTGGCTGAACAATTTTTCTCTATATCTATACTGTAAAACGTAGAGTTGTTTTCACAAGGTTTATAATCTGACCGATTGATTTCACGGTCAATGAAATCACTTCATTACCTGTTATTTAGCTTGTTGGTAAATTTTTTGACTTGATTGATACCTTTAAATTAATTGACTGAAAAGTTACGTAATTGTTTTTTTTTTGTTTTTTTTGTACATGTTATACGCTGCATAATCTTATTTTAACAATTTAGTGTTGAAAATTCTTTGAACTCAAACAGATCATACATTGATATATTTTTAAGCAACTATACAAGATCTATACAACAGCTTACATTATTGGTAATATCTGTACCAACATCTACAAATGATGAACAAGATGTTCCTGAAGTCACTGAACAATGAAAAGGATCAACTAAATCCCAGTGATACTCAAATTCTCTTGTAGCTGTCTGACCATTATAATAATAAGTATTGATGACACCGTCATGATAACTCTGTTCTCGATTAGCAACTTTAACATACCCTCCATTAGTAGATGAGAATTCAGCTATCACCCTGTAATGTTACGTGTTGTATAATAAAAGAAATTACTTTATTTGTAATTTGTCGTTAAGGTCATACATACGTACAAAAAAACTAAATATTGATCAATATGAATAATAAAATTAAGATGAATATCAGTTGAAAACTGTCAGATGGACATGTACAGCTAACAATAATTCTTTGGACCAAATATAGTTGTTCTATTCTCATACTCACTTTAAAAAGATCACCCGATTTAATAAATGTAATGATCAATGGACCAAGAATATGGGGTCAAATATTTATCTAATTTCAACTATAGATGCCATGAAAATAAAGTTAAGGACAGACGAACCTATCAGATGTAATACAATGGGTTGGGACAGATCATTCATTGAAAGGGTCTTATAAAGTCCTTTTATCGGTGAAATACGCAAAAATGAAAATATGTTTTTTTGTGCTCTGGATACTTTCTATTATCATAAAAAAAATTCTGTCCAAGTTTCATAAAATTCTGAGAAGGTTTGTCAAAATTATTGATGAATTCAAAAACTTTAACCACAGACTGAACCTAAAATTGACACTGCCCACGCCGATGCTACCGACAACGACGACGGAATGGTGTATCGCTATGACTCGCTTCAGCGACAAAATGTCGCAGGCCAAACGAAAATAAACCAGACAAAGTACAAGATGACTGCCTACATTTTTGAGTTTTTCTTACTATTCATGGGTTACCAATTTTCGTGGATGTCGTGACAAATGGCTCAAAAGATAACTTCCAAAAACAAATTTATGCAACAGTATCAGTGTATCAATAGCTGATGTAACATTGTCATTTGACCTCAAAATCAAAAGGGTGTTTGTCAAAAACAAATTTTATATTAGAAGTTGGACGTATGGTTTCAAAAACAACATTAAAATTGAAAAGGTTCACCGATTACAGATTATTAATAGCTGTTGTGACTTCGACTTTTGAATCATTAGCTCTCAAAACCAATAGAAGTCTTTCCCATCCAATAGGTCATTATCAAACCAATACAAAAAAGGAGATATGGTATGATTGCCAATTTGACAACTATCCACCAAAGTTCAAATGAAGTGAATGTAAGCAATTAAAGGCAACAATACGGCCTTCAACAATGAGAAAAACTCATACCATATAGTCAGCTATAAAAGGCCCCGACATGAAAAATCTGAAACAATTCAATTGAGAAAAAAAAACTAACGGCCTAAATTATAACAATATATATACATGGTAGACATGAACAAACGACAACCACTGAACCACTCCTGATTTTGGACAGGCACATAAAGAATGCGGCGGGGTTCAACATGTTTGTGAACGCTCAACTCTCCCCCTAACACAGGATAGTGGTGTTACAGCACAACAGAAGAACTATAAACATCAGTTGAAAAGGGCTCATCTTTGGTTTGATCTGGATATAAGGTTCCCTAGATAACATCTGGGAACAAACATTTTGCCAAAAGTTCAGTATTTCAACAGCTGCTGTCTTTGACCCATTAGCCCTCAAAGCCAATAGAAGTCTTTCCCACTCAATGAGTCATTAACAAACCAAGTTTGGTTCATGATACACACTTTGTCCCAAGATAACATCTTGAAACAAACATTTTGGCAAATGTTCAGTCTTTCAATAGATGCTGTGACCTTTATTTTTGACCTATCAACCTCAAATCATAAACATCTTTCTCAACTCATGAGCATTATCCAACTAAGTTCGTTAAAACTTGGATAGTTTTTTTTTCTGGAAATCAAAAGAATAATTTTCGATAAGACCCCAATATGCCCTTATTTCTAGATTTAATCTTAAATTTGGATTTATCGGTGACTATCTCAATGAATCATAGCTAAAGCAATTAATATCAATAAAAATCGGTCACTTTGATAACAATTTACTTATTTGCGATCTTTCAATGGCGTCACAAAGATTGTTTTTAAATGCAATTAAATCAAAACCAGTCAATTTCTCATGTTTTAAGGATCAGAAATATGTAATGCATGCGTCGAGTAAAATAAGTATTTAAACATTTTGTTTGTTATAACATATTTCCTATCGGACTCAGTGGCGGATCCAGAACTTTTCATAAAGGGGGGGGGGGGGCGCTGACTGACCTAAGGGGGGCCCCGCTCCAGTCATGCTTCAGTGATTCCCTATATAATCAACCAAATTTTTCCCACGAAAGGGGGGGCCCTGGCCCCCAAGGCCTCCCCCCTAGATCCGCCTATGGGACTACAATGTCTGGTTTGTAAAAGTCTGCGCTTTATGTTTCCAATGCCTTTATGTGGGTACAATTCTGACAATTTTGTCACCTTTTACAAAAATCTCTAAGTTTTGCCTATTCGGAATATCAATGTCAACGTTTTAAAGAAAATCTCGACAAAATTGTTCTTTTTCTCTTTCCTACATTTATATCCATCAACTTGAAACACTTCTTACTTCGAAACAATGGACTTTAAATTTTGGGGCAAAAAAGGCCCTTTCCAAAACGTATTCCTTTTGCCCATATTTTAGTAAATTTATAGCTGCTTTGATTCCACAATCAGTAAAGTGCTTCCTCTTCTAATTAGAAAGCCAAGTTTGGTTAAGATAATCTTCATTTCTAAATAGAGTATAATACCAAGAAATTAAAATGTTGATAGCAAGGTACCTGGACAGCATTTATGATATTATATGGATTAATTATCGCTTGCTTAACCTCCAGCGGCAATTCGTCCATGCATATTCCGGACGTCATCATATTATTAGGAGAGTCGCAAATAGGCTACAAAATGGAAAATTAGTCATTATAGGTCATTCGGATATTTAGATAAGAGATACAAACTTGTCATCATGTTCAAATCCAGTCCAAGAATTCAGGCTGGACTCACAAAGTTTATCATCAACTGGTTGGCTTTTATCCATTCCTGGACAGGTTGAGGCTTTTACAGATTTCAAAGTAGAACCTGTAAATATTTAAATGTATATACTAATATATCATATGGAAAACATTATTATATTTCCAACAAACCTTAAAAGAGACCGTTAAGTATTGATTAAATGGGTCACCATTTTCTGTATTTAAGCTTTTTCAGTTTTCAAATTTTGATATGGTAACTTTGATATTTACTGTTTGCATCTTTGATCGAATACATCTTTTAATTATTTTCTATATACATTGTTTTCTGCTGTAATTACCCCAGAAAATTTGATAAATTCTAATAGGCATACTTTTAATTTACAAACCTTTATAATAAGAAAGAGTGACTTTTTCCTCAATAACACCAACTCTAAAACCTCGGACATAATGTTTTGCTGGATCTCTATTGTCAGCTGGTTGTAAATACTTGGCATGTATCTCTAATGTAATCTTTGTATAGGCCACAAAGTTTGTCCAGATTATTGGGTGGTTATCCAGTTTCCAGTTTGGATCATTTCTTAAAACATTAAATCCACTAGTGTCCGAAAATTCACAAAAATTATATAATATGTCTGGTGAATCATTAACTGAAATACAAATTGAAAACAAATTGCAAATTGTTGATTTTTGATATTCTACCATATCGACCTTGTCATCATCACCTGAATCACATATAAGCTTGTGGTGCAGGATGAGGGCTCATGAAGGTCGAAGTTCCCCAATAGTTCCCATATTAGCTTGTGGTGTAAGATGATAGCTCATTTGGTTCAAAGTTTCCAAACAGTTCCAAACTTAGGTCCTTGAATATTATAATATCAATGTCAGTTTTTCTTTTAGTTTTATTGTTCTTGACTTTGTTAGTTGAACTTTTTCCGCTGTCATTATACTTGACTTTGTCAAAACGAGCATCTTCCGTGTTTGACATTGTTATTAGAAACGGTTATGAAATCATTGCGAGCAGGGCAAAATATCTAGATATTTGCCTTCGACAGAAATATGGATAGATCATGTCTGTGGTTATCACATACGCAAAACATATATGCACTAATAAATATATTTATTTATAATAATTTGCAAACATATTTTGGCACACGTAGCATTCTTATTAAGATGATATAGTTGACTATTGCACAAATCCGATCATGAATAAGATAGATGCCGTATTCAGCAGTGGCTCCGGAACGGAGTGGTGATTTGGATAGCCATGATCTTCAGACGTAGACCAAGGACTATACACATTGAAGGATGAGATAACGGGATTTCATATTCAATTTAATAGATATCATATTAGAAAAAGAGTAGCATAATAAAGATTGATTTTGACCAATTTTTTTTCAATTGCTGATCATTACGAATAATCAAGTTTCTAGATGGCAAATAGTGCACACTTAGTAAAAGATGCCCATCCAGTAGATGCAGATGATCCAACTATATTTGGCGTTCATTCAATTGCCAATTTTTACTTCCCCATTTCCATCTAGTTGTCTCACACTTTGTTTGCTACCCTTGAAAAACAAAGAATACTGTTTTCTGTTTCTTTTTTAACAAAGCAACGATCTTGTGTATAAAGCCTTTTTGCGCCTTTTCCAAGTCGGGAACCTCTAGCCTTTGTTAGTCTTGTATGGTTTTTTTTTATTTTGGTTCATTTATATATTTCAGAGTTTAGTGTGACGTCCATTTTCGCTAAACTAGTATACATTATTGTTCAGAGGCCAACTGAAACCCGCCTCCGGGTGCGGGATTTTCTCGCTGTGTGGAAGACCCATTGGTGGCCTTGGGCTGTTTTCTGCTCTTTTGTCGAGTTGTTGTCTCTTTGACGCATTCCCCGTTTCCGTTCTCAATTTTATTTAATAAAAAATAATCTTAAATGTTAGTGTCGTCGCAAATAATTTTCAATTTTTACCGAATACAATCCCTTGTTTTATTAAAAACTGCAATGTACGTACGCAGTTAATGAAACCAGGTCTAAGTCCAGTTACATCTACTGAAATGTTATATGGATATGTTTTCAAGCAATTAACACGATAACAGAATCGTCTTGAATAGAGTTGGACACGTTTGGGCGTTTTAAATACTGGACATTTTTTGATAGTAAAACGACACGTTTCAGCGTTCAAAACTATCTCGACTTGTTTGAGCACAAAATGATGTCAACTAGACATGATTGGGTGAATTAGACACGTTTGTGAGTAATACCTGTATACCTTACACTAACTTTTATTCATACTTCAATATCTTCAAATTTGTCTGTCTGAGAAGTAGAACATGTGAATAATCAATTCACTTAATAATCATCATTATAAGACAAAATTAGATAAAAAATGATTATAACAAAAATACTAAACTCAAAGGCGAATTCAAAGAGGACAAGTTTATAAAAACTGACAAAATCAAACAATATCAATAAACGGAACAACTGAAAAACAACTGCCATATTCCTGACTTGGTACAGACATTATCCAAAAAAATGGCGAGTTAAACCTGGTTTTATAGCTATCTTAACCTCCCACTATTGCATAAATCCTATCATGAATAAGATAAATTAGTCCAGGTTCTTATTAGTGCAATGAGATCAAAAATGTAAAATAAAAGAAGAATATGTATGAGGACACGAATGACCCCGCTCAAGCTTTGCAACGGAAATGGGACGGACAGACAGACGGACGGAAAGACTGACAGTCAAGCGTAACACTTAATGACCTCGTCGCATATGGCGGGGGAATAAAAAACAGGGATGTGTAACTACCACTCATAAGAACAAAATGTCGACATGTAAAAAATCCTTGGAACCTTTTCGTGTAATTTTCACTCATAGCATTGTTTTATCACGAGAATGCAGATTCACAGACAGGTGAAGCCTTTTGCTACCCCTCTCCTCAAAATACGCTTGATGATAATAATAAAAATTAACTGCTTTATTCATGACTTTGTACTGGCTTTCTAAGAAAGGGGAAGAATATACCAAGTTTTTAGTTTTCTTGTTTTCTTGTTTTACATTTGTCATTTCGAAACCTTTTATAGCTTACTATGCGATATGGGTTTTGCTCATTGTTGAAGGCCGTATGGTGACCTATAGTTGTTAAGTTAAATGTCATTTCGTCTCGTGTGGAGAATTGTCTCATTGGCAATCATATATATAGTCCGTTTGACTTCTATATATTTGCAGAAAAAAATTCTTAAAAATATCATATGTAAGTACTATGACTATTAATTTCATAATTTTTTATCTTTACTTTAAAAAGTTGCCCATTAGGTCTCTACGCTAATTTTATTTTTTGAGTTAATAAATACTGAAGGACGCCTCCGGGTGCTGGAATTTCTCGCTGCATTGAAGACCTGTTGGTGACCTTCTGCTGTTGTCTGTTCTATGGTCGGGTTGTTGTCTCTTTGACACATTCCCCATTTTCATTCTCAATTTTATTAATATAGATATGATACAATGAAACAGACCTTTAAAGCAACTGTATTTTTTTTTTTTTATTGGAAAGCTGTTAGACTTTTTATACTTATTCTATCAAGTATTTACTACAATAAAAAATAAATTACCATAGAGACCTAAGGGGTAACTTTTTTAATTATTGACCTCAAATTATGAAATTAATAGTCAGAGTTCGTATATATCATATATTAACATACATCAAGAAAAAAATATTGATCTGAAAAATTGGATTTTTAAGAATTTTTCTGCAAAATATATAGAAATCAAACGGACTCTTGTACTTTTTTTAAATACAACTTCAACGTGTTGTTTTAAATCATTCATTCAATTATATTTCAGAAAATGAAAAAGAGTAGTAGTGTATATTTTTCGAGTTTCTGTTGAACATTAGCAAGCCAAATGTTTATTCAAAATATTATAAAAATCTGTGTTACGATACTCATGATTATGACCAATTTACTGTTATTTGACTAATTAGGTCTTTCCACTTTTCTGTGGAAAGACCTATTGGTTTTCTTCTGATTATTAGGTCTTTCCACTTTTCTGAGGAAAGACCTATTGGTTTTCTTCTGATTATTATTTTTTTTTCGGCCGCCAAATGGTCCGAGTACACAGTTATTTCGTAGTGCATTTCTTTTAGACAATAAATGGAAATAAAAAAAATCCCACCTGCGCTTTCTCAATAATATTTTTACAGTGTGTTGTACTACTTTTGGGACAAATTATATCAAAATTATAGAAAACTTTATCGGCTCTAACTCAAAATATGGATAATTTTATGTTAAGGGGGTCTTGAAATCTTTTGATAGCTTCCGAAATGCTAATTTTTAACCTTTTCCAGCTGGACCAAATCACTACTTTATTTTAAAATTCATGAATCAAATTTTTTTACAGTGTAATTTTATCCCCCTACTTGCTATTTGAGGCATAAAACATGAAGAAATAAATTTGGAAGGGGTATCAAAAAAATTGGCAAGTAACACACTGTCCACACTAGGGACTATATTCGTGGACAACGAAAATCAAAGGACGATAACTGTGTACTCGGACCAAATTTTGTTCTTGCGATAAATTTTTGTTTTGCAAGATGTCGCTTAGATGTTTCGTATATGATATCGAACAGTTTATGCGCCTTTGAAATTGACCCTGCTTAACCAAATACTTTTCTTTGTAGGAGTTATCTCCCCGAACACTGTTTTCTTGGGTGTGCATCTCCTCCGTAACCGTAAAAGAAAGCGACAAATTCATTTTACCAAATTGCTCGTTATATCCTCAGGATGTTTTGTCCAATTTTGACAGAAGCGATACGTAAACTCCATATGAGAGTTATTTCCCCTTCTGTATTTGACATAAGGGATATATAAATGTATAGCATGAATGGTAAGTGATAGAGACCTAAGGTATATTGATTTGAGTTCCTTGGTTCATTTAAATGAAATTGAGACCAAGGTCAAAGGTCAAGGTCATATTCTTAATTTTGACTTTTCCTTGTTATTTGATCTCCTCTGTCACTTTTAAAATTACAAATTAAAGAACTAGTGCAAAATGTTTGCTTAATTGTGATTAAGATATGATACATTTGGTCTGAAACAATCCAATGATATCTTAAAGGAGTTATTGTCCCTGAAATGATTTAATTTAAGGTTAATTGATTATTACTCCAACTTGGTACATGATAAAGCCATAGGGTCTTTTGCAAACTGTTGGTTGACATATGACCTTGAAAAAAGTAAAAACCGGAAGTGACCTTGAGGGAACCGAAAGTAGTATTTTTTGCACTTATTTCATGGAAAAGTACCTAGAAACCATATATTTTTTGAATGATCATATGTTAACCTATCATTTGAGACCGGAAGTGACATTTTATATACCGGAAGTAGCATATTATCTTCCTTATTACAGGCATAAGTATATACAAACTATAAATTTTTGGAACCAGTGTGAATAAAGCTATCATATGAGACCGGAAGTGACATTTTCTAAACCGGAAGTTGGCAATTATCTCCCTTATTTCAGGCAAAAGTTTATAGAAACCATTTATTTATTGAATCAGTATGAAGAAATCTACACTTTGACGCTATTCATAACTTTGAGTAAACCAGAAGTAGCTTCCTATCAATTATTTAGGAAATTGATGTGGAAAGACCTTCAATTGTTCTTTGAACAATTGGTTTTTAATTTTAATAGGTTTTATTGCATCCTTCCATTGAAATGAAAATACAAAAATCATTAGATGTATGTTTGCTTAAAATAATAAGCTCGTTTGTTTAAATAAGATTAAACGTACGCCAATGCTCCAATCCACAATACGGAATAATTTGCATGGCTGAAATAGTTACTGTGTTCACAAATACAACATGTCATTTGGCTGAAATTTGTGTAGATAAAATGGTTACTCACAGTTTAAACAAATATAACTTCTCCGACCCCCCCCCCCTTTTCCCCTCACAAAAAAGGAAAACTACACAATTGAAATGAATACTTACTGTTTTCACAATGGGTTCCTCCAAAGTTGGTTGCACATATACAATTACTAGCTAATTCATTAGTACATTCACCTGGGTAACATCGAGTACTATCTGCCCTCCATGAACATGCCTCTGTTAAGTTAAAAAAATATAATTATTTTAACATTGATACATCTAGCCAAGTTATAACTTTAATTAAATAATCAGTTTGTAGAAGTCTAAAGATGTGTCGCCAAACTAAGGAGATGTTATTTTCCCACCTGATTTATCCTATTATTCTTTTATCCAATTTTGTTTTTTAAAAAGCCCAATAAATATATGATGGAAGGTCGGTCCATTAAACAAACATATATTTAAAGATGGGTTGCTTACATTTAAAATTTATCTTATCGAAACACGCAGCATTGAAATTGTAATTATAAGCTTAAATTTATTGGCACATGTACATAATTTTCCCTTTGAGACAATAATGAATACAAATCCACACTCTCAATCAATAATTTACGGGTATGTTCAATTTAGTTTTCAAGCCAAATTAGGTGGATATATAATTTAAGTCGACTACTATCTGGTTTTGTGAATTTTTACGAGTTTGTTTACTTTTTTATTATTGTGATTTATGAAGGTCATAGTAGAAAAATGTAACTTGTCTAGAAAAGAAATAAAGCGTTATGGGCTATCTTGATCTGTAAATAAAGTGTGAGCTTTTGTACTATGTCATTATGGTCACAATTAAGGGACAAAACTCTACAATATCCCAGGTGTAAGGGACACAATGTCATAATGGTCACAATGGTCACGATATTCCCGGGCTTGTGTTTCCTATCATGATTTCCTTGATAGAGGATTGCTGCTCACAAGGAAGCTATTAAACCAAGAGTTCCAAATGGTGAAGTTGAAGTCATCCCTTCGTAAATTTTACGGACGCCATCACGAGTTGGTTGACCGTTATGGAATAACCGTTTCACAGATGATATCGGATATGTTCCTTATGTCGTAACTACAATACCCTTCCCTTTTCACGAATGTGACTTACCGAATTAGACTATTTACCGGATTTGTAATAACATAAGCAACACGACGGGTGCCACATGTGGAGCAGGATCTGCTTACCCTTCCGGAGCACCTGAGATCACCCCCAGTTTTTGGTGGGGTTCGTGTTGCTTAGTCTTTAGTTTTCTATGTTGTGTCATCTGTACTATTATTTGTCTGTTTGTCTTTTTATTTTTGGCCATGACGTTGTCAGTTTGTTTTCGATCTATGAGTTTGACTGTCCCTCTGGTATCTTTCGTCCCTCTTTTAAGGGACATAACTTTACAATATCCCAAGTGTAAAAAAAAACAACAAGTTTTAAATTTCCAGCGTCCGAAGCGCTTTTCTAGATTTACCTGAACATGTATAACAAAAATTACGGGATCTATATTCTTTTACTACAAATTAAGCAGGTAATTTCAATTAAATTGGTCTTACTCAACTATTTTTTTTGTTATTTGAGTACGCATATTTGAGACAATTCTGCATAAACGTTTATTTGCAATTTTATTCATGTTGATTTCAAAAGCGTCTGTACAATATCACATGTGAAATGATCACAATGTCATAATGGTCACAAGTAAGGGACATAATTCTACAATATCCTATGTGTAATGGACACAATGTCATCATGGTCAGAAGTCAGGGACATAACTGTACAATATCCCATGTGTAAGGGCCACGATGTCGAAATGGTATTAAGTAAGGGACATAACTCAACATATATCCATATGTCGAGCCTACATTTCTACTTACTCTGACATTGTGATCTATCTAGATGTTGAGTATAAGCTCTATAATAAGGTTCTGGTGTAAGCTCTCCTTCACACCATTCACATAATTGAGAAGAACCAGTGGTGCAAACTCTGTGGTTGCAATGGTCTATCTTCCCACATACTAAAACGAAAATTCAATTATATTAGGTTTTTTTATATTATTTTATAAAATAATTGTGAAATTTTCCAAATATCCAATAAAATAGTAAAAATGCTGTATTCAAATATCAAGCTGTGTATCCTGTTGATATTGATGATCTACATGTATTTGTGATTTATATAGTAAAAATCTGGTTTTAAAATCTTGACACATCTGACACAAATTATAATATGTAAAAAAGACATGATAGATGATGACATATAATATGCTGAGAGTTTACCTAATGTAAAGATATGCAAACAGATAATTTTTCTAAATGGAATATTAATCACTTAGGATAATAGTTTTTTCTTCATTATATAAAACATGTGTGAGTCTTCAAAGGAAGCAATGTGTCCCCTGCCATCACCAAATAATAACTGTGAATTAAAAAAAAATTGCCATATCTTTATCGTTACTAAAGAAAAAAGTGACCAGATAGGGTTCGTAACAATAGAAACTTTATATTTTGATATCATTATTTGTGTGCAGCTTTCCCTGAAGGGCCAATAATTGATTCCACATTCTCGTTCATTGTTGAACAATCGCATTAATACATGCACGCAAAATTTTGTGAATTTACAGTAAGCAAAAATAGGAATGACCATGTTTTGGTATGGGTAACCTAAAACATCACTCAGATTTAATATAAAAGAGCAGGTTCCTAATCTATGTCCTGTAGGAAAATCTGTACAAGTTTGGTTGAATTGTGTCACGCCTCCTTTAAGGAGAACATGCAGATGAATAATGTGTGAAAGGGACACCAACGGAAACTATCCCTCTGGGTCCTTGCAGCAAAGACAAGATATAATGTTTTAATAAATTTTATTCAACTGAATGTTACACTTGATAGTCATGGTTTGTTACAATAAATTGGCGTAAATCGGGTTTTTTTACGATTAGCGAAAATTGGAGACATGCAAATATTCCATATTAACGGGAATACAATTTGCCTTGCTAAAGCTTTATTAATCTTATTTTTTTTTAAATATTCTATAACATGACCATCTTTAATTTTCAACTACTTGTAACAAATACATATTAGATTCCATTAATGTAACTAATTATGCCAATATCTATATTTCTTCAAACAATTCAAATAGAGATTATTCATTTGGCTTTTACAATATCACACATATATCAACCCAAGACACACATTTAATCCCAAGAGCTAGAAGAGCTTGAGCTATTATATTGATTGAGAGCTGACGCGGTGTGTGATATTAATATCAACTTTATCATATACCTGAAATAGATGTTTATTCACATGACATAATACAGATCACGGTTTTGATAAAGCCTTTTTAACCATGACTGACATCCACGTCATCGCGGATGGCTGATACGGAACAATTTTCATTGATTGTATTACACATAAAAAATACTTGAATTCACTACTAAGTTTTAGCCCAAACTTACAACTTCTTGTCCAATTCAAATCGCTTGAATTTGCCTTCTCAGTTTCTTAGAACATACTCACCCATTCTCGTCCAATGGAAAATCAGTATTTTGCCTTCTACTTTTCATAGTAAATGACTTTCCATGCACTATAAAATGCTAAACATGAATGACTTTTCATTGCAGATATTAATTATGAAAGTGAACTCTTTAGAAACTGCACTAGCGAAGTGTACAATCCCCTGAGGCAATTTCCAAAGGAAAAGAGCAAACAAAAATCATGAGTACTTTTGTATGCCAGTCTAATTATTATAAATGAAAACAGGTGAATAGACCTATAAAAGCATTTAATGTTGATATTTCACTATCATATTTATGAACATAAAATAATGGTACATATATAGAACAATCAAAAAAGAGAATTGAAAAGGGGGCAAAGTTGTAGGTAAAATAATATTTAATCTAATTTGTATACGAAACCTTAAAATCAATGGGATTTTAAGTAACGACGAGTGTTAATTTAAAAAGCAAAGGATGTGTTTGAAAAAAAAACCAAATAAATTCATCAATAAAAAAAGTAAGCAACTGATGTTGAAACGATCGTACTTTTTTAAATTAATTGATAAAGTTTTGTCATTATAAAAAAGTATACAATTTTAGAAAAGCTGATTATTATAACACTGTGTGTTTTTAAGAATGAAGGAATTTTAGATAAATAAGTTTTAAATTGTACCTGAAGCAAAAGAAATCTCCATTTTTTAATAATTTATCCTTTTTGTTATCACAAAACTATCTCATTGCTATTTCATTCCATCTGTTGAAATGACAATTATGATTCAAATCCCTTTTTTTACTAACCATGTTAACACTTAAAAAGAGCTCATATTAAGGTTTGACGATTACAATAGGAAAGGATAATTTTGTAATATCATTGTCAGGCAATACTTGGTCATGTTTTATGAACATTTAAAACCTCGGGCTTTAAATATTCATAAAACATGCACAAGTGTTATCTAACCTATACATAGTTCATAGTTTTCCCGTGTATTAAGTAACTGTTATGCATGAATGATCACAAGGGTAGGAATTTATTATATCGTAATCAAGGTTCACAGGGAAATTTCACTCACATCAATTTCACGTGAATTTAAATTCATGTGAATTTCACCTCAAACGAGCTTATACGTAAAACTCACTTGAAATCAGTTCATGTTAGTTTCACGTGAATCTCATGCTACTTTAAAAATCTAAGGGTAGGCATTGAAAGGCATACAAAAAAATAGGTTAGGTAAAACTTCATTCAAAATCTTGTCTTTAAAAGATTTTATTGGTAATTTGTTTTCTGCATTCATTTCAATCGTTCATCATCAATTTCTTCATCTGTTGTCCGGGTGAAACGTTTCACATTTTTCCTAAATGCTGTGTTGTTTTTATAAAGGGACGTAACACAACTACTAACCGTGTATTAAATAAATCCTTGTCTTAAATATACAGGGTCTCCGCGCGTTCGCTTTTACCAATGATATTCCTAGAAATGTATAGGAGGTAAGACAAACTATGATATTAAGTGCTCGTAGCATAGCCCTCGCTGTAAATTTCATAGTATATACCTTTCCATATTCTAACCGTTATATACATTTAATAAATATACTCACTGCGACAGTATGGGCCATCACTATAATAACCAGTTTGACAGTTTGTACAAGTATCTGGTGATGTACATGATCCACCACTAGACCGAATTATACCTGCCCTAGTTTTCTGGTAATCATTTGAATAATATATGCTACATGCACCCATTAGGTTTGTCTTTGCATCACATATTGCTGTAAATACACGAAAATCCTAAAAGTACTTGAATTCAGACATTTAATGCTATAAATCAAAACACTGAAAAAAAGTGTGAAAACATAGTTTTTTACATTAGATCGGAAATAGACAATTAAGAATAAGGGGTAAAATAAGAGGTCACAAGTTGATTCTTGAAAAATATTCAGGAATAATAGATACATTTTAGAGAAATTATACATGCATGTATATTCAAAATGTTCAATTCACTAGTTATATTCGAGACAAAATATCAACATAATCTGAATAATGCAAAACATTTTCATCTATTATATTAACAACAACCAATTAGTATACGTCCAATTACATTCAGATAAAGAATATTGTCATTTCAGTAATAACCAAATTCAAATGAATACTAAACAACATTTCACAAAACAATATTACGACTAAATTTGATCATAAGTATACTGAATTGTTCAATACTTACGATCAATTGTAGTCGTAAGATGTTTTGTGAAAAGCAGGCAAGGAGTCCAAACTGTGTGCGACAGATCTCTTTGGTAACGAACCGATGTTGAGTGTCACAACAAAGTTGTTTCTTCTACAATGTTCTACAAAATTGATTCCTATGTGACAATAAATACACCTTCTGTCATGACTTGAAGATACATTATTTGTTGAAGTATTTATCTCTATCACATGTTTTAATAATAAAAAGATGAGGCCTTGAATTCTGAATCTTAAAAATTATTTAATCATATGTAATTTGTGAAATTCTTACTCTAGCCTAAAAATGTCTGCCTCAAGGCAATGTCAATGAAAGTATCCTAGTATATGTTTTTAAAAATCATTTAGGATGGTCTTAGGACGTGTCTAAGACATCTCTTATGATGTAAAACAAATCTATCGTAAGACATTCCTAACTACGATTGTCCTAGGACTAAACAACTAAACTAAACTGTCAATAAACTTTGTTAGAGGCTAATATCGTGCTGCAATTTAAGCTAAATGAACTAATTTTGTCCTTAGGTTCGCTCGATTTCATTACATGTATTGAATCAGCCTTAATTAGAAAAGAAGTCCACAATGTTTTTCTGATATCGAAATTCAAATGTTTTCCACATATTAATTATTGTTGTACCATTTGGTCAGGTGCAAAAAATATTGTTGATATTGATAAACTTTTAAACTTAAAAAAAGGGCAGCAAGAATTATTTCAAATGAGCGTAATAAATTGACATCGTCAAACATACTTTTTGGAGAGCTGCGATGAGTGCCCATTTCAGAACATTTTGTATATAGAAAAGTAATTTTAGTTCTTAAGGAACTTCAATAAACGCCTCTGGAATACTTAAATGTATCTAGATATGTGCATAAGGTTAGTTCTAGAACAACCAGTGAAAGTACTTGTTATATGCTTTCTGTTCCAAAAACTGAAACTTAAATACTATAAACGCTCGTTGATATCTGGACTATATAACAATATTCTTCTAGTTTGTCTACTTAATTAAAACAATGAAACACAATTGAACCTTTTTAAATAAGATTATATTGAAGAAAATTTTGTTTAATTCTAATAGCAGTATAATAGTCGAATAGTTGAAAATTTGTAAAAGTATTTGGTATTGTTATTATTATTGAATTCTGCTTGCCAAAGTAGATAAGAATTGGAAAATTTAATTCAGCATGCTTTGACATGTGGTTAGTATCCACACAAAGACATATTCTTCAAATACTGACTGAAGGCCATATATGCTGTTTTTATTTCGACTTAGGACATCGTAATTTTTAGGACTATCCTAAGACCATCATAAGACACGTATGTAGATATCCTAACTTTAAGACCAAAATTAGGACATATCTTATCTTAGTAGACTTTCGTTAACCTGGCTTAGGACTAGGACGTTTCTTAAGACCATCCTAAGACACGTCCTTGTCCTCAGACAGATTCGTTGACACGGCCCCTGGTTTCTTCATTGGCAGAAGAATAATTAGGTAGATGGACTAAATATAATTTGTTTAAGTACACGGAGATCCCCTGCAATCTTAAAGCTACTCTAAAAAATCGAAATCTTGTCTTTAAAAGATTTTATTGGCATTTTGTTTCCAAAGGGAGTAGGCCGAACTGCCTAAATATAAACACACACTGGCTACGGATATCGTGTCTTGTTTGTCCTGAGATTCAGTCAAGTATATCGCGTACCTCGGCAAGACCTACTAGCTGTTATCAATCCAAAGGCTGTATTTATTGCACTATCGTTTTTACTCAATTTATTGATGTGATGTATATTTTCTGGTATGCCGTAAAATGAGAAACAGTAAACTGAACGATTTCGTAAACTAGGTATTAAATATCACATGCACCGGTTTAATCTGGCTTGGATCTAACACAATACATCTTTATTTTTCTCACAATGACCCAAAAGCCATTTTAGAACCAGTGAATATATTTGATCTGTAAAAAGTAAAATAATAAAAATACCGAACTTCAAGGAAATTCAAAACGGGAAGTCCCTTGTCAAATGGCAAACTCAAAAACTCAAACACATCAAAAAAAAGTAAAATCACAAAAATACTGAACTCCGAGGAAAATTCAAAAGGAAAGTCCCTAATCAAACGGCAAAATCAAATGATAAAACACTTCAAACGAATGGACAACAACTGTCATATTCCTGACTTGGTACAGGCATTTTCAAATGTAGAAAATGGTAAACTGAACCTGGTTTTATAGCGCTAAATCTCTCACTTGTATGACAGTCGCATCAGATTCCATTATATTTACAACGATGCGTAAACAAAACAGACATAATAGGTAACATTGTCAAAATATGGGTACAGCAGTCATCACTGTGTCACAATCTCAAAACAAACAAACATTTAACAAAGAAGCACAAAAAGCATCTATCAAATTTAACAACCACATTCATTGCTTACTTATATATGTATTTTAAATCAACCCATAAAGAATTGACATATCTAAAGTCCTGTGACTGCATTCACATCTACTCTTAGTGTAGAGTCGCGTGTTTGACGCCAGAAAATGTAAACGTCACACAGGAAGGAATATAAAATAATTTTGTCGTTAAAAGTATTTTCAAATCTATAATTTCACATGGGTAATGGTGGTATACAGGGTTGAAAATCAAAAGTTTTTGTTAGAACTAATTTCTAAAAAAGAGCGAGATTTAAAATTATCTAGAAGTTCTTTAGAATTTTTAAGAATCCACATATGGTTAATACTAATACGCGAGTAAAATAATTTTGTCGTTCAAAGTATTTTCAAAATTATAATAGAACAATAATATAATGAATGGAAAACAACTGTCATATTCCTGACTTGGTTCAGGCATTTCCTTATGCAGAAAATGGTGGATTAAACCTGGTTTTATAGCTAGCTAAACCTCTCACTTGTATGACAGCCGCATAAAATTCCATTTATTGACAACAATGTGGTATATGTGACATTAAGTTACAAAATTTAGTGATGCGTAAATAGGAAAATTGGATAGAAAAAAAAAATCTATTTTCAATTTGAAATAGGGCCGATATTTCGCTGAAATCATAAGTGAAAACGAAACAGCTTAATGCACAATCATTTTCTGTTTCACTACGCCCGCAAACAAAGTCTGTAATATAACGGTTACTGGGTCATTTTAGGGGGACATTGATTTCAACTTACAATTCATTAAGATATTGTGTATGAGGAATGTTTCATCGAATTTTCAATATAAAATCATGCAAAAACTACTTAAACTCGATCCTGAAACAATAAAAGAATGAAAAAGCAATGAATAACTTGTCCACTCTATTTTAGGTAAAACAGGAATCACCCAACACAATGGAATAAACAACATACTACACCAACACAACATTCCTCTGATGATAAAAACCAAAGACTAACAACAACAAACAAAAATGGTCTTGATAGCCTGACTTTGTACTGGCACAAAATTCGTTGGGGCTAAAACGAGTTCTACAAAAAACAAACTTCTCATTTCCTTATCTGGACCATATTGTTGAACATTTTATATAGTTTTTGCACATGTTGCCATAAAATAATTAGTTTCATTTATTGAGCAGTAGTCTTTGATGAAAAATATTGTGTGATTTTAGTTTGGGTCGAAGCTGTGTGAGAGAAAATACTTTAAAACATGTTTTCGATTTATAATAAAAACGAAAAGACCTCTTTTTCTGAACCCAATCACACATTTAAGGAATTAACATGTGTAAAATAAAAATTAAAGTACTGGTAAATCATTGTAAATGAGAATAACTTTAATCAAGATCAAAGATAATATAACTTTCATAATTGGTATCAATACCTTCAAATTCCTTGACAATTCATTATATTTGACAGAAGAAATTTTTTTAGATTATCAGATAAAATGAGAACGTGATCTGCATTACTTAGGGATCACAATACTAGTATTCATTTTTTGTAGTACAATTAAAAGACAAGGTGAGCCGACCAACAACAAAACAATCAATAACCCTTTTTTGTTTTTTGATGATCAATAAATGCAATTAAAGTAGAGTCCAGTGAATTTGAACATAAGTATTGCTTGTTATTTCTTTTTAATAAAAATCATAATAGTAACTTCATATATTTTTGTGCGAATATTATATAATGAATGTTTTAGTATAAACCATTCGCATGATAGTTTTGTTTAATGCACAGATTATGTCATCTTATAATCAGGTGATCATTATTACATATGTATATACATGTAAGACCAGGACAATAAAAAAATTTAAAAAAACACCAATACTGGAAGTGTGTTTTTCCGGTTTGCCCATATTTAATTGCAGGTTTATAAAAACATAGGACGTTTTGTTGTTTTAACAAATATAGTTTATTTCTGAATTATAGTCATATTTTTACCTTTATTTTACCTGTAAAAATTTATAAAAAGATATTTTTTTCTACTATTTTCAAAATCAAGGGAAATGTGCAAAGATATCTTATAAATTTAACAGGAAAAGTATTGAATTTGACAAATATAAAAAAATACAAAATGTGTATTAGTTGACAATAATCGACTAAATTTAAATTGTTTGTACATTCTGAGAAAAAAATGTAAAAAGTGAAATAATGACAATAAAGAATAAAATAAGTGTCATTTAAAATTTCTTTTTATTTGTTCACCTTATTATTTTTTTTTTTTTTAATTTTAATAAATACTTTGTTCTGAAATTCATAATTGTATAAACCCCAATTAATTCAAATAAAGGCAACAGTAGTATACCGCTGTTAAATAGTCATAATTCGATTAAGCAAAAACAAATAATGGTAACAAACTAAAACCGAGGGTAACACATCAACTATAAGAGGAAAACAACGAACAACATAAACACTGAACTACAGCAAAAGCAAACGCCAACATACATAGAAATTGACTGTCTGATAACAACTGCCATATTCTTGACTTGGTACAGGACATTTTAAGAAAAAATGGTGGGTTGAACCTGGTTTTATGGCTAGCCAAACCTCCCGCTTATATGGCAATGTTAAAAATACCGCTAAAATGACAACACTACGTGACAGGAATACAGTACAAACAAACGCAAGAACACTCAGCACAGAAAAAATACATAAATAAATAATATAATAGTACATGTCAACATGTAAACCGCAGAATAACAACGGACACCTCCAATGAATTTACGACAGCACACCAGGACACCACAAACGAAATATAAACTGCGCGTCACATGAATGGATGAACGTCACAAAAAGTGACGTATTTTATGTGACGTTTATGTTATCACAGGTAAATTTCTAAAAATAAAGTAGATTTTTTTTATTTATAGACACGTACAAGAATATTAAACTGGGATTGAGTTTGTAATGGTGTTATTTTATGTATTTTGTAACCATGACAAGAATATCAAAATGGAATTGTGTTTGTAATGGTGTTATTATTTGTATTTTCAAACGAAGAAAATGTAAATGTAAACTGTTTAGTAGCAAAGCTTTACAAATGACACAATTTGAACAGTAATCTGCATCCAAGCTAGCATTTTCTTCTTTCAATTAATAAACATGAGTGCTAAGTTTTTAAACAATTTTTAAATTTCTTTCAAGCTGTTAATAATTTTTCACTCTTTCGTAAACTGAAAGACCCAGCACCACCAACAGCCTGGAAGGATGGAACAACAAAATTAAAAAAAGACTCCAACATGCTCATCCCAACACTAACAAGATCATTGAGTTACTCTTGAAGAAGCACTAATAGAATGTACCATTATTTAGTATGCAGCAGGAGGAGCCAGCCCACCAAGAAGACTACAATACAGAGCTATATACAACAGACTCCAACTACTGAAAGACAGATACGAACAAGGACTCATCAACGTGATATACTACTCTGCCGCAGCATCCCATCTTTTTCATTTGAACGGAATGACTTTGTGAAATATTGTAGTTTGTGACTTTGTGAATATAATGTTTTGTGACTTTGTAAATAAAATGTTTTGTGACTTTGTGAATAAAATGTTTTGTGACTTTGTAAATATGATGTTTTGTGACTTTTGAAATATATATTAAATGTTGTATTTTTCATCATTATACATCTGGGACTATTATATTAGTTTAAGTATGCATAAATTGCCCCATATTTCTTATTTTTACCATAGTGTTTTATGTATTTCCTTATGCAATGCATGTTTAAATTTGATTCATAATTTATATAGATTATGTTTGCAATAAAAGAAAACTTTATCATATATTGGTGTATTTAAATCATAATCATTTACAAACTGATGAATTATTAACACACTTTTATAAATGAATGTCATTGTTTTGTCATTAGTTGTATGTTAAATGAATCGATTGAAACATATTTAATTTATTTATTGTCTATCTATAACACAAATAAAAATGGAACTACAAAATGAAAAATACCTGAATATACAGAAAACACAGATAAACTTTATACCTATTAAGTTGGAACAGACTATATAACTGTATGCGTTAATTCATAGTAACGTCTTGTGGTATTCATCATATTAAATACGGAATAATATTTACGGACCGAATATATATATATAGTTTAAACAAACCTAATTCACATTTGTCCGAAGATTGGGTTCTTTGTGTCCAGCCATCAAGACACTTAAAATAATACTTCTCTGCAGACCTGGGAACGACAAAAAACAGAAGCAGTAAAATATATTTGCACCAATTACTGATATTCTCTATGATTAGCAGGGGCAGTTTCTGAAAAAATGCATGTCAATATTTATATTTTGGGCAGTTCTCAACCCCATAACACTGCCTGCTTAAATACCATCTATACATCATCAGTAAAGTTACCAGGTGCTCTAAAAATGAATACTGTGGATATAATAAAAGTTCCGTGATCCGTGTAAACTCATCGAACCTTTAAACAAACGTATTAGTAAAGGTGATCTTATTAATGTTGTAATAAGATCTTTGAATATTGTTTACATTGGCACTAACATCGGTTTTGTCATCAACAAATTAAAACATAACTAAATTTGTATTCTTTTTGAATGGTTTTTTGGGATGTAGAAATACACATCCCCGTTTATTTTTCTATTTAGAGATTGCCTCATCTATATATAACATGATACATATTTATTATAAGGTTAAATCCTAACTATTCTACTGCCTGTCGATACCTTTATTTTGGCACTGTATAAGTCATGGCTTCTTTGACTGTCCATAGCGTTAAAACACTAAATCCCTGGGATGTGTTTTAATTGATTTTAGTCTCTGGTGCATGATTTTTTATCATTAATTGTTTTTGGCTTTTAACTAGCTTTCAGTAACTGCGAATACTCTCAAATCGTACTTTCGTGTTAATTTGACCTGTTGACACAATTTCTAATGCATTTCTGTAATTCAATGTTTACTTTTTTGTGTTAAATCTCGTCTCACTATTTTTAATATGTACCACCTTTGATAAGTATTTAGTATGACGATAAATTTTCATTTCTGTACGCGTACTGTGGACAACAAATTTATCAATTTTGTATTAAATGTTTACTTCCGTACTCCTAACAACAAAATTATTATATTTAAATTTACCTGTGTACGTTTTTTTTTTTTATTTAACACCGTTTTGTCCCAGGTTCAAGTGGTCTTTTTGACACTGTTCCTACATCTTTTTTATCAATATTGTATTTATGTTGTGTCATAGATCAAACGTATTCGTTCAGTTTATGTTTACTTGATTCTTTTTAATCGAGTTAAGCCATTTCAATTGATATTTGATAGTGTGTCTTTTTATGTTGTAATGTTACACTACTGTCTAAGGTTAGGGTGAAGGTTTGCGCCTGTTAAAATGTTTAAACCCGCTGCATTTTAATACACCTGTTCTAAGTCAGGAGCCTGTTGATCAGTAGTTGTCGTATGTTGAACAAACAACAATTCAGTCTACTTTCCGTCCTTTTCTAAGGCTTTGAGATTACCAATCCTCTTTTGACTGATTGAAAGTCTTCAAATTTCAAGGGCGTTTACTTCCCCGTTTACCTCGGAGTAAACGTGAAAAAGTTGCGTCTTCTATCTTTGTTAGAAGTAATTATATATATAGACGCACGTTTAATTGAGTACTTTTATACCTACATGTCGACAACAATAAAAAGTGTCAATATTTCTTCTTTTATATAATATTCATGAACTGGCCTAAAAGTGGAGTACTTTTTATACTTCAGGATGTTGTTTGAAATTAAAGGGAAGGAATTTGAGTTTAGAATTGCAATTGTAAAATTTGTTGTCGGCATAAATGTAAGGTGCGAATATTTTCCATTTTGTTAGAAATTATATAAGAGCATTAAAATTCTGTTCTTTTAGTACATCGGGATGGATAGTTTTACACAAATTGGGAGCTCTGTAAGTCTACTGTAACCTTAACTTTATCTCGAAAACAATAAAAAGTGACAATATTTCATTTTTATACCCCCTACAAAAATGACAACGCCATGGCTACAAAACAAAAAAAACAACTGACGAACATCAGTATACAAAACAAAACATAGAAAAACTTAAGACTGGGCAACACGAACCCGTCCAAAAACTTGGGTTGATCTCAGGTGCTCTGGAAGGGTAAGCAGATCCTGCTCCACAATTGCTATACTTGTTGTATTCATCAATATATGTTGCCAATATTTTCCCATCTTCTAGATTATTCTCTACCGGCATATGCATTTTACTATATACCCCAGGATGTATAGTTTTACACAAATTGCAAGCTTTATAAGTCTACTGTTAATAATACTTTTGTCGACAACAATTAAAAGTGCCAATATTTCTTCTTTTTTTTATTGATATTCTTGTACTGGCCGTATAATTGATTACTTTTATTACCTAAGGATGGATTGTTTGATATAAAAGAAGAAGGAATTAAATATTCAAATTGCTATATTTGTTGTATTCATCAATATATGGGGCCAATATTTTCCATTCTTCTTGATGTATTCACTACTGGCATAAACATTTTATTCTTTTGGTATCTCAGGAAGGCTAGTTTTACACAAATTGAGAGCTTTATAAGTCTTCAGTTAATAAAACTTTTGTGGACAACTATAAAAAGTGCCAACATTCCTTCTTTTTTATAATATTCATGTACTGGTCTGATAAAATAGTTCTTTTTGTACCTCAAGATGGATTGTGTGACATTAAAGCAAAGGAAGTTAAGTTTATAATTGCAAACCTTATTGTCGGCATCAATATAAGGTGCAAATATCTTCCCTTTTGTTAAAATATAATGTTACGTATTAAAATTCTGTTCTATTGGTATCTTAGAAGGGATAGTTTTATACAAACTGAGAGCTCTTTAAGACAATAAAAAGTTCCAATATTTCTTTTTTCTATAAAAAATTGAAAACAACACGTTTAATAATTTCATGCGTCCGAAGCGCTTTTCTGGATGTACCTTCATCAGGAACGCTCAAAGCCAAACATTTGAAATCCGAGGATGTATAAGTACCGAAACCTTTGAAGAGCTATATGACAAAATACCTAAAATAAATAGCCAAATTCATCTAAAGTCAACTTAGCCTGAGGGAGTTGAAACCTTAGTTTCTTAAAAATTTTATAAATAATCTTGAACTGGTCTGATAAATGCTCTTTTTATACCTGAGGACGGATTGTTTGAAATAAAAAGTAAGGAATTATTTTGGCAGAATTTTTTTTTCAAAAAGCAATTTCTGTGGTCTATTGGGATGAACAGGTTTAATAAAATTGACATTAGCCGTCGTATATATACATAGATCGATTTTAAAATCATTTTAAATGCAATAAACTATGAACTACGGCAAATATTTTCAATTGAGGGTATTGTCTGAAAACAAATATTAAATAAACAATTTTATGTCGTCTGTTTAATTTCAAGTCTTGAAGCATTGCTTAGTTAAATCTACCGTAATGACTATTGTAGATAACATATAAATCTTTCTTATTTTCAGTATTTAATTATTTGATAATTACTGAAAATATTTGTTTAGCGTTATTATATTTATTTATCATTTGAAAGATATGAAGAAGGCATTGAAAATAAAGAAAATAAAACTGTTAAATGTTATCGAAATCGATTTACATATTTCATTAAAATTGGTTAGAACGTATTTAAAAAAAGTTATGGTTTTATATTCAAACTTTAAATTAAAAATCATTCTAACATTCTATATTTCGATAATTCAGTTTTACACAAAAAGGACAAAAGGGATGATTTTTCTTTCCCTATTGTTAATTTTTCTTTTTTGGACGGTGATGTTCCTTTGGCACCGTCTTACGGTGTTTATATATCACCTTCGCCATGCCCGTTTAGAAGGGACGTTTTGGATTTCAATGAGCGAAACTATGTATTACTGGTAAATTATCAAGTCAGGGATTTCGTTAACACAAATTACTTAAATCCTTTACTAAATTCTTCCATAGATACAAATATTTGGTTTGCAAGTTTGGTTGTTATTTTAAACGGAATAGCACATCCTTATTTTTACGGGAATGTTGTTTAGCGAGCCCGAAAGTTTAAATACGATCCAGGTAAACTTATCGATCCTTTAAATAAACTTATTCTAAAAGGTTACAAATTCAACACTGTAATTAGATCTTTGAATATTGTTTTTATTAGTACAGATATTGATTTTGTTATCAACAAATTAAAACCATACTAAATATTATTGTTATACACACATGCACAGTCACAGTACTACAATCTGTCGATAACTATATTTTGGCATTGCACAAGGTCATAGTTATTGAATGTTGGATGTGTTCTAATTGATACATTAGTCTTAGATACATGATTTTTTTATTAGTTGTTATTTGCTTTGAACTAGTTGGTAGTAACTGCGGGTACTCTCAGATCTTTACCTAATATAAAAATAAGAAGATGTGGTATGATTGCCAATGAGACATCTCTCCACAAGAAACCAAATGACACAGAAAATAACAACTATAGGTCATCGCACGGCCTTCAACAATGAGCAAAACCCATACCGCATAGCCAGCTATAAAAAGCTCCGACATGACAAATGTAAAACTATTCAAACGAGAAAACTAACGGCCTAATTTATGTACAAAATAATGAACGCAAAACAAATATGATACACAGAAACAAACAACAACCGCTGAATTATAGCCTCCTGACATGGGACAGGTACATACAGAATGTGGCGGGGTTAAACATAAACGCGGACACTCAACCATCCCCTAACTTGGGACAGTGGTGTAACAGTACAAAAAACTATAAAAATCAGTTGAAAAAGGCTTAACTCATCAGATGGATACAAATAGAAATACATCTAATAAAAACACAGAGTGAACGTGGTAGGGTACTTATACATCCCCACAACAAAAAGACACTAAGTACAGATCTGAGAGTGCTCGCAGTTACTGACAGCTAGTTCAAAGCCAGTAACAACTAATAAAAGATTTTATGCATCTAAGACTAAAACATCAATCAGTACACATCCAACATCCAATGGATTTAGTGTTAAGACGTCATTAATAGTAGGAGAAAAATATGACCATGTGCAATGCTAAGATACAGGTATCGACAGATTGTAGAGCCATGTATATACAAATAATATCAAGTTTGATTTCAATTTACTGATAACAAAATCAATAGTAATACCAATAAAGTCCATATATCTTGACTTACATCTAGAAATTGACAATGAGGGTCGGTTGAAAACAAAACTTTACGGCAAAAGAGATGATTTCAGCTTTCCAATTGTGAACTTTGAATTTCTATGTAGCAATAGTCCAGCAGCGCCTGCATACGGAGTATATATATATCCCAGTTGATACGATATTCCAGGGCTTGTATTTCCTATCATGATTTCCTTGATAGAGGGTTGCTGCTCACAAGGAAGCTATTTAACCCAAGAGTTCCAAGTGGTAAAGTTGAAGTCTTCCCTTCGTAATTTATACGCACGCCATCACTAGTTGGAATACCCGTTTCACAGATGATAGCGGATATGTTCCAATTGTCGTAACTACAATCCCATCCCCCTTTCCCCGAATAAGACTTATTACCGGGTTTGTACTAACATGAGCAACACGACGGGAGCCACATGTGGAGCAGGATCGGCTAACCCTTCTGGGGCACCTGAGATCACCACCAATTTTGGTGGGGTTCGTGTTGCTCAGTCTTTAGTTTTCCATATAAAAAAGAAGATGTGGTATGATTGCCAATGAGACAACTCTCCACAAGAGACCAAATGACACAGAAATTAACAAATCTAGGTCACCATACGGCCTTCAACAATGAACAAAGCCCATACCGCACAGTCAGCTATAAAAGACACCGAAATGAGAATGTAAAACAATTCAAACGAGAAAACTAACGGCCTAATTTATGTACAAAAAATTAACGAAAAACAAATATGTAACACATAAACAAACGACAACCACTGAATTACAGGCTCCTGACTTGGGACATGCACATACATACAGAATGTGGCGGGGTTAAACATGTTAGCGGGATCCCAACCCTCCCCCTAACCTGGGACAGTGGTGTAACACTACAACATAAGAACGAACTATAAAAAATCAGTTGAAAGAGGCTTAACTCATCAGATGTTTAAAAATACAAATACTACAATAACAAGTGGACGTGGCTGGGTACTTGTACATCCAAACAACAAAAAGACACTAAGTACAGATCTGAGAGTACTCGCAGTTACTGAGCAACTAGTTCAAAGCCACTAACAACTAATAAAAAAAATCATGCATCTAAGACTAAATTATCAATCCGTACACATCCAACATGTTGTGTTTTGTGTACTATTGTTTGTCTGTTTGTCTGTTTGTCTGTTGGTCTTTTTCTTTTTTTAGCCATGACGTTGTCATTTTATTTACAACTTATGAGTTTGAATGTCCCTTTGGTATCTTTCGCCTCTCTTTCATTGGTGTCATAATATACTTATGTTTGGTTTTTTTTTGCTCACACATTGTTGTCAATATAATGGATTTTAATGCGATTGTCATACAAGTGAGAGGTTCAATTAGCTATAAAACCAGGCTTAATCCACCATTTTCTACATAAGGAAATGTCTGTTACAAGTCAGGAATATGACAGTTGTTTTTCATTCGTTTGATGTGTTTCAGCTTTCTGTTTTGAATTTTCCTTGGAGTTCGGTATTTTTGTTATTTTACTTAACAAACACTGATTACAGTACTTACCCATATCTCGAACAGCGTCCCCAGTTGAATAAACCACAATGATATTTGCTTTTCGTCTCTTCATACCATGACACTCTCTGTACATTTTGACTTGAAAAGAAATTCTGGGTATTTTAAAACATGTTGCCCTGGTGGAAATGTAGGTAATAAAATCAGCATCCTCTTAACTTGCTAAAAATACCTGTTCTAGTATACGTTATTTTGGAATCCAAAGGTTTATGGGTCTTTTCAAAAATAAAATCATGACATTGGTAGTATCATTCTATTGTTTGAAACACGTATTTTTCTAACCAATCGAAGCATTTTGGTGTAAGCTTTCGAAAATATCAAATAAAATGATTTCAATAGTTGCGATTAATACAGAATAGTTGATAAATTTGTTTGTAAGAAGAAAAAATATTTTTTAAAAGTAGTGGATTCAGCGGAATCCTGTGTCTTGCGTACGTACAACTGCTTCTGTCAAGTATACATTATTATGTAACCTTCGTCTTGAGTTGATAGATAGTAATAATTGAAGATTTCAGGCTCATGACTTTGTACAGACACAAAGTAAAATATGTACCATCTGGACACACCTAGGTTTTGTTTGTCACCCTATCTTTTTGAACTACTATTACAAAAATTTAAACATTTTTTCTGAACGCTCAACCCAATGTACGACACTTCATGCAAATTTTTCTCCATAAATAGATTAAATAAGATAGGTGTAGAAATGTGTGTTCAATTATTGGTAAATTTCCAAGGTTATTTATTACAGCTTTGCACACTAATTTACTAGCCTTGTGCAATAATAGAAAGGGATCATTGATCTATATCTCTATTATCTTTTCAATAATATTGTTAATGATTCACTAAAAAAAAACTACAGTAGATACTATAATATTGATAACCAATATGATTAAAATCTTGATCTTATGTCCACGTTTTCCTTACATAGCTTGTAAGCCTAGTGTGGAGACAGGATCGGTATTTTAATCAGATTGTTAAACGACTGACAAGTGCGTTGGTTGGTGTTTGGAGACATTACATTACTATCAAAATATCCAGAACTCCAAAAGTTACTTTATTTGAATAATATACACTTATTTACTGGCTATGAGAACAATAGAAAGTTTATTGTCCCCGAAGACAGCAACTGTTTTCCGACGCGAAGCGGAGGATAATAGTTGCTGTCGAGGGGTACAATAAAATTGCTATTGTCCGAATAGCCAGTAAATAAGTGTTTTATTATACAGAAAGAAACTAGTTTATATTTCGAGACGATGTATTTTAATAGTAATTCTCTTTATATTGCAACTCTTACAACTGTTCCAGAAATATTTTGGGTAAACCATAATTTATTTGATTTGAAGCGATATTCTGTATTGACGTCATAATAATTTTACTGCGCAAATAGCACAGTTGCAGTAAAAACAATCATTCGGATGTTTAAGGAGACGATTCAATTCAGAAAGTACGGAAAAATTTCCAGAAAAAAGAAAATCTAACCAGTTAATAGTGAAACTATTAACCGGTTAATAGTCTTTTTCAGACAATTTCGTAAAAATAGTAAATCTATTTGTCTATAATTTTATAAAGAAATAGCATACTGCGGTATAATAATTGTTAATATTGTAATGGCTGGTGGATACCAACAATTAAAGATTTTCCACATATCATCCATATATTTAAGTTTATTTATACATTGGTATTCACTCCTGTGCATCATTATCATTTTCTTTTACGCAAATAACAGAAAGGTTTTCACTTAACCTTTCTGTTGAAACAAGTATATAACGGGATGACCATCTGATGTTCTTGGGGATTTAGAACGAATAAGCTGGCCAGGTTATTAGTAAAAATAACTAGCTTTGCCCAAGACAGGATGAAAATAAATATTTTCTCCAACAAACTGCAGAACAAGGGAGAAAAAATACCCCGCTTCTTTCAGGTAAATGTCACACTAAATATAAAAAAAGGGGGATATGTTATAACTGATATTAGAGATTACAAATGTGTCGAGTTTAGATAATGGATAACTACCCAGAAATGTGAATACATATTTTGAAAACAGTAGGGTATATAAGGTTATGAACGGTAAATTCAAAAATAAAATCAGGCTATTTACACACTTAATTAATGGTTGGACCTCAAAAATTTAAATCATTATGTTATAATATCGTGCCGTAATTTACATAACAGTAAAAGAATGACAAAGGTTATAAATGGTAAATTTAAAACTAAAATCAGGCTATTTACACACGTGTACGTATTAATGGCTAGAAATACACACTATAGTATCATTAAATATTGAATATACCAGAAAAAAAGTTTATGCAAATTACAAAATTTTAGAATGCGGAAAAATAACATAATCGGATTTATTAGTATTTCGGGTGGTTAAAATAAAAATTCATAAGGGTTCCGCGAAACCCAGTGTCTCGCCTTTTTTTGCTGTTAGTCGCAGGCTCATTTTCGAAATTCCCTTGCACCCTACCACCCAGAAAACCCGCAAACCAAAAAGTCGTCCCCTAACACACAAATGAAACGCAAAATATTTGGCTATGACATAACACCCCGAAGGACAAGATTTCATGATTACCCATGCTAGGCTACGACAACTACGGGCGGATGGTCAACATCAGTATTATGAATTTCATTTTCAAAAGTAATAATTTTTATTCCAATTATTGCAGTTAAATAAATGATTTTAAGAAGCAATCTTAAAGATGTTTAAATGTTTTCGAAACTTTGAAATTTAGTTGCTCATTCCATAAAACCCATATAGACTTTTTACTTGTTCTTACTGGTCACCTGTGTACCGGAGAATTTGTTAGAAGTTATACTCAATCTTCAACACTATATTGTTTAGGTTCTACATTAGTGGGTAAAATAGAAGATAAAACCAAAAATACAACCAACACATCTTCAGAATATAGCAAAGTGCTGTGGGCCAATGAAATTGTGAGATTTGGTGTGTCTTAATTGTGAATAATTACCGAAATTGTTTCTTAGTAAGGGATGGTTCTATTGTCTAGCTAGGCCTACTAACAGTTAAAAACAAAAAAATTCTATAAATGAGATACAACTACCCGAAGCCATTCATCAGCTTGAAAGGATTAAATGTTAATATTGAAAATGATTTAAAATTAAATAGCTGAACAAAATCAGAATAAGTTGAACTTTACTGGTTAAGTAAAAAGTGGCATCGTTAAAGCTATATATAAAGGCAACAGTAGTATACCGCTGTTCGAAATTCATAAATCAATTGAGAAAAAAAACAAATCCGGGTTACAAACTAAAACTGAAGGAAACACATCAAATATAAGAGGAGAACTACGACACAACAGAAACACAACATTAAAATGTAACACACACAGAAACGAACTATAATATAACAATGGCCATTTTCCTGACTTGGTACAGGACATTTTTTTTTTAAAAAAGGTGGGTTGAACCTGGTTTTGTGGCTAGCCAAACCTCCCGCTTTTATGGTAATGTTAAATATAACATTAAAATGACAACATTACATGACAGGACTACAATACAAATAAATGGGAGAACATATAGGACAGAGAAACATACAAATAATAGCTAACAAAAGGTACCAGGTTTAAAATTTAATTCCGCAAGACGCGCGTTTCGTCCACACAAGACTTACCAGTGACGCTCAGATCAAAAAAGTTCGAAAGCCAAAACAAGTACAAAGTTGAAGAGCATTGATGACCAAAAGTTCAAAAATGTTGTGCCAAATAAGGCTAAGGTTATATGTCTGGGATAAGAAAATCCTTAGTATTTAGAATAATTCATACTTTAGCAAACAGTAAATTTATAAAAATTACTATATAATAGATATACATGAGAACACCGAAGTGGTGACTAACTAAAGAATAAAAACGGATACATAAAACCACATAAACCAGCACATAAAAATTCACAGCCGAGTTAGCCAAAGAGATCAACGCAACAAAAGTGACGTCACATTTGAATTTCTGAAATATCCCCAGAATAGGATAGAATTAGGATAGAATTCAAGATTTGGTTTATAATACTCATATAACATTTATTAATAACAATGAAAATTACAATACTAATTAATATAAAAAGTGGTGGTAATTAGATAATTAATAGTATTATCTAGCTATGTCGGTGTTTCTTCTAAATCAAACTGTAAACCAAATATATCGTATAAATTTAGTTGACCCGAACTAAAATCTAATTAATGAACTGGGTGATTAATTATCTTAACCATAACACACGAAAACTTTAATTTGAATACGAATAACTTCGAAATCATCATGAAAAATAAATAAACAAAGCAATGCAAAAGGAAAGAAAGAAAGGCCCTTTAAGCTAAATATGACTTAAATCTTAGAGCTAATACACTTACAAAATTTCAGATTACTGGATCCGTGGTTGGTAAAAATAGTATTAAAATGTATAGGGAGTTGAATCAACTTTTGAATTATTTGCTTAAAGTAATTAACAGAATTGAAATTGAAATTTGATGTTAAAGGCATTTAATTCTAGTTGATTATCTTACTTAATGAAATCGTTTTTGATGTAAACAGTTGGAATCAATTACTGGCTTTGGAATAAACTTTAATTGTAAATAAAATTTTGAATTTATTGATTTATAACTGTAAATAAACAAAAAGATGTTTCCTCACTGATAGATTACACGATTTGCATTCATACTCACAATTAAGAAACTTAAAAAAATCCTACCATTTCATCGTATTTGTTATGTCATCTATATAGCTAATGCCTATAACAATATTTAGGAAACTTTCCCATATTATAGGATAGTCCCTACATTAACTACACCTATTCATAAATGAAATGACTAAAAATAAAGTCCTGTGTCAATTATAAACATTGCACTCAGAATAAAGATATATATACTGGCAATGAAACGATATACAGATCGTTAACGGGATCTTCCATCACTGTATTGGATACCTAAACTACATAAGTGTTCTTACAAACAACGGTAAATTGCTGGGTTTTCCAAGTCCTCCACGAAACCTCTTTCTAAATTATTAACATCAATTTTATCAGCAATCAAAGCCGGGCTTCAAAGTTATTGTGAAACTGCCTTTTCTAGAGTTGGCGTGAATCAGATGTGGATACTAAAAAATTCCAAAGATCTTTTAGAGTACATACAATCTAAGACTCTTTCATCTTGCAATAGTATTAAAACATTTGAATTTTCTACACTTAACACAAGTATTCCCCATTCCAAACTAAAAGAAAAATTGAAAGAGTTGGTATTGCTTTGTTTCATAAAAAAGAATGGCCATCGTAAATACAAGTATCTTGTCTTAGGGAGGGATAAATCCTACTTTGTAAAAAATCACTCTGATTCAAACAAAAATTCTTTGAAACTGACATTATCAAGATGCTTGATTTCTTGATTGACAACATATTTGTTACGTTTGAAGGACGTGTTTTTCAACAAACAATCGGCATTCCCATGGGAACCAACTTTGCCCCTCTTCTTGCCGACTTGTTCCTTTATTCATATGAGGCTGACTTCATACAGGAACTTCTTAGGAAGAAAAAAAAAGTTAGCAGTATCTTTTAACTTTACTTTCCGCTATATAGATGATGTTCTCTCACTATATAACTCAAAATTTGGTGACTATGTTGAACGCATCTATCCCATCGAACTAGAGATAAAGGATACAACAGATACAGTTAAGTCTGCCTCATATCTTGACTTACATCTAGAAATTGACAATGAGGGTCGGTTGAAAACAAAACTTTACGACAAAAGAGATGATTTCAGCTTTCCAATTGTGAACTTTCCATTTCTATGTAGCAACATTCCAGCAGCGCCTGTATACGGAGTATATATCTCCCAATTCATATGATATTTCCGGGCTTGTATTTCCTATCATGATTTCATTGATAGATGGTTGCTGCTGAGAAGGAAGCTATTAAACAAAGAGTTCCAAATGGTGAAGTTGGAATCATCCCTTCGTAAATTTTACGGATGCGATCACGAGTTGGTTGCCCGTGATGGAATATCCGTTTCACAGATGATAGCGGATATGTTCCTAATGTCGTTACTACAATCCTGTTCCCTTTTCACGAATGTGACCTACCGAATTAGACTATTTACCGGGTTTGTACTAACATGAGCAACACGACGGGTGACACATGTTGAGTAGGATCTGCTTACTCTTCCGGAGCACCTGAGATCACCCCCAGTTTTTGGTGGGGTTCGTGTTGTGTAGTCTTTAGTTTTCTATGTTGTGTTTGGTGTACTATTGTTTGCCTGTTTGTCTTTTTCTTTTTTAGCCATGGCGTTGTCAGTTTATTTTCGATTTATGAGTTTGAATGTCCCTCTGGTATCTTTCGCCCCTCTTTTGTGGATTATTAGTTAAAGGCAATCAAGAGATAATTGGAGCCATTGAGCACTTTACAATAGATCATCCCCAGTTTTTGTTAGGGTTCGTGTTGCTCAGTCTTTGGTTTTCTATGTTGTGTTTTGTGTACTACTGTTTGTCCGTTTGTCATTTTCTTTTTTAGTCAAAAGTTGTCCGTTTATTTTCGACTTATGAGTTTGAATTTCCCTTTTGTATCCTGCGTCTCTCTTTTACAATATTCTAAGTTTTTAAGAGATATTAGATAGTAGAGATGTTCTATACGGTGTAAGACAACTTTTTTCCTAGAAAATGTATACCAATTAATGCTCGATATGAATAGACGACTTCCATCAATTAAAAAAGGAATGAAACAAGAAAATCTAATAAATCGTACTAGCCTTGTTTCAAGTAAATGAAGTGGAAACAACCGTTTCTCAAATTGAAAAAGATATAAAATGCTATGTTACAGGGGAGGTCAACATGAAACAGAAATTGCCAAAATTATAACAGACAATTTGAATTCAAATAAATTAAACTTATAGCTGACTATACGGTATAGGGTTTATCTCATTGTTGAAGACCGTACGTTTGGCTATAATTGCTTACATCCACTTCATTTTAACTTTGATAGATAGTTGTCTCATTGGCAATCATACTACATCTCCTTATTTTTAAATTATGCAGACAGTAACTAGCACATTGCAAGGAACTGTTTTGTCACCTGAAATTTAATAATTGTGTAGTTTTCTTGAAAAATTGGTTGTAACGTAGGGGACGGTGATCATCGGCAATTTATAAACTGCCTCACAGGCATTATATAAAACGACTTAAAACACCAAAACTATTGCCCATTGTTGAAGGCTGTACGGTGGCCTATAATTTTACGTCTTGTGGCCTCTGGTGAAAAGTTGTTTCATTGGCAATCATACCACATCTTCTTATTGTTATATTGTGTAAATTACTCCGTTCAATGCTATCAGCACATGTAGGTCCGTTGTTCTGAACATTTTATTATAAAATAGAAAAACAAAGGATATGGGGTATCCATCCATGACACAAAATCAGTACATGCACAGCAAAAGACACAAAAAGCAACGAAACAGCGATTTTATTGCTGTTCTGCATCTCAAAGTCACAGTGAGGCCTCCAACATGAAGCTAAAAAACTCTCACCTCACTGCAAGTTTGATACAGCCCCAAGCACGGCTTGAGTGGAGTTCTTTGCAAAAATAATTTGGATAGACTTTGTAAGGTGCAACACCACCAAATCGGGCCCGGTCTAAAAAGAAATACTGGAAATTTGTACATATTTAAAACAAAATAGTTCCTACGCATGCATTTATTTCTGGCATTTCGCAAAGTAATCTAAAAAATGGCAACGTAAAATGCATCAATCTCTCAGGCATTTTATAAAAACTTTATATATTTTCAGGCATATTACAAAATACCTGTAACTTATACATGTAGTGAACATTAAACATATTTTATTTTTAATTTGTTTGTTCTTTCTTAACACTGGAAAAATAACTACTTTCATTTGATAATTTGATTACTACTTTTATCATTGTTTGGGTAACTACTTCATTCCATTAATCGAAATGTCTAGCAATATAATTTGACTTACTTTCCTTCCTTTAGAGGTCCACTATAACCAGCATATCCTGTGTCAGGTACCTCATCCGATCCTCCTAACCACCAGCATAATGTGCACTTCATAAAATACGAGAATACTATTAACTGCAATAACTCTCTCATGTCTACCAGATAATGGAAAGTGTTGATCACTGAAATGTTTTGGACAATGGAACACCGAGTCCAAATTATTGTTTTACAATTTCATACAGAAACACTTCACATAAAACAAAATATCTTGTGAGATGATCACTTGATTCCTGTACAGAAAAAAAACATGTGTGTTGTAATTATGTGGTAATTAGATTAGTATGTCAACATTATTTTGTGGAATGTATAGTGTTACTAAATGAAATTGTAAAGATTAAAATAATTCAAACAATATATAATTATCAGTTCAGTGGTTTGCAAACTTTTTGTAGACTTTTAAAAAGGCAACGCAAATTATTATTTGTGTCGGTTAAAAGTCCTACAGAGCTAATGTTACTGATAATTCATGTGTACCGACTTTAAATAAAACTTTTATGTCACTCTATATCTATGTAGACGAATTAAAAGGCATTGTTTACTAACACGAAGCTAATTTACAGTAATTTAAAGAGGAATTTTTGTAGGGATAATCTGTTTAGACATTTAATTTTTTCTTTATAAGGTGGAAATTATGATTTTAAAAACGCTTTTTGAAACATATACATTAAAACCATAGAACATGAATGGATGGGTTTTTAAAGTCAGATTGTAACTAACACATACATACTCAGTACGAGAACATGTTAGATCATGTAACAGAAAAAAAAATCAAAATGCACAAATGTCTTCTTTGAATTAGCTTACTACTCAATCTTTTATATGTGCTATTTGACAACAACGGTACATCATCATATCCATCAGGTTACGATCAAAATGAATGGGTCGCTTTTGAATATGGCAGATATATCAACGGGTTGGTATTTTACCATGAGTCTTTTTTTTTTGCTTCAAACAAATTCAAACATTACAACGAGGTTATTTGTTACATAGAAGATTTGTAGGGAGATATTAAATTTTGAATGTTTAAAAGAAAGTTACAAAATGGCCATTGTTTTCTTGTGATTAAACAACATCGCAATCAAAAATTAATATTAGCAAAAAATACATAAATAAAACAGCATTACCTGTTTCATACATTTTTATTCTTATCTTTTTAATTGCTTTCCGAAAACAACAAAAATCTGTGCTTTTATATTTGATTTTTTTTATTTTTTTTTAAAGGAACACACAAAGATACAAACATACAAACACACATGATAATACACGCGTACACACATAAAACAAAATCTGACGTCAAATTGATTGCATTGTAGATATTTTCAAAAGATAATGAAATATTTCCCTTTCCATGACTTATGCATATCGTACTGTAGTACAGACTGTTTTTTGCTTAAAGTATCTGTTAGTCCGAGTGTATGCACAGAGGTGGTAAAAAGATGTTAATGTGGACCTTTACATCATGATAATTTGCGTAATACTCCTCCCCCCCCCCCAAATGAATTGATAAAGTAATTCAGTCTCTGTGGTAATCCTTGCTACAAGACCTCTCTGATTTCGACGTCTGGCCACGGATGTTTCATGGTAAGGTAAGTGGTTGATTCGTTCATATGGATCAAAGGGAAATGTGGTAATTGTCACTCTAGACAGTTTATCATATTTCTCCTCATGTGATCAGTCATTACAGCGTAAAGGAGCAGTTACTTATAAGAAAATAATAGTACAATGTTAAATTGAGGCGACATTAGTTAACCGTTGTTCCAATTTCTTAAATCTATTAAGAAAAGACTAATCAAGACAACAAACAAAGCTGAGGGAATCACATGAACTTCAAAGGGAGCGGGGCCTCTTAAAACTTAAAGAACTATTTTATTATTATAAGTATATGTTTTGTTAAATTAATCATGTTGTAATTAATTTATTCGTTTGAATATAATATATTAAGTCGACAGTAGTTAACCAATGTTCGAATCTCGTAAATCGATTAAGAAGAGACAAATCAAGGAATCAGACAAAACTAAGGGAATAGCATGAACTCCCTAGGGAGCGATACCGTCGACAGGGTAAGCGTCTCCTGCTATACACCCGTCATGCGAGTCCATATCAAGTCAATATGTCATTATCGGGAATAGACCTTAATCAGTGAAATTTCAGACCATACGACTAAACTGGTATCTAAAGATCCAGCACAATGAAACCATTTCGCTGGTGAGTTGCGACACCAACATAGCGTACTGGTCAACATGTCAAATGTCATAATAGCGGATAGAACACAGTCGGTTAATTAACTTTCACATCTTTTAGATTCAATTACCACTATTTAACTTCCACGTTTGTTTACCTTTTCTTTCATCACGGTTTTTCACTTGCACTTGCTCTGTCTTAGTTGAATGCCAAAGTGCTAACGAGAGGTTTTGTGGTAATGTTCACTGCATATGGAAAAGCTATCGGCGAATTAGAGTACGGGAAGACTTTGTTCGATAGCAGGACATTTCTGAAGATTATGATAAGATAAAGTATTGTTTTAAAGTAAGTCAACATACATGTGTTTATCAGTAAAACTTAGCCATTCAAGTACATAAAACATATTTAACTTTTTTTTTTAAATTTGAAGTATCATATGACTATAATGGTAATTACTTAGTACTTCGATTAAAAAATGACGCACAGATATATATCATTATGGTGTAATATTTCTAAACCTTATACTTTTTTTGTCCTCTCTCATATTCATCAAAAGACTACAATGCATAAGTAAAATTTCTAATTTTATAAAAGATTTTTCTACCCAAGCCATTGACGCAAGGTTTTGACAACTTATTCATGTTATTATGGTTTTTAATTTTCATTTACTTGCAACTGTTTTGATTCGAGCGTTGCAATCTTGTGTTGACTAAACGCTTGTCTGTCTTACCTTTGTATCTTTGATGAGTTTATTCCATTTTTAAGGTGTAAATTTTGAAAAAAACGTTGGTGACGTCACGGTCACATGACAAAATTATGTCTATGAGCTGATAGACATGACACTGTCAGGCAATAAGAGGACGCGTTACATCCAAAATTAAATTATTGTTAATCAAACACATAGCCCCAATATACGTGTACAATGTACTGTCCCGCTTATAAAAGATATGAACTACATGTACATTTCCTTCGATACATAATATCGTCTCCCAAATTAAAACCGATCAGTCAGACTTGGTTATACAATATTACAGTAATTTAAGAAGAGCTCGTTTTACACAAACATCAATTTCTGCTCACCAGAACACTATCCAATGGAACATTCTTTGGAACCGTAAGATGTAGCGTTTATTTATTTTTCAAATGTGTGGGGATAATAAATTGGAAAAGAACATTGGAATGACATGCCATGCATTAAAATAGTGTCCTGTTTGATAACAATGATATGTGGTTCTAAAAACCCAAAGTTTGTCACAAGTAAGTTTTTTACAATAACCGAAAGTACCGAAGTAATGTTTGCGTGGCAAAATAATTCAATAACTTGCTTAGCTTCTTTTTTCGTCTTTTGAAATATCAAAATTATATTTTTCTTCAGTTTTGAAGGACAGTCTTTTGTAATTAATTATAAATATTTGAAAATAAGCCATTTGAAAAATTGTTTGTTTTTAAAAGATTGGAGTTTTAGGAATCAAGGTTTTAGTCTTTGAAAAATTTAATATTCTCCAAACAAAAATATGATTTAGAGATTAATGTGCTGTTTGGTATAAATGGTATATGACACGTTCATTTTTTTAACTTTCGCACATTAAACGTGTTCGACGTCAAAAATATTTATTTCGAGTACAGTTGTTTAAGATTATTTCCCAAACACGTTTCATGATTCATAATCACGTTTGGTTGACTGTCAGTAGCCTTTTTATAAAAACAATGCCTTGGAGCGCGTGTGATTTTAATGATACATTGTAGACTGCAAAATCTTTCTCAGTGAATACGTGAGATCTTCTTTTCTTTTTAAATTTAACTAAAGGTTCCAGAATCATATTTATATTTTATTAAGCATAAATTAGTTTATTACTGACAAATAGATATATGGTGTACACATTCCAAAATGTACTTTTGAATGTCATATTTTATAGTAACCTATACAAATATCTATTTTACTTTCATCATTCATATTCTTAAGATACTCTTTAAACTTTAAATTATATAGTTTATGTATGCAAATGAACTTTAAATTGCTTTATCTGATCGTGATTATATCTTTCAAGTGAATTCTTACTATATAGTATATATTGTATCCCTTAATTTTTATTTATTTGTTATCATTTGGTATATTTTCGTGTTTGTTATGTATCCTTAGAATTTACGTATTGAATATATGTTTTATATATGCTGTGTAAATCATTTCGATGTTTAAATTCATAACTTGGTACTAATTATCTAAGTAAACTTTTGATTGATGTATCAAGAAAATTAATATCTATTTACACTTTTTTTTTAAATGTAACACCGGAATATCAATTTTCTTTTTATGACTTTACCGATCATCAAAAAAACTCATCTCTCCATCGCGCACTTAAAATAACGCATCACGAGTAGATTGAACAAAAAAATCAAAGCATTGTACAAAAACGCATAAAAAAATGAATATTGAACAAAACGCATCACTACATTGCACACTAAAACAAATGCATCATTGCATTGTACACTAAACAAAACGCTTCAATATTTTGTACATTGAGCAACAAACATCAATACATTGCATATTGAACACAATGCACCACTGCATTGCACACTGAACAAAACGCATCAATACATCGCACATTGAACACAACGCAGCACACTGAACAAAACCCATCTGTACATTGCACACTGAACAAAACGCATCAATACGTCACACATTGAACACAACGCATCACTACATTGCACACTGAACAAAATGCATCAATACATTGCACACTGAAAAAAACGCATCACTGCATTGCACACTGAACAAAATGCATCAATACATCGCACATTAAACACAACGCATCACTGCATTGCACACAGAACAAAATGCATCAATATATTGCACACTGAACAAATCGCATCAATACATTGTACACTGAACAAAACGCATCAATACATCGCACATTGAACACAACGCATCAGTACATTACACACTAAACAAAACGCATCAATACATCGCACATTGAACACAACCCATCACTGCAATGCACATACTATACATTACACATTGAATAAAACGTACCAATACATTGCACACTGAACAAAACGCATCAATTCTTTGCATATTGAACACAACGCATCACTGCATTCCACACAG